AAAAAAAAAAAAAAAAGGAAAAAGAAAAAGAAAAGAAAACAGAAAAGCCATCCGAAAGGTTGCCTCCAGACTTTGGAGCTTTCCCTTGGGAGTGATGGATCCGCGATGGCCTCATGGAGGAAGATCCACCAGCAACCAGTTGCGGATTTGCCTGCTCCTTGGGATCGCTAGTTGCACCCCACCCCACCCATCCTCATTTTCTACCTCTGGGCCCTCTCTGCCTCCTGCTCGGGCCTGCGCTTTTTGGGTCGCCCCGCCCGCACACGCCGGTCACTCTTCACGGTCTGGGTTGTCTTGTCACCGTGTCTGTGTCTCTTCCTCCTCCCTGCAAACCCACACTATGCCCGGCTGTGGTCTAGTTTGACTTGCTTTCCGCTCAGTCATCCATATCCAGTCCTCTCTCTGTTTAATGTGATTTGATTTGATTTTATGAATACTTTTATTTATTTTATTTTATTTATTTATTTATTTTTTATTTTTGTTTGGTTTTGTTCAATCTCAGTTGATTGATTGATTATTATTATTATTTTTTTTCTTTGGGCCAACTTGCTCTTCGATCATCATCGTCATCATCATCAGGAAGGGGTTAGGGGATTTTTTTTTTTAATAATCTTCTCTCTCTTTTTATTTTTTGATTTTCTATTTTTTTTATTATTTTTTTTTATTTATTTTCAATTTTTGAAAAATCAAAAAATCCAGATTGGAAAAAAAAAGGGAAGAGCTCTTACAATACCTTACCCTGGACGAACCCTGCAGTCTGTTATGTGAATCTTGATCATTTAAATTCCTCTTATTTTATTTCTTTGCCTTTTTGATTTAGTCTATAATTTTTAAACCTTTGCCCCATCCTGCTCAATATCTTCATCTTGTTTTGGTCCCTTTTTATTTTTGATTACTTTTTCCCCCCCAGGATGTTTCAAGTTGTTCTCTGAGATTTCCACAGCTCTTGTTATTGTTTCGTTTTCTAATCTCAATTTCGTATGGCGCATTGGTGGCTGTTCTGAACCCCAAAAAGTGGATAAAATCGGCTTACATTCCCTCCTCCGGAACCAGGCACCCCAAACTGCGCATTCACTGTCTTCACCAAAGTGTAAGCTGAATTGATCTTTCTTTACTTTTTCTGTTCTGTTTCTCTCTCGTTCATTTGATTCTTCTTCTTGCACGTCGGGTTTGGTGTATACGATAACATTCTTTCGCTTCTCGTTGGGAGTTGTGACGATAAAAATCGGGGTTCATCTGACCCATCTTGCAGGCCCAACTCTTGGAATTCCCGCAGCGCTTTCTCTGGTTCGGGGACAAGTCTAGTCATAAGTCAATACTTTACGATCCCGATCGCTATCCGTGGAACCAGAGCTCCAGTCGACCCAGGAATTGCTTAGGGTGATTGAATCTCTCCGGATCCAACCTGTCTTTTCCTCACGAAAGACCTGGGCAAGACAGGACGGGCCCGTGCTTGTTGTCGATCCGGGTCGCCCACGTCTGGGTGATCTTTCAACTCGTCGAGAGGAGGGGATTTTAACTTGCGCCATCATCCCTTTTCTACGGTTCACCGTCCGCTTTGACTCTCCATCAACCTGTCATTCCCTCCTAAACTTCGCCCCGGGAAGGTCGACTGGATATTTGCCTCCCCCTCCCACATTCTCCCATTCTCCAAGCTCCAGTTTTTTCTCGAGTGTGATTACATCGCAGGAGAGAGCGCGAGAGAGCTCCTCGATTTATTTAACCGTACTTTTTCTGGCAGTCGCGATTCACCGAAATCGCGAGTCTTGTGTATGCCATCCTTCTTTCTGCGGGTTGGGAGCTACTACTCTGTTGAATAACCATCTAGCCCGCGAAACCTTGATCAGCGGTGGCCTTAACTTTGATCGATTTTACCTCTCTGGCCCCCTTTGAACTAGGTTCGAACCTACAACCACCATAAACAATGGTCAACGGCACCACCACAGTGTTGGAGCCTACCTTCACGGGGTACGTTGCGACAACGCAAGATGCATTAATCCTGTTCGAGGCGTGTTTGACCGGTGTCCTGCATCATGTGCCTCGCCGACCTCATGACCGCGAGCGTGGTCATTTGGTCCGGAGCGGCAGCGTGTTCATCTACGAGGAAAACTCATCGGGGATCAAGCGATGGACCGACGGCGTCACTTGGAGTCCGAGTCGCATTCTAGGCAACTTCTTGGTCTATAGAGAACTCGAAAAGCCATTCCCCCCGGGCGAGAAGAAGCGAGCGATGAAGAAGGCCAACCGACGGCCAGTCCCTCCAGGCAGACCCGGTGAGCCCTATGCACGCCATGACAGTAACGGGGGCCAGGCCTATTCTCCTTCGTCAACCGGGACGTTCGGAGAGAGATCGCACCAGTCAGATGTAGAACGAGCGCTAGTCGGTTCCTTGGTGGATTCATATGGCTTCAAGGACTCGGGTCTCGTCAAGAAGACGATGAGTGTGACTGTCTCCGGCGTGACGCACCATCTGGTGTCATACTATAGCGTCGAGGATGTGATGAGAGGTGTCTTGAACCCGCCATCGATGGTCGATTCACTGAGATTTATCAGGCCCCGGGCAGAACTGACCCAAAAGCAAAGCTTCCGGGCTCCCATTGATGATCTAGAGGCTGGCGGCTTGGAGAATGCCACTGACCCATCCCACGCGCTGTACGGATATCGTCCGCAGCTGGTAGCCCCCCCAGGGTATGGGATGCCCAGTCCTCATCCGGAGTTCTATATGCACGCAAATCCTTATGCGGCAACCCATCCGCCACAGTCGGCCCCGATGGCGGCGTATTCCATGGCCGGATCAATCCCTGCACAGCCGGCCCCCAATCCTTATCTTCCTGCTCCGTCAGCTCCGACTCAGATTCCACAGAAACCCGACGACTATCCACAGTTCCGAGCTCCCACGCAGTATGGCACGAGCTTCGATGGGCTAAGCCATAATCCTCTTTCGTCGTCCATTCCATCCGCCCTGGGCGGAGCTATGCCGAGCTCTTTGAGCGACCGGAATCGGTCCCACTCGGATCACAGCCCCTCCGCTTATCGGAACTCTTCGATTTCCTCGCGCAGCGTTGCAACCGATGCAACCTCACCGATGGATCCTGCCACTCCGGCGACATATTCACGGGGTAATAGTTTCAGTTTAGCGGGGCAATTGGATGGGACGTCGCACCAGTCTTTGGAACAGCGCGGCATGGCGGCTTTTGACCCTAGTATCCCTCGTCGGGAGTCAAATCCAATTCCTAGTCCTTATTACCCCGGCAGCGACAGGCATCCGTATTATGTGGGCCCCACCGCTCCAGGTGCCCATGCGAACTACCCGGTCTCGACTTGGACGACGGCTGCTCCGGCTCAACCGCAAGTATAACCATCATTGGTCGGACACTCTTCTACTTCTTCATTTCCCTCTTTTCCATTCTTAACACCTAATTCTTTTCGCATGTTATACGTTTTCTCTCTCCAGAAGGGCGGCAATTTGGGAATAGACTCTGCATATATGCTACGGATGATTACCCGGATGATTACTGCTCTTAGAGGAGATACCGGTGGCTCTTTTTGTTTCTTCGAACGTTATATTTGTTATTCCCCCTACGATGATGTGATGCACTGCAAAATTCCCTCTCTTTAGTTCTAGCCTTCGTATTATTTCTGCCGTCGGGGCGGCTTTTTCGTCATTATTTCATTACTATCCCCTCTGAAAGCAATGTTCTCTGCGTGTCGCTCTAATGTGATTATGATCAATGGGTCGGTTTGGGTGGCACGGTTTGGGGCGGTTATCTGTGGTATTATATCTTTTTGTTTGTTTTCTTTTTTTTTTTTTCTGTTGTTCGTCACGACCATATCCTTAGTGTTTTCTGGGAGGACGCCGTGAATTATGGTGTATATGGAGGCGTGAGTCGCCGGTCCACCAGTCGGTTCGATGCAACGCTGGTTTGCCGAGCCGCCTCACTATCTCTTCTACTCCCTTCTGCTAGTGTTTCATGCGATGTTCAGCGAGGAGCTGGTGATATCATTACGCTGTGTCTTTTCTTGGGCCCCTGCTGCGATTGTACCTGGGGCCGTTGTCGACTGCAAGATGATTTCGGGTACTCAAGCAGTGTTGTGCAGGAGATGTACGAAAAACGTTTACTTCTCTTGTATCATTTGTGATGGATAGGATAGCTTTCGCGATATCTTATTATCTGGGAGGGATCAGTCATTTTACTTCTCTCTCACGTTCATGTTTTTCTTTTGTTTTCGTTCACGATTTGCACATGTGGGTGGTTCTCTGTTCGACTCGATCGATATCCGGCTCGTTGTATTCGGGAAAAGTAGGGTCAATTCAAGTATAATTATCTGTATTTCTTTGCTGTGCTTTCTCCATAACTTGATACCATCTCTTTTTCCTCCGTCTTTCTTTCTAGTTAGGGTTACCCATGTGGATGTCATGACCTTACACCTACGCAGACAACAATGCTATACAGTGTCAACCTAGGAATCAGGACAGGAAAAAGCAAGAAGAAGAACGAAGAAGAAAAAAAAAAATGGGAGATGTCACCGTAACCAGCCCATGAACCAAGGTTACCACTACACACAGTACTGAATTCCCTCCCCCAAGCCACAGTATCAACCCTACACATCAAAAAAAAAGAAATGAAAAGAAAGCCCAAAAGGCTAACCTAAATCCAAATAAAAACCAGGCAAGGTCCAGGGGTCTTATCTCCCTCCCCCCCCAAATTTCCAAAATTTTAAGTTAATATACCTCCAACCTATTACTTTCGGGATGCAGATCATGCCCGAATGTGGGCCCCTTGCGATTTTATCCCGAGAGAGAGATCCACCTCGGCTCCTGTCCAATGACGTGCGTTCGCATGGCAATTAAGTACCGTTTCTGGGGTGCCGATCACGGGGCGCCCAGGGTCATTGGCGCTGCGGTGGGTTTTAGTTTGTGTCATCATTTTTTCCTTTTTTTTGGGGGGGGGGGAAGGGGCTTAAGTAGGGGTCTTATTGACCGGGGGGGATTTGTGGGGGGGTCTTTGATTGCGCTTTTTTTTTCTTATCGTTATTGTTTTCTTTCTTTTCTTTCTTTCTGTTCTTGTTTTTTGTTTTGTTTTGCTTTACAGGGGGTGGTGGTTGTTTTATGTATGTGATTTGGTATACTTGCATAGTAGTGGGGTGATCTGGGGTTCTTTCTCCTTTGCATGGATTTGAGTTTCTACTGGGGTTAGGAGCTTGGTTCCACGTCGCTTGTATGCTGGGGGGTATCGTTGCTGTAGTCTATTGTACATACATTTCATTAAGCACAGGGCATATAATATACTTTCTAGATGCTAGCAGGGAGGGAAGGAAGGGGTGTAAAGCCAACTCTATCTAGGTGCCTCGACCGCGCTTCGTGATTTGATTATCCGACACGCTTTGCGTGATCCGCACTTTCTTGGGCTGCGTCGATGATCGGTTATCCCGGCTAGTCGCGGGATGGGCCTGCCCCTGTGTCTTATCTCATTCTTTCGCAATGTTGCTGGTCGACCGCAGCGCGGAGATATGCGTCGCGAGCTGGCTGCTGTGCCCGTGGCTGTTATCGAGCAGGATTCGCACGGAGAGAGACCCCGGGTCGAGGATAGGCAGCATGTTGCTGACTCCGTTCCGGTTTCCGGGCATTTTGCCTGCGGCCCCGGCGGGCGTTGTTCCGGTGTATGGCACTCGGGGGATTCCCCGGACGGGTTCGACCATGGTGAAATCTCGGGTGACTTCGCGCCGAATCTCGTTGTCGTCTTGGGCGATTCCGCCGTCCAGGGGTACCTATGCTTTTGCGTGAGCGTTTATGAACCTTTGAAGATGTCCCTTGATTGATTGGACCCAGTGAATGGCGGACTATACTCACCCCGGTGGTGACCTTCCTTCCTGGCATGTGCACATAATCATCAAATGAGCTCTCCAGGGTAGCAAAGTTGAATCCTTTATTGGGTGTGAGGGGCTCAAAGCGCTGCCCGACTTCGACTCGAAAGTCTACCGACCGTCGAGGGGCCGGTTTGTACGCCGGGAGATCCAGCCACCATGTCGGGTAGTTGAAGTAGCTGCATTGGAGGACGGGCTCGATATCCAGAGCCAGTTGGATTCGGCTGTCGGCACGCGGTTTCTGGATTAACATGGCGAACGTGAACTCCCGTGGCAGACCAGATCGCTGCAGATTGTTCTCCTCCAGTGACCAGACAATCTCCCCCGCCTCGACGTCGAACTTCCGCCCGCGTGGGCTCTTCAATGACCGGACCGAGCCCTGGATTCTCATCATCTCGTACCGTCGGTACCGTCCGTTCATGCCGCCGGAGGGTGAGATGCTGGCCATAAGGGGTAGCTCAGCTACACCGAGCGACCCGGCGAGGCTGTAGTTCCATTGAAGTGTCTCGGGTGAAACAGCCCCGTACAGTAGGTGTGGTGCGTGCTTGAGAAACCGTGGATTTCTCGACCGGTACGCATGGAGGTTTTGTGACGCAGTGGGGGTCTTGGAGTTTTCTCGCATGCTGTGCAGCGAGGCTCGGATGGTCGCTGCCTTGAAACGATGCGTAAGGGTGTTGGGGGAGTGGAATATGAAGTTGATCCCCAGGAAGTCCACATGGTCGAGATCTTGATCAGAGACGGCTGCGCTCGAGTAGAACCCGTGTTGCAGGCGCTGCACGTGAGCCGTCACGTAGGCATCACCCGGTAAGTGACGTTCGTAGATACATGCTCTGTTAACCATAAGACGGGGATTGGCCAGATTTGGATCTGTAGAGGGCTCCGCTGATGAGTGCTCGGGTGCACTGGGCCGTCTTGATGCCGGAGGCGATGGAGTTCCTGGTGGTGCTGGAGCCGCAGGACGGTCTATAGTGACCATGGCCAAGTTCGGGTTCCTCATCAGGAACGGGTCCGGATCCTCACCGTCATCCCATATCCCCATGTCGAAGTAATGGTGCCCTATTACTATCCATAGAGTAACACACTATGGCGAACGGTTGTAGCACTCCAGCGGAGTGTCTTAAAAGTTCGGGGTAACGGCATTCTATACATGTCGCCTCATGTTGTGGGGTCACTTAGTATGACGACAGCGGTGTGGACAGCTGCTCTTCTTACTATCAGGTGAGAAGAACTGATGGGAGCAGTCAAGTCAGATGAGACCTGCGGGAATTTATATAGCAGCATGCCAAGAACAGATCGATCTGCTGTATCAGCGCAGATGGACTCTATCGCCTGTAATGAGTCAGCTGGAAATCTTGTAACGTTGCTTGATCAAGTACCCATTACACCAACTGTCAGCCTTACGACTCGATCATGATCGGTGTCATGGTCACTGTCATTATGCCACCGACTTGGTCGTACTGCTGACCCGTCCCGTCACATGACACTTGCCGGATCAACTGTTGTTCCGCGGACGTTTTCCTCAAATCACGAGCCTTGATTTGTATAGCTTCCATTGTGCTTTTTGATTTTCAACCCGATATATATCTCTGTGGCAGCTCCCCAGCCAATCGCATTCAAGTCTGGGTTGAATGGCAATTGCCTGGATTCTTTGCTAGTTGCGCTCCTGCTAACCTTGAGATTTCCCTCAGGTTGGAGTCGCGGAACTCGGTCATCGAGCTGCCACTACTTCTAGATCACCCCATCGGATAACTTGAATTGTTGTCGGTCACTGGTTACTTTGTCTTTCGGGTTTTGACAACTTCTTTATTTTCGTATTAACTTCCGCGGAAGAAATTTGGATTGGACTTGACAGTATTGTTTTTTCACTGGTATATGAATTTGGCCGCGGAGCACTGACCTTCGATATCGGTCCATGGATTGACTGGTTTGGCCTCCTGGTAACATATCGAAGCTGTATACTATTGGTTATGCTTGAGAAGAAGCAACATTATCTAAGCGAACGTTCCTTTTTGAAGTTGGAAACTGCACAGGTCTCCTCCATTTGCATACTGCAGTTCACTCATTGATCTGATTGGCTTTATAATCTACTCAATTTCTCCGAATATCGAGCTTTCACCATGGCAGCAAGATCTTTTGTGCTGGCGCCTCTTCGCGCATCTCGACAATGTCCTCGCTTGTCCAAGGGCGCTGCACCTCCATTCCTCGGAAACGGTGCTGCCGTGCGGGAAAGGTGGTCGGGTCTTCAAGCGGAGTTTCGCGGCTCTTCAATCTTCACATTAGCTGGTCCATCGAACTCATTGCGAAGCAAGTATGGGTTTTGTTCGCGTTAACCCTGTTTGAAGGGGATATTGGTCTGACGGACTTATAGATCCCTGAACAACAACGGCAACGCGACTCTGCGCCTGACGTCTAATTGGCACCAAAATCTGGGCCTTCAAAGGAGATGGCATGCCACCGAGAAGCCCTCCGATCAGACTGACGCTCAAAAGTAAGTGTCCTAGATGTCCCATGTTGTGTTTACTTCGCGTTTTCATCGAAGCCCTGCTTTATGCGCAAGACATTTATGACCTCATGTGAACTAAGTGGTATAAGATCTCAAACTGGTTCAAAAAAGTCTCCAATTCTGTCTCGTATTCCCCTACCTTCCAGCCACGAGAACATCTACACAGTTCCCAATATACTTACCATGACCCGCTTGGTTGCCGCCCCTCTGGTAGGGTATTTCCTTGTCCATGATTATCACCAGGCCGCGTTGGCCCTATTCGCTTATGCTGGAATTACCGACCTCGTTGATGGCTACATCGCACGGCGATATAACCTCCAAACGGTTGTTGGGACGATCATTGATCCCATGGCTGATAAGCTACTGATGACCATTGGAGTCGCTTGCTTAGCAGTCAACGGCTCCATCCCAGGTAAGCGATCTCCTAACAAGTTTGTGAGGTAAATACCGGCATGTACAGCGATGTTAACTTGCTCAAATAGTGTGGCTCGCCGTCATCATCCTCGGCCGTGATGTCGGCCTTGCTATATCCGCGATTTACTATCGTTGGATCTCTCTTCCGCCGCCCAAAACCATGGCACGGTATTGGGATTTTTCTCTACCTTCCGCGGAGGTCAAGCCTACGACGATCTCTAAGGTCAACACCGCCCTGCAGCTGCTACTTGTGGGGAGTGCCATTGCACTGCCTGTCGTCCCGGAAGCAATCATCGACGCATGGAATTTGAAAGAAGCAATGACTGGATTTCAGTAAGTGAATTTTTCTCATTATTGCCATCATCTCCTTTCACACTCCCCATCTTGTTTGGCTGCAAGAAAATAGTGTGAGCGGGCAATATAAGCCTTCTCGGGAAGAAACCAAGCACATACGACCACAGGGTGTGGAGAACAGGGCTTCCCGTCCGCTCAGCCGTACTTAAGCCACACGCCGGGAGGTTAGTAGTTGGGTGGGTGACCACCAGCGAATCCCTCCTGTTGTATGTTTTTTTTTTATTCTTTTCTTTTTCCATTTCTCCGTATTGATTTTGTGCCACACATAATCCTTTCCAACTGAATGGAAAACTAACAAAAAGAATTTAGATACCTCGTCGCAGCCACCACCATCTGGTCCGGAATGAGCTACGTCTTCTCTAGAGATGCAGTCAAGATTCTTACAAAGGAAGAAGTACAAAAGCGTCTGGCAAGGGCCAGCGCGAAGAAGTCTAATTGAGTATATCGCACCAATACGTGTATGTCACATGTACATTAGTTAGGCATCTATCTTACATATAGGAAGCGGTTTGCATGTGGGTTGTAACTGTATTTTGAGTTCAGCGTGAGTGCTTTTTTATTGGATTATTAACGCCCTCGAGTAAGTGGTGATCAAAAGCTGTTCTAGAATAACATAAAAAGGTATCTTCAATGGTTTATCTATAGTGTTATTGTACATGATGAGATGAGGTGATTCCTATAAATATGTGTACGTCTGTGACCCGTCAGAATCGACCAAGAGAAAAGCTGAAAAAAAAAAAAAAAAAAAATACAGAATAATGTACATATTTCTCCGGATTATTGCCCCCAAAGGCCAGATGCAAAGCAAGCCCTACCATATCAGACACCTATCCCTGAACCCGTCCATTGCGCCCGGTCTGTTTGCCGCTGAATATCTAGAATAGAACTGCAAACTGTGCATCTTCGTAAGTGGTGTGTGTGTGATTATGTACCAGATTAAGTTCTCAATCTAAGGAGCTTGTTGGAGGATGTCATCTGGTGTCTCTTCTAAGTTCTCACTCGCAGGTGGTGGACCGGATCTCCGGACATGAGCAAGTAACCGTAAGGCACCTGCGGGAGTGACACCTTCAATCCGGCGGGCCATACCAACGCTGACGGGTCGGACGCGCTCGAGAGCCTGTTTTTCCTCTGTGCTGATGCCTTGCACCTTGGAGTAGTCCAAGTCAGGGGGGAGGAGTAGGCTTTCGTCCTGCAGGAACTTGCGAACTGCTGTCTCTTGTCGTGCGACGTAGGGGGCGTACCGGCGTTCGATAGCAACGCGGGTTCGGATTTCTGGGGCAAAGGAAGAGGGGGTGTAGACCTTTCCGGAGGGGGATTCGATGTGCGGGATTAAGGCATCAATTTCGACTTCGTCGAGGCAGAGGAGGTCCAGTGCTGAGCGGATAGAGGTGTCTACTCGGGCCTTGAAGCCTTTACGAGACCATGCGTTGGAGGACATTCTTGTGTTGGCGAGAAGAGTCTGGAGCTCGTTGATCTGCGCCTCGGTGTCGGTGAAATGTCGCCAGCGTTTGTCGGAGACGACACCCGCGTCGCGAGCCTTTCGTGTTAGGCGTAGATCCGCATTGTCTGATCTTGTAGAGATACGATACTCGCTCCGCGTTGTGAACATACGGTAGGGCTCAGATACACCCTTGGTGATGAGATCGTCGATCATGATTCCAATAAACCCGTCTGACCGAGTAAGCGTGAGTGGCGACCGGCCTTGGGCGGAGAGACCGGCGTTGGTACCGGCAATGATTCCTTGTCCCGTGGCTTCTTCGTACCCGGTGGTCCCGTTGATCTGGCCAGCGAGGTAAAGCCCACTGATCAGTTTCGTTTCCAGAGTAGGCCAGAGGTTACGAGGATCGATGTAGTCGTATTCCACTCCGTATCCTGGTTGAAGCATGCGCACATTTTCCAATCCGCGGATAGTCCGTAGCATAGCGAACTGAGCATCTTCCGGAACAGTCATAGAAATTCCATTAGGATAAATAACATCGTTGGGCGCAAATCCCTCTGGTTCCAGCCAGATGAGATGTCGCTCCTTGTCCTTAAAACGGATGATCTTTGACTCAAGAGAAGGGCAGTACCTCGGCCCTCTGACAGTTTCGCGAATGTGAATGGATTTATCCAAGTTGGCACGGATAATTTCGTGAGAGGCCTCGTTGGTATGCGTCATCCAACAATTGAGTTGACCTTCGTCACCGACTTCAACCGTATTGTTGAGGTAGGAAAATGGTTGCGGTGGTGAGTCGCCTTTCTGAACCTCAAGGGATTTGAAATCGATCGTCTTGGCATCCAGTCGAGGAGGAGTCCCAGTCTTCAGACGACCAAGCTGGAACCCAGCCTCACGAAGGGACTTGCTTAGTCCAAACGTGGCGGCCTCACCCATGCGGCCCGACGGGTATACAGTCATTCCGATATGGATTTCTCCGCCCAAGAAGGTCCCCGTTGTGATCACCACTCGGCTAGTAGGTATGACCTCCCCAGACTCCAGCCTTACTCCGACGATTTTACCCTGCGCACCCGGCACGTCCTCCACACCCTCTTTTGACACCACTATATCTGCAACTTTCCCCTCCACAACACTCAGCCCTTCCGTTGCGAGTAGCTCTTCTTGCATGTATCTTTTGTACAGGTCACGATCGATTTGAGCGCGAGGGCCCCAAACTGCAGGTCCCTTCGATCTGTTGAGAATCCGGAACATGATACCCGCTTTGTCGATTATGCGTCCTGCAACACCGTCCATTGCGTCAACCTCTCGGATCATTGTGCCCTTTCCAATTCCCCCAAAGCTTGGGTTGCACGAGCATACGCCGATGTTAGAGAGCGAGGGTGTGATCAATGCAGTGCGAGCACCCGAGCGAGCTGCAGCAGCGCAGGCTTCCGAACCAGCGTGTCCACCTCCAATAACGACGACATCATATGGTCTACATCAGGAGTGTTAGCACCATGAACTAAATGAAGAACCCTGAAAAGGATAGGCAAAACAAGGGCATACCGTGAGCCATCCGAGACGGTGGCCAGGCCGCGAACTGAGCCCAGCAGTCGGGAGCGAGAACCGTGACTCCATCGTTGAAGAGTCACTGACCGCACCCGAAAAGCCATGATGACAGGGTATATGGTGGATAGTCAAATCGCAGAACGAATTTCGATCTCCGACTAACTAAACAGAAAATATGGCTGTCAGGTATCACGTGCGGTTACACTATGGCCGTTAACTCCGAGGGCGGTGAGGCCAGAGGCCTCCGTCGTTGCGCAATCGTTGGCCAATTGCGGGGCTCGATTTTCTCAACCCCGCGGACCATTGGCTTGCGGTCCTTTTTTTCTTGATTCATCCTCTGCTGCTCTTCTGTTCCTGAAGTATCTTCTCTCCACAGGACATTGGAAACGCTGCTCCATTGTAATCTTTGAAACAAAGTCAGACCCACAAGTCACGATGAAGGCATACTGGTACGACAACAAGCCGGTAAGTTTGACAACTCCGAAGGCATTCCTGGACGCCGTCATGATCGCAATTGGAGGACGGTAGCTAATCTTGTAACAGGGTGACCAGCGCGAGCCCCACGACTCTGGCCGTACTGTCTCCGAAGACTACCTCGCTTCCATCGGTGTTTTCTACCGCCACTACCCCGATATCGAGTCCGTCAATACTTTGGCCAAGGAGCGCGGATATAAGAACCGTGATGAGGTGTGCGTTTCTCCACAGGCCATGGGCGACGTGTACGAGTCTAAGGTGAAGATGTTCTTTGCTGAACATCTCCACGAGGATGAGGAAATCCGGTACATCCGCGATGGTGAGGGTTACTTCGATGTGCGCGGTCAGGAGGATGAATGGATCCGTATCCAGCTTAGCAAGGACGACCTAATCATCCTTCCTGCCGGTATCTACCACCGATTCACAACCGATGAGAAGAACGTGAGTTTGTGTCAGTTGTCTTTAATTCCGTCAGGCTGCTGACCATATACCTGTAGTATGTCAAGGCTATGCGTCTCTTCCAGGAAGAGCCTAAGTGGACGCCTCTGAACCGTAGCGAAGAGGTTGATACCAACCCCCACCGGAAGACATATCTTGGAACTCTCAACACAGCTGCTGTAGCTGCAAACTAAACGGGTTTTTGATAGGTTCAGGGCCAAAGCATGGATTACGGGATGGCTCGATTTGTTTCGTTCTACATCTTTCCAGGTAATTGGCATAGCTACATTTGACGATTGAATGTGTATATATCAGAGCAATGAGATTCATGACGAGCATTCGGTTTCGCTATGCACAGTAGTACACCAAAAAACACGCGTTTATTAGGCAAAAAGATCCTCTTTGTGTAAAAATATGTTAGTATACATCAGCAAGATTAAGTCATTAGTTAGCGGCCGCACCTCCAGGTAAAGTGCCAGGCATTTGAAAGTCATCACTCATGCCACCACGGCTTCCCTCTCGGGTCATGCTATGGCTGCGAAATCCGCCTGTCTCGACATTGGAGCTACTCGTTCGTGAGACAGTGTCGAACGGTGGCCGTTGCCCCAGTCCTCGGAATCTCAACCCATCTGGTTCCCTACCGATGTCCTCGGCTCGAAGTGGATTCCCCATATCGGCAGACATAGCGGACCGTGACGCTGCGTTAGAGCCAGTTTCAGAGTCCTCCCCTGTCCGTACGCCTGTCCGGCCCATGCGAGGCCAGAGATCGGGCAAGCCTACCACTTGCACTCGGGGCTCTACCACACGTTCCTCAAACCATGAATGAACACGGGCTTCCACCAATTGAGCGACTTTGGGTACATCCTGAAGCCTGCTACGGGAGCCAATGAGTGACCGCACCGAGAGGTCGAGTCGATAGTCAGGAAGGAATGAGAACGCGACGTTGCTTTTCGGGCTGGTTTTTGGTGGAGAGTCTTCTTGTGCATTAGGGGGCTCCTGAGCAGGCTCTCCTGACCCATTAGTAGGGTGTGTTCGTGTATTAGCAGCCCCATCTGCAGTGGGGGGTGACGGTGAGGGCGACGGTGTGTGAAGGGGAGGCGTGGATGCTGGGACCAGAGATATGCATAATGTCCCTGAAAACCGTACAACGGAGATAGATAGAGCCACTGGAAGAATGGCCGAGCAAGGTTTGGGGTAGTTCAACAGAAGGGAGGTCTCTACAGCAATAGAGAGATTGTCATCACTCAGGTCGACGTCCAACAATGCCTGAAGCCTTCCGCCGTCAGAGTTGGGATCGTCCACAGCAATGATGCGACAATTGCTGAATATTGGAAACTCTTCGCCCAGGGATATATCCGTCACCGCGATCTTGTCTATGAAAGACGGCTTCTTTTCTGGGTTGTTCAAGGCGGCAGTCAGCGAACTGAGGATCGAGGATGTAGGGTCATCTTTCAGCAAGTACGCCGTTTGCCTATACTGCGCAATAGTTTGTGCGATCAGTACATTGAACCAATCCAGTGATTCCGGCTGATGCGAGGAATGATGGATCCTATGGCGGCCATGCTTTCCCGAGGGGTTTGTAGGTATAGCGCTGTAGTAGGTTTTCCGAAGAATGGATCGAGTGTTGGTAGAGGATGACGGCACCGGACGAAGGACGTTAGACGTGGACGGTTTTTCTCTCAGCGATCTAGATGTTCCTTCATTGGGGTTTATGGAGTAGATCGAATTGGAGCGTCTGTGGGTTGAAGCGCGGTGAGAAAGGCCGCGGGACGGCGGTGGAGGAGCTTCGCCGAAGATGAAGAACTTGATGAAGGCACCAATTAGCAGTACCACGGAGAGCTGTCCTAGAAGGAATCCCTGAGTGAAGGATAGACTTGATCGCCTCATCAGTTTATCATTCGAGCAATTGTCAGGGCATCTATCTAAATGACGTACGAGGATTGCGCCGGAACGGCCGAGGGCTCATCTAATCAAATTGTCACGGTTAGCTGAAAATGAAAAGAATTGTACATTGGGAAAATCAAGAGCGCACTTTGCTGAAATGTCATTTTCAGCCACTGTCGACCTTAATGACTGCTCATCACCCATTGCTGCACCAGCGTTAGTAGAAGAGGTTTGGAGGGTTTGAACTTCCGGTCACAATTTAATTTAGACTCTGGACTAGTCGGGACTAGCGCCAGATCTCCTTATCGCATTGATTATCACACTTATCGTTTCTTGTTCTCGACCAGAAGAACACAGCAATGAGCAGGCAGTCAGGGACAAAGGGTAATATACCCACTTAGTCTCCAGTTTCGGAGGAAGTCCTTTTCTTCACTACGGCGATTTTCAGGAATTTCACACCAAAGACACGTCTGTTGCCCTGCCTAGTGGATAATGACAGCTGTCAACATGCCCGTAAACTAAACGCCGCCACAGCTACCACGTATACAAAAGCTCCACTTCTCGTCAATCTTTTCGCGAAGCCAGCCAGCTGTCATTGCTTGGTTTACTCTCTAACTATGTATTCAATAAACTTACAGGCACTCCTGTCTTTCCTCCTTCTTGTGCTCCCTGTCCTCTCATATGGCAGGAATCCTCCAGGCAACAATGCCATCCTTCTCTCTAATGTGCAGACGTTGACTCTGCGCGGAAATCGCCTCACAACCTCTCGCCGTGTGGATCCCATTCCCCAATTAAAATGCACCGGGCCATCTAAGAGGATATGTGACCTATATCCCATTGATGTAATGCGGTGCACCAACGCAGGCTACGACTATGATGAAGAAGACGTCCAGTGGACCTGTACCGCATCACTCCCCCAAGAGTTCAAGCTTGGCTCAACAGATGTTGTCTGCGAGGGATACCGAAATGCAGATGACAAGTGGGTACTGAAAGGCAGCTGTGGTGTAGAGTACCGACTCTTGTTGACGGAACTTGGGGAACGGAAATTTGGACGTGTACGCGAAGAAACTTGGCCTAGAATGCCGTCGAATAACAAAGGGGATGGTACGGGTTTAGTAGATATACTCTTCTTTATGTTTATGGGTGTGGCTTTTTTTGTGATTCTGGTAGCCATATGTGGAGCATGTTGCGGTTCGCGAGGAAACCGAAGAGGCCGTTCTCCTGGTCGTGGGTTTGGTGGAGGTGGAGGTGGAGGTCCATATCCTGGGCCTCCACCACCATATAGCAGCTGCCCGGATAGTAGTTCTTTCGCGTCGGCGCCTGCTGGACAGGGCTGGAGGCCCGGCTTCTGGACAGGTGCCCTGGGTGGTGCTGCGGCTGGCTATCAATATGGAAGCAGAAATCGCCACGAATATCCTTCTGCTAGCCGACGAACGACCTCCTTCGGCAGATGGAATGATGCAAATGATCCTGGCGAAGGCAGCTCGCGGTCTCGTTCTCCTCGGTTCTCGACTCCGACTACAAGTACAGGGTTTGGTTCCACAAGGCGTCGGTGATATGGGACAAGATGTATCTTAGGGGCTTCAAATGGTTCGCGCAACAAGTTATATATTACTCTAGCGATTTGCCTGAAACCATGCTAGACAAAGGGAAATCCAGTCCATGAGCCAGGAATCAAACGCCATGACCCGCGAAGAAACGGAGCAGACCGATCTGAACGGCAACTAAGCCGGGAAATCGTAGAAGGAAGTATAAGGATATGAAGGCAGAGCAAACAGTAGTAGGACTGAACCTCTCGCCAGACACCAGGACAACAACACCGGATTAGGGATATCGGAAACGCCGCAAACGCCTATCGTCACTGTCACATTAGATACCAACACAGTCTAAATCATATCAATCACAAGAAGCATTAAATTTCAAGGAAAGTCATCAATAGTGCCCAGAATTTCTTCGTTTCCACCGTTCATATTCTTAGCGGCCTGCTTTCTGCTATTGCGCTTGCTCTTGACAGGTGCAGTGCCTTGGTCTTGCCCTGAAGAATGATTAGCATCTGCGGCACCGTCTGGATTGTTAGTCAGCTCCTCTTGAGCCTGCTTTTCTTTCGCATGCTGATCCTCAATCCGTTTCTTCTCCTCATCGAGTTCCTGCTGAATGATCTTGGGGTCGTCATAGATGGTGTTGGTCATCTCTGAGTAGGTCGTAATGTCAACAGCTTCCCGCGGCCCTAGCAGTGTGTCCTTTATCCGCCCCGGGTCACGGCGCTCTTCATTGTTGAACTTCAACTTGATCTGGCGCCTGGACCTTCCCGGAAATAGTTTGCTGATCATCATAAAGTCAGTGCCGAACATGCGCAGCCCTCGATAAAACAAATCCGTCATTTCTTCATCCCAAGATTCAGTTTTGGAGCGCTTTCCAAATGAAGCCTGATTGACTTTTCGGGTAAGAGAGTTTTCTACAACATCCTCCAGGTCCCCGGCATTTCTTGCTGCATCTGCATGACGGTCGACTTGTAGCGATGCCGCATCGAGCACAATCTCCCCGTTCACGATTCTCATGACTGGTCCGTTCTGTGACTTTTGGTCGACTGAATTGCTTGTTTCCAATGCTGGCGGCGCTGCACTTTCGTTCTCTTTGATAGGGGTCTGCTCAGTATCCCCATCCTGTTGCGCTTTCTGCTTGCGTTCCAGCTCAGCCAGCTCCATTTGACGCAGTTCGGTTTCTCGCTTAGATATCTTCCCGGTCCGTAAGTCTTTGCACAGTTCCGACATCTTGACAATACCAGGCGCAATCTGCACAGCCTCAGAGCCTTCAGGGGTCGGTTCGCGCTTCTTACGAGCAGCTCGAGGCTTCCTTTCTCTCGCCTTGGTCGTCGTATCTCCACCATTGACATCTTTAGACGGCTTCCGTTTTCTTGACTTTGTTGTCTTTCGGTTTTGTTCCGCGGGAGGCTGCGATTCTGTAGTATCCCGACTCTCCGTAGTCTCCTCATTCGTCGAGGTCTGCGTAGCTGGCGGGGTAGCTAGCTGAGGAGGCCCGGTGGGCTGCTGAGGCTCCAAACCTGGGGTCGAAGGTTCGGCAGTTGTCTTTGGACGCTTGGAGGGCCGGGTTTCGGCCGGGGTTTCAGCGACCAGAGATGGTTCCTCGTTAGCTCGAGTCTCCGAGACTCGAGACTCTTCTGCCGGGGCTCGACCTTCCCTCGATTCATCAGGCGCTACTTCAATGGAAGGTAGTGGCGTGGACTCGGCGGGGGCTGCGTTAGGAGGTTGTGAAAGGGTAAATGCGGAGAAAGAAGGCTTTCGCTTTGGACGAGGAATTGAGATCGCCGTAGCGGCAGCCTTGGGTGTTGCTGTGGCTGTGGCTGTCGCTGTCGCTGGCGGTGTTGGCGCCACGTCATTTTCATGAGGAATCGCTGTGCCTGGAGCTGGTGTCTCAAGAGAAGGAGAAGGCTCGGCAGTCGAAGCAGGTTCGGGAGTTGCAGTTTGTGTAGGCGGCTGAGGAGTTTGAGAGGCCGATACCTGAGAAGTGGCACTAGGTCTTCTCGGAGCTGCAGCCGGAGCTGGAGCGGTGCGTCGGACGGGCGCCTTGGGGGCGAATTTCTTGCCCGACTTATCTGTCGTTGAGGGTCATTAGCGCAAAGAAATAATGAAAGACGCTGACAGAAGATGCAGTAGCGCAGAGTGACTTACTAATTGCAGAACTCGAGAAGGACTTCATTGTCACCGATGTCAGTCATAGCTGAAGGCGGGGTGGGAAGAGGAGAAGCCGGGGAGTGGTTTTAGTCCGAAGACTTGAGTTGACAATCGTCGTAGTCGAGGAAGAGCGATGACAATGCAGGCAAAAGTCTAGATGCTGCCGTTCCTTGAACTCCTGGGGAAAGTGGGCGCGGTCACGTGGGAGGCGCTAGGGCGGCGCTAATTCCCAGGCCGAAAATCCTCCTGGATTCAACCAATCTTGCTTATCTTGACTGCTTTCATCCCTCCATCCTAACAACGTCACCCTCTTCTTACGGTCGGACACTGTTGCGGCTCCCACTACTATATCGTTGCTGCTCAGTGGTGACGGCTTTACTCTCCTTATGCCTTTTTAGCCACTGATGCCGGCCGCCGAAGCATCCCCCGTCGCATCTTCCGAGTCCGGTTTCGTCAAGATGGAAGACCGGAAGAGAGCCGCCACGTCTGATCACAATGATTCGGCACCACCATTGAAGAAGCAAGCGACTTCTGTCAATGGTGGTAGCAAGCCTCACCCAGATGCTGATATGCCATGGAAAGACGAGTTGGAGGTGAGTTTAGCGTTAGCAGACGTAGTAGGATTATATCATTCCAGGGGGGCTTTATATACCCCTCGAACGCAGAGCCCAACCCACGTCGTTGGCTACAGTATTCAATACTAACTCTTGGTCCCAACAATAGCGATTCCAGAAGGATGCGATATGGCGCCAAATGCAGGAGTACAAGCGTGAGAAGGTCTCCCTGGAGGCTAAATTGAAGGAAATGTCGAAAGCCGCTACTCGCCATAATGAACACCTACGCGTCATCGATACATGGTATAATCAGGTCTGTAGATCAACGGTCCATGTCATGGTGGTACCACCAACTAACAGTTCCAAAAGTTGATTGATGAGGTCAAACTGCTCCTGGGCGCTGCGGAGGATACCAAGGAAGATAGGCCCATATTTCAAAGTTCTTTATCATTCGACGATGTCGACAACTTTGAGAAACATTTGAAATCACGGTCTAATGATATACGTGACATCATCTCTCGCCTTGTTAAGAATGCGCCAAAATCTCCACCTGAAGTATCTGAGTTACAGAGTCAGCTCGCCAAGAAACTAGCAGAAGAGAAGGCTACTATCGCTGAACTCGACAAAGCTTTATCTGAAAAGCAACAATTAGAAGAGAGCCTAGAAGAAGCATCCTTACGGTACATGGTAGCCGAGAAGAAGTTGGACCGTGCACGGAGTTTGACGGTCGCCAAACTGGAGAAACAATATATCCTAGGCCCTCAGCGACCTGGGGGTGACAGTGCGTCCGGCCAACGAGAGGAACAATCGGTTTCGAACGGTACGACACCTAGTGCCGAACGCGGCCCCGAATCAGAGGAAGCACACAACAAACTAGTAGCCATCTCAGAGAAGCAGAAAGAACAGCTGCAGAAGCTGGAGGCCGAGAATGCCAACTTGCTGAGCCAAATCACAGATTTGAATATCAAGGTAAGCCATCCTTCTCCTATGGCCCGCCGAAAGTCATTGGAAACTGACTTGTCGTGACAGCGTTCAAAACTTACCGATGATGATTATGCGCATACGGACCTGTTTAAGCAAATGCGATCTCAATATGATGATGTCGTGAAGCGGATAAATCATTTGGAGGCAACTAATGTGCAGCTGCGCGAAGAAGCTGTGAAGCTACGATCGGAACGCACTGCATACCGCAATCAGGTTGACGAAGAAACGCAAAATGTTATTGCTGAGAAGGAAGCGCAGTTGATGCGGGCAGAGACGGATTTGGCGCGGATACGGAATGCACGTGATGAGCTGTTGGCCGATCAGCAGATGCGGAAGGCTGCCCAGGAACAAGAAAAAACAGCTATTCTGAAGGTTCAGGAACTCGCGGAGGCCGGGAATGCTCGGATTGCTTCTCTGGAATCGGAGGTTGAACGACTTCGTTTGCAGGTGGAAAACGCAAAAGCCACACAAGCGGATTCTAGTGATATTCCAGTCGAGGAGTTACGCGCCAAGTACCAGGCACTCGAACGCCAATATGCCATGCTAAACACCGAGTTAACCTCCATGCAAACTGCCTGCAAGAAATACTCTACGCTAGCTTCGCAGAAAGTTACAGATTTCAGTGCGTTGGAAGAAAAGGTGGCGCGCTTGACTGCCGAGAAATCCAAGGCCGACCAAAAGTACTTCGCCGCAATGAAGAGCAAGGAGGCCCGTGACTTGGAAGTGCGCACCCTGAGAATGCAAAACTCGAAGAGCTCAGATATTGTTTCGCAGTTGAAGGAATCCGAAGCCGTTACACGTTCATTGTTGGCGAACATGGAGAAGCAAGTTAGTGAGACAAAAGAAGCACTAAACTCTATGGTGAACAAGCATCATGCTACACAGCAACAGTTGGCAGAGAGTGGCATCGTCATAGAAGGCCTAAAGGGACAGATTAATGAACTAAAGACATTGTCAACGTCCAAGGATGCAACTCTGGCAAGCACTTCCAGTGCCTGTCGGCAAGCCGAGACAGAGATCGAAGGGCTGAAGGCAACACTTGCGGATACCAAGAAAAGCCTGGATAATTGGAAGAACAAGAGCCTAGGGAATTCATCATCAGAATATGAGATGCTGAGGGTAAAATTACCTTACTTCCCCGCTTGCCTACAGGATATCACGGCTAACTCGAACATAGACGCTAGCACTTTGTACCGTTTGTCGCAGGAACTTCAAGAATACCGCAATCAAAACCTGCGGCCACGTTTTTTGCAAGGACTGCGTCGAAGAGCGCCTTACTTCTCGTTCTCGAAAGTGCCCGAATTGCAACCGATCATTCGGAAATAACGACTATATGCACATTACCCTTTAGGATCCTTGTTCTTGGCCTAATTGCGCGAATTTTATTTTTGTACCATAGTTTCTTACGCCCTCTTCGTTCTATTCTCCCAAATTCCCCCTTTTCGAGTTATCTCTTTTATTACCCTTTCCTTTTCTTTGCCTTTCGCGAATCCACTTTTGTCCCCCCTGAATCATGGAAAAGGTTACGGTGCGGTGTTTTGCTATGCGGTTTAGCAGGATAGGTTTCCAAGAGGGGCCGGCGTTCGACATGTTTCTTTTCTCTTTGCATATTGGCCAGTCAATGGCGGATTCCAGGTCTTCGGGGTTTCTTGTTCATTTGATTTCTCAACTTTCTGTTCCCTTGTTACCTTGTTCCCTTCTGGGACGGAGTTTTCTTGGATACCCACTGCAGTGTTCCGAGTAGCATCTGGGTGGGATAGCAGGGCATGTGATGTAGGATTAGCTTGGAAGTTATGGATGAGGCAAGAGATGAAGAATGCAGCATATCAGAGTCATGTCAACCATGACAATCTAAAGACAATCAGCACACTGTTATAGAATTGTATTCATTATATATAAAGTTGTATTAATTATGAATTAAATATCCTGCTGTATAGGAGTTCATGCCGTCCGACCCAGAGATCTAATGGCGGTACCACTTGACCCGCATCTTCTACGGGCGTATCCCACTCTCGGTCTATCCGTTGTATTATCATATCTTGTAGGTCTCTACTGGCTAAAATCGCCTGTGCTTGATATGGCCCCATCACGGAGGCGCGCACCGCTGCACTTAAGACAGCCTTCGCATGGTTCAACATGAACACATACGCTGTCTGGCGAGCATCCATGCCCATAGCCAGGCACACGATACCCCACAAGGGTGCAAAGTGACCCTTGGGACCCAAGTCATCTGCCGTGTCAGAACACGACTTAAGGGCGTCTGAGAAGTCCCCAATGGTCTCGACCGCCTTGGCAGCAGAATCGCCTGCTAAGAATGGTCCAGAAGCATATGTCCCTCGGAATGCCCGTTCCCAGACACCGATCAAAGCCCTCCCTTGCGCAATACTCGCTCGCTGCGCCACTACGCAAGGCGTTGACGCATCCATATCATTATCCAATGTTTCTAGGTCTTCTGGGTTTCGGTATGCTGCGAGAACGTATGGTATGGACGTGCTTGCCATTGATGTGATCGATAATTTTAGAAAGCGGTGGAAGGAAGCGGTGGGTGTGACTTTGGGAGGAAGAGGTTTATTATGTGCGAGATAAGATTCGAGCCCGCTAGAATAGGCAAATGAACCCAATGGGAGGGCAGAGTCTGATAGGAGAAATAGGGCATGACTGGAGAGTAATGGAATCGTATCTGGAAGAAAAACGTCAGCATTGGTCGCCGCAATGTCCTGTAAGTCATATCGCATACCCTTGGGAAGAGGCAAGTATGAATCTCCGTCAGTTTCCTGACCGGAGGCCAACGCTAGACGAGTTTTGGCATTCTGTAGACGATATTCGAGATCAGAGATCTCTTTCTCTAGAATCTGCGGGCTCGATTTTGTGATCATTGAGGCGTGTAGCTATATAGTTGAGGAATAGGATGGGGAATGAGGGAAATTCGCAGCGCCAGATGAAGGGCCGCCACTTCCTTATCTATGGCCGATTTAGTTCGCCGATAAGCATCGGAATCGCCCGATCTTGGCGGTCAGTGGTGGCAAAAAAATGGGTCTCGGCGACCGGCTTCGGAACATCTCGTATCGAGCCAGAAGCAAACTGTTTGGTCAACCTATGACAAATTGCGCCCGTTCGTCATGCGAGCTCGTTAGACTTACTGCGCAGTAGACTGAGACTGGCGACGACACTGATATTTTAGGGTTTATACTATGTCAGGAAGGCGTCTTCTGGACGCTATCCAAGTCCTCAATGTCGCCAAGTCCGTTGCGACGAAACACCTGGCGGTGCGCCAACGCCAGTTAGACTTGTTTACGAGAACGTCGTCCCTCACCAAGGGCATCAAGGAGCAAGTCGACGGCCTCGTTCTCACCGCTCAAGCCGCCGCAGCTTTGGCCAGGCGATTCGATGAACCCAGTCCTTCCGAATCGACGCCGAGGGCTCAGACCCAAAGCGTGACCGACACTCGCCGTGCGGCGAATGTCTCTGCCGACGACGCAAGGAGACCACAACGACAGGCGGAATACAATGGAAATGAAAGGTCGGGTGACTTGAACGTCAGTCCACAGCAGGATGTGTTCTACCAACCGTCCCAGAAAGCAGGATCCGAGCCATCTGGACTTCCTAGGACACAATTGCCCAAGGCGGCAAGTGATACTCAGAGGGGTTTAGTCAACGAGATTAATGCGGATGTATTTCACTCGCCGGTGGATGCCGAGAAGGTTGCATCGCCTGCACAAGAGCAGGAAATCCCAGACGAGGTCATGAACCAACTCTTTCGTAGCCCTAAGGTCGCCAAATCGATTTCTCGGAGAGGTGATGTGAACATGAACAGAGGCGAACTCAAGCCTGCTGGGTCATCCACGCATTCAGTCGAGAAGGATGACATAGAGAAACTTGGAAGTAGTATTGCAGATGATATAGTCTCGACCAAGTCCCAGGTTCGTAGTGTCATTATCCTAAGAAAGGATACCTATGCTAATAGCGTCGCGCAGACAGATCCAGTGGTAATTGCAGATTCAAAGCAAGCAGACACCTATAAAATGTTAGAATCGCGTGTTCCGTCATCACGTCTAGGGAGACTATGGCAATATAGTGGACTGGCGACTTCGATGGCTTTTGGAGCTGTTGGTGAGGGTTTGCGGAGAGTAACCGGCAGCAATGACGCGGATACTGGATCTCTCATGTTCAGCCCCGGGAACATGGAACGCCTCGTCGCTAAGCTTTCGAAGATGCGTGGCGCTGCCCTCAAATTAGGCCAGATGCTGAGCTTCCAAGGTTTGTATAGGCCCTTCACCTTTGCTGTGCTGTCAGGACAAAACTAATTGATTTAGACTCCAAGATGCTCCCTGAGTCGATCGGAATTGTTCTCCAAAGAGTACAAGATCGAGCTGACTACATGCCGGCCTCTCAGCGTGACAAAGTGCTAGCCGATAACTTGGGCCCTAACTGGCGCGATCTATTCTCCTCTTTTGATGAAGTCCCAATGGCCGCAGCTTCTATCGGTCAAGTCCATGGAGCTGTGCTAAAGAAGACAGGTCAACCCGTTGCCGTCAAAGTACAATATCCAGGTGTGGCAGATTCTATCGACTCGGATCTGAACAACTTGTCGATCCTACTCACTGCGTCTCGTCTTCTCCCGAAGGGTCTGTATCTGGACAAGACTATCGCAAATGCCCGAACAGAACTCGCTTGGGAATGTGACTATATCCGAGAAGCCGAATGCAGCAAGCACTTTAAGGAACTCCTCAAAGATGATCCGGTCTTTCTGGTACCGGAAATCATTCCCGAGGCCTCGGGCAAACAGGTCTTGACCATGGAGCGCTTGAACGGTGTTGCCGTTACCAGGATCCAAGATTTCACCCAAGAACAACGTGACTGGATCGGCACGCAGATCATGCGTCTGTGTCTGCGCGAGATCACTGAGTTCAAATACATGCAGACCGACCCGAACTGGACCAACTTCCTCTATAATGCAGAGACCAACCGTCTAGAACTACTTGATTTCGGTGCTTCGCGCGAGTACCCCACCGAATTTATCACAAAATACATTAACACGCTTGTGGCTGCCTCCCGGAATGATCGCGAGACTTGCCACCGTCTCTCCATTGACCTGGGCTACCTGACGGGTCACGAGTCGTCGGCGATGGTGAATGCGCATGTCTCCTCCATCACTACTCTTGCCGAACCGTTCATGGGATCTTCCCCGGATGTCTATGACTTCAGCAACCAGACTATCACGGATAGAGTCCGTACTTTTATTCCAGTTATGATCCGAGAGCGCCTGTCGCCTCCTCCGGAGGAGACCTACAGTCTTCACCGGAAACTCAGCGGTGCTTTCTTGCTGTGTGCCAAACTAGGCAGCCGAGTACGGTGCAAGGAGCTGTTCGAGGAGGCTATCAAGAAGGTTGATAAGTCAGGAATCGAGATCAAGCCGTAGGATCTGAGAGCCACTGTCTTGACCTACATGTATTATAATCCGTGCAAAAAGTCAACTCCTGTAAATTATATAGATAATGTACGACTAGAGAACATGATACAATAAGATACTGCAGACTTCGCCCCTCTGCCTGTTATATAAACATACAGTCGCCAGAGCTTCATACGAATACTCCCGCCTATAAATATTCAATCTTCTTTCAGATCTAGAAGAGTAAGGCCCTAGCTAAATTTGGAAGACTCAGAGAGTCAAGTATAGTACAATTGCAGTACTGTTCTATACACAGGCCATAGAGCTGGTATCACTATAGAATAATATACTACAGTGTATGTACTACCGATCCAATTAATTGACGCTAATATATGCATACAAATTTAACAAAGTCATTAGTATATGCCTGGGTAGCCGCGGCAAGTTGAAGCTTGGTTGCTTCTTAGCAGACCCAGTTAGCATACCATGCGTAAAACTTCCACAAAGTGACCCGAGTCTTCTAAGCCGGAGAAGCTGGGGGCTGCAAGGAATGTATCCCGCGCTCTGGACGTTTTGAGGCGCCATCACGTTTCATAAATGTGGTGCCGGTTCTTCGAAATGACACATTCATTCCGAGGCAACATTTGTGCACTCACTATGTTCGTGAAGGTCTTATCAATCCGACCCGACCAAAAGAATGACGGGAAGTAAGGGCAAAGGATGCGGTGTCATCCGGGGCAAAAAGCAGTGTCCACATAGCCAGCGTGAGCACTAACATGTTTTGGGACAAATACTGTGATAGATTTGTTCACCACGGACGAAATACACAGCAGTGACATGGTGAAGGAACCATTGCAAAGATCGCTCAAGCTAGGACGTTCCAGCCTGCTTATATCTTTGGAGACTTCTTGTCCATGTAGATTGCATTCCAGTACTTTTTCACTCCCGCGCAGATGCCCTTGTGACCCTTCCAGGAACTGAATTTATTCTCGAGCTCGCAGCCTGTCCAGAGAATTTCTTTCCAGAAATGCTTTTCGACATCCGTACTAAATTTTCCAATCACTTCTTGAGGAATAGTCCATGCGCGTGTGTAGCTACCGTCATCGGCGAAAGCCGGGTTGACGGCTTGCTTCTCGAACACTGTAGCCGGGTTGAATTTTGGGAAATTGGCATGGATGAAGAAGGCTCGGGGAGCAGGAGCCTTGGATCCATGAACGCGCCATTCACCTTTTTGTGTCAAGGCGTAATCCTCAACCGGGTCAAACTGGACCATTGCGGAGCCAGCCAAGCCGCCCTCGGTGCCGTGACCAATGGCGCAAATGGGCTCAGAAACCTGATAGTATGATTCTCCGAGAGCTAGAGCAGCTGCAACGAACGTTTCCTTGTCGCCCTCACCGGATGCACCTTGAGACAAAAGTGGGTAGTAATATTCGGGGCCCCAGAAGTTATAATAAACACTGAGAAGGAGTGTCTTCATGTGGGCCTTCTTGGAAAGGAGCACTTCGCCAGATTCGCTCGATTGCCGAATGGTGTTTGAAGGCATAGGCTGGGATGATATCTCGTAATAGTATGGCGAGATTGTGGTCGCCCAAAAGTCTGGCCACGTAACCATTTTCTTGGACTTGAAAGGTTCGTTCTCGAAGAGTGTCTCTGGTTGATGTAGGGGAAATGCGTCCGCATCCAGGAACAGGATTTCCTCAAAAGAAGAGAACATCATGGCGAACAATTTGAATTGGTATTTCTGGATATCCATAATCTTTGGAACAGCATCCAAGACATGGGAAAGCACCACGCATCGTGCATTGAGAGATGGAAGAACCACATCACATATATATGTCTCATATTCATCCTCATTGGCAAGGAATACCTCGAGTGGCAGCTCTGAGCCTGTCCTGCGAAGCATCCGAAGCGAGATGACCAACACGGGTAAGTATTCGCCGCCAGCGGTCGAAACCAATCCCCTGGTGTTGGGGACATAGTGTAGCATGGGTGGCTTCGCCTTAATCTCTTCGACAAACCCAGTATGAGCTTGCTTCATGGTCTCAACATGATCGTCCAGCATGTCCAGTACCTCGGGCCGGAAGTCAGGGCTTGCTTGCTCGAACCTAACAGACGGTGCCATTTCCAGCCGCAGTGGCGGTTCACATCTTGGCTGGTAGGTATCTAGAAGAGGCTGAAATTGACGCCAGAAGCTGATATGACCTTCCGGCTTAGTCAATACTACGGCTGGCTCGTTGGATGGTGCTGCCTTTGTAGCCGTGGATTGCGCTTGTTCCGCATAGAAGATACGCTGCCAGCGCAAGAACGAATATGTGATAAAAGCTGCGAGTGCAGCCGCCAACAGCAATGTTCGCACCCGCGAAAAGGGTCGAGGTAAAACCATTTCACCTCTCCCTCTCCCTCTCTACTTCCTGTGTCCCCTTCTCTCAACGGTCTGCGTGTAACTTGATTATTCTCTTTTCCTCTGTGGTCGAGAACCTTTCCCCTGAGATCTGGAGCAATCGTCGATGTCGATTTTCAGACTCTTTCTATAATCGTAGTTCTTTTCAGCAGGGGGGAAACGGAAAATCGCGGTAAGGTGACGTATTGGAAGAGCCCGTCAGCGCATCAGAGACAGATCGCCGCAAGTATGCGACAAGAAGTGATGATATAATCGATTCAGGGAGACCGGGGCGAAGGACACACAAGAGAGGACGTCGAGAAGAACTCTGAGGACGAAAGAGGCGTGCGATCAGAATACGAAGTCATGAGGAAACACGATTTAATTTAACTCCAGACAAGCTAAAATTCCAGGGTTTATTTGATCCATGCGCGAGGACCCACGTGTGCTCCGTCATGGAAATTATGGTATTTTTGACCGCCCAGTACTGGGATTTATTATCTCGGCGGGGAAAGGGTCCAGTTCTTATCGATAGGGTCTGGTAATTCCGATACCGCCTGCTGCCACTTTTTTAAGGTTCAAGAAATTAGTACTCTGTATTCACTGCCAACTCAAAATGTTGATTCGACCATGCAGATTGATGTGATTTATAACATTTCACGGAATCGAAGGGCCTGTTAATATACATGGACATATATCCTTGTCTCTCTTTGTCAGTCATAGAGATCTCCATTTGAGTCCTGATTGGATTCTTCCTCCTCCAAGATGGTGGAAGAGAGAAGCCCAGCCTTCTTGTTTTGCCTTCTGCTGCCGGCCAAGTACTCATTGAGCAGACTATATCTTCTCTCCGGAGCGTTTCCCTTCAACCCCTTCATAGTGCGGATCCGATGAGCTTTGGGTGGACGAGGTAAAGGGTACGTTAGCCCCAGGGATTGGTTCAAAGTCTCCACAATGAAGGAACTCGTATAGTACAATAGAAGCCCCAGTGATATTCCTGTGAGTATGGCTACCAAGACAAAGGTCAAGAATGCCTGTAAGAAATGTCAATGACCATCCCCTTTGAGCTATTGGAGCCAAGCGAATCGTTCTCTATTGAAAGATGCCATTCAAATACTTCCGTACCTCAAATTTTAAGACTAGTGTGAAGGGCAGGAGGGCACAATGAAGGGCAAATTGTCCCAATTTCACCAATGGCGTTGCCAATAGTTGCAGTATTCGATATGCGTAGTACATGAGAGAGGTAACAGGATATAGGAGTATCCATTGCGACACTGCGGTTATCACTGAGACCCAAGACATTGATGCACCGTGAGATATTATTATCTACCAAAGACAGTTCTTCATTATGTATGAGAATTCTTTATGCGATAGTACCAGACTCTAGGAAAGAGGAAGATTGATGGATGTCAGTTGATCCTTGTCATTCCTCTTAGATACATAAGCTTCCATAGGCGGTATCACCCGGCAGAATCATATAGATAAGAACTCTCGACTGAACGAGTTGTTGACCTTTTCCGGTTTCAAGCGAGTTCAGAAGTATGACATGTACTTGAAGACACTGCTAATGAGCTATACAGCACAGGAATGCGAGGAATACTAACGACGACTACTACATGTTATTGGTGCCATAATGACAGCTTTGCAGGCGACTTCCGGTGATCGGAGATAACTGCCGACCATCCGGTGGGAGCCCTAAGCCCTAACTGGTAAGTTGGCCCAGACTTTGGGGTCGCCGACATCGACATCATTGCTACTTCACTCGAGGTTCAACTCCGTTTTTACTAGGACTGTATTTACATTTCCAGTACTGTTTGGACTCTAAATCACGCTTGATATTTTTCCGGGGCCTTCTAGTTTGTTTTACCAGTCTGTGTTCCCCCCATTGTCGGTCGAGGACCGCGGTCTGATGCTAGCGACCCAATCTACATAACGTCCATCTCGTCTCAACTTCCTTCCCCTCCTCCCCTTCGTTCATCTATATCTGTCTCCCACATCTTCGCTTCTCTCCGCCTCTAATGGGTAACAACCCTTCCAAAGGTCCCGCCGGAGATGTTCCGCCGACTTCGGGTCCCTCGACCCATGCGGGTGACAAGAAAGTAACTCGCCGACCATCGCTCAATGCTTCATCAGGCACAGCAAAAGCCACTGCCGCGGATCCTTCTGCCTCCAAAGAGACGGCAACTGGTTATTCAGCTTCACAAAATCGGGCATCGGTTCAACAGCGTCTTCAATCGCGCAATGCTCTAGACTCAGCGACGCGGTATGCGCCTGAAACTAAGAAAATAGACATACGCTCCCCCGATCCGTCAAACCCCGTCCAGGTGCCAACCTCACGAACTAGTGCTAGGAATGATCATTATACATCTGTAGCGCCGTCCGCTCCACCTCACAATGCCTACTACAGCGCATCTGCACATCTCCAGCGGCCACCTCGATTGCCTCTACCGATTGGTGATGCCATGGCGACGCCAGGCTCACCTTATATGGGATCGCCTCCCGCGGATCAATTGCTCGATGAACAGACAGGTCAGGGAGATTCGAAGTTGGGCGATACCGCCGTTGAGGATGAAGAAGTCTTGGAAGAGCTGGAGCCGTATACAAGCAGTGGTGTAGGCCGGCCTGTTCCCACAATTATAGAATGGACTGCTCCTGGCGACAAGGTTTATGTCACCGGAACCTTTGTCAACTGGGAGAAAAAGTTCCGTCTCCACAGAAGGTATGCAATGCTATTGGTAATATCCGTTTCCATCGCCTGCTATTGGACCCGCAAGACCACATCGTTTAGCCTCTATGAACCTCCACCGCTAACGCAACACATACTAAGCAGTGAAAGTAACCCCGGTGTTATGTCAACCAGGTTAAATCTCCGCCCTGGAACCCACCACTTAAAATTCATCGTAGACGGTGAGATGCGCGCGGCGGACAGTCTTCCCACTGCAGTAGACTTTACCAATCATCTCGTTAATTACATCGAAATAAGCGCCGACGACGCTAATCGGTCACGAAGTGGGAGCGATAAAACATCTCAAAGCAATGTTCCTCCTGGAGTCTACCCTCCGCAAGTCCTGCCCACTCGAGCTGGGTCTGAGCAGGTTGGATCCGGATCAGCCGTTGAAGATCAACCGGACGAGCTGGAAGAGATTCCCCAAGGAGACTTCCGTCGTATAATCCCGCAGTTCCTTGTTGACTTAGACAGAGACGATGAAACTCAAGAGAGCCCAGCTTACCAACAAGCTGTCAATGTGATTGGCGATGCACCTACGCCACCAAGTCTACCACTGTTCCTGGGAAAGTCGATATTAAACGGCACTACGCCAATGAAGGACGATAGCAGCGTACTGAATTATCCCAACCATACTGTTCTGAATCATCTGGCAACGAGCAGTATCAAAAATGGCGTTCTGGCTACCAGTGCAACAACCAGATACAAACGCAAGGTAAGTCACTACAATAAAACAATCTCTGGTGGCTAGGTTACTAAGACGTGCAACCACAGTACGTAACGACAATTTTGTATAAGCCAACAGGGGATATCGCGGGATAGACATAAACACACAAGACGTCACTGCATATCCCCTGTTCGGTCAGGAGTGGCCCATTACTCCTTAGCTAGACAAGACCTTGTTAAACGTTCTTCGCCTAATGAATCTCCGCTGGCTCCATACTCCACTTCGTGTTTGAAACATCCGAGGAATCTTTCCCAACAAATTCAATATATCTTTGGACTAAATGTCTGTCCACGAGTCCACGACTATGGGATGTCTCCCCCTTTTAACCCCATTTTCTTTCACCGACAAACGCACATACATCGAAGGCCAAGCATATAGCCTTTAAGCACTTGGTAATGGGCTGAATGTTCGGCAGGAGTTGTTTGACTACTCATTTCATTGAAGGCGTTTTGGATCACCATTTCTTCCGGAGTTTCTTGGGATGCATCATTAGCGATAAGAACTTTGACATGTCTTGGCTTTTGCCTTTCTGTTCGTCATGCGACTGTGTCGTATGTGCATCAATGCTTCTCGGTCATACCTCGAATGCCTAATGTATGCTAGCATTGATCAGGTCCAATACGGTCTAGAGTGATGCTGGGTCATCTATGAATTACATACCACTACTTCTCCCTGGATCAATGTCTGAAAAGCAAGCCGGTGCTCCCATAGTTATCTATAATTCTCAAATACAAGTCCAACGATACTATACTGCAATCACTACATTGCAGCGGTCTCCATGACTGCGGAAAGTAGCGGCAAAACACGTGGACACCAACGTCTTCATGGTACTTCGTAAGTCTGTTTTATTCAGCAAATGGGGATCCAATAGATATATCGGCAGATTAATCCCTCCACTTTACGAACACATCATCCGTTCGGAACCGTTGCGTACATGTGGAGTCCTTCAACGGCGTCCTGAATCCAGTCGAGTATGCGAGCAAGCCAGCCTGTGCGATCATGATTCCATTATCGATACAGAATCTTTCATCTGTGGCGTGGACGCTACCTCCGCGGTCGCGGGCCATGATCCCCATCATTTCCTGTAACCTCTCATTGCAACCGACACCACCGACAATCAGAACCTCTTTGGAGCCGACGTGCGCCATCGCGCGTTCTGTTGTTTCAACAAGCATGGAGAAGATAGTCTCTTGGAGCGAGAAGCACAAGTCCGCGCGGGTGGGTTTTCCATTGCCATCAGATAGAGAGGTATCGGTCTCATCGTCCTTCTCCTCGCCACCTAGTCCATATGTCGCGGCCAGACCATCCACTGCGGCTAAGATACCGGAGAAGGAGCAATCCATCCCCTTCACAGTGTATGGTAGATCAACTAATTGCTTGCCCTTTTTGGCCAATTGTTCAATATTATATCCCGGGGCCGGGTCATTGGAGATGTGTAGCGTTCGTGCGAACCGGTCCAAGCAGTTACCCACTGCAATATCAAGAGTTTCGCCGAAGATCCGGTACCTTTGTGAGCTATATGCGATTACTTGTGTGTTTCCTCCGGAGACATAGAGTACAACTGGATTGGTAGAGCCTGTAATGAGTCTACCCATTTCAATATCTATGTAACGTTAACGCCATGGCACCAGAAGAAGTATGTAACAGGTTTATGCACGAGACAGGAACTAGAAGAAGCGGCACAACAATAGGCATTAGGGCTATACATACGTCCGACACAATGATTTACACCGACCAATTCCTTGCCCCATAGTAGGCTCAGCATCCGAGCTGCAACCGCAACGCTCTGGAGGGGAGCTCCCATGCCAGGGCCCTTGGTGAAACAAATACAATCCACATCCTGGACGGAAACACGAGCTTCTTTAAGCGCATTTTTCACAAGCTTTACCACCCACGCACGATGATGTCTAGCGGTATCTTTAGGGAGGAAACCCTCACCCGGGGGAGAGACATAGGTGTGACGGATGTTCGCGAGTACCTGCGGGGGGCTGCCATTATCAGGATGCAGCATGATGCCCACGCCAAGCTTGTTGGCGGAGCCCTCCAGGCCGATAGCGATCATGATCGAGAGGGGAAATTCAATTAAACAGTAATTTCTAGTCGTAATGAATATCAAAGGACAACAACACTAAACAAAAAGCTGTGTGGAGGGGGTTTACAATGAGGCAATTCGTTTCTTTGATATGAATGAGCCAGTACGGAGGGGCAAAATCGGTCTTTTTTTTTATCAGCAACGTTATCGATTGGTGCGCTTGACAGGCGGTCATATCCGCTGCAGCGTTTATCCGACGGTATACATCCAGTGGTACGGGCGAACTAAGGCTACTATGGAACTACGTACTAAAACTACAGCTCACCCACCCTCCTTCAAAACCAACCCACTTCGTGACTGTCCCTTCACACACACAACGGTGGACGATTCACTTTGTCGCTTCTCCTGTCCTCTCTAGCGTTCTCTCAATCCTCTGATCTTACTCTCTATCCCCCTTTTGACGGTTCCTTTTCTCCGTGTGCCCGAGAAAGAGTGGGGCTCTCGCTCGTTCTTGTATTCCCGTTTTTCTTTGGTGTGCTCTTCTACCTACTCCACTACTCTTCCTCGTCAAAGACACCATGTCGTCCACAATTCATTTTCTCGATCCGGCGAATTTCCAGTCTCAGTCAGACGAGTTTATCTCCTGGCTGTCTGGTAAGCCTGGGGTGAAGGTTAATCCTAAGATTCAGCTCGCTGATTTGAGATCCAGAGCGGCGGGCAGAGGTGTCGGTACGTGATCATTCCAAGAAGAATTTCGCCCACTTCGGTTTTCCGCCGCACCCCGAGTCGTATTTCGTGGAATGCCATCTCTGATAGACACACACCAATGTACTAGTGGCGCAATCCGATATTGCCGAAGGTGAAGAACTTTTTACGATTCCCCGCGAACACGTTCTTTCCACTCAGAATTCAAACCTGAAGGATCTACTCTCCCAGGATGTGGAGGAGCTGGGGCCATGGCTGTCCCTTATGCTGGTCATGATCTACGAGTATCTTCTCGGTGATAAATCGGCTTGGGCATCATACTTCAGGGTCCTTCCCCGAAAATTTGATTCCCTAATGTTCTGGTCGCCTTCAGAGCTTCAGGAGCTTCAGGGCAGCGCAATCGTCGACAGAATTGGCAAAGAAGGCGCGGAAGAATCCATACTTGAAATGATTGCTCCTATTGTGAGAGCGAATCCATCCCTCTTTCCGCCGGTGGATGGTCTAGCATCGTATGATGGCGATGCTGGCACTCAAGCCCTCCTGAACCTCGCTCATATGATGGGATCTCTTATCATGGCCTACGCCTTCGATATCGAGAAGCTCGAAGATGAGGATAATGAAGGAGATGATGAAAGCGGATATGTGACTGATGATGAGGAACAATTGTCCAAGGGCATGGTTCCCCTGGCAGATTTGTTGAACGCTGATGCAGATCAGAATAACGTGAGTTGCTCCCCCTTCGCATTTAACAAGTCATAGGCGCTCATTCATATGAAGGCCCGTCTCTTCCAAGAAGACAGCGGTCTTGTTATGAAGGCTATCAAGCCTATTAGTGCAGGGGCTGAGATTTTCAACGACTACGGAGAGATCCCCCGTGCAGACCTTCTGAGGAGGTACGGCTATGTGACCGATAACTATGCTCCTTACGATGTAGTTGAGCTGCCACTGGAACTTATTTGCCAGGCTGCTGGCCTTGAAAATGCCGATATTGAGAATCAACCTGCGGTATATACTCTCATTCTCGTTTATAACCTCCTGAGATACAGTGCTGATCAATGGTTATAGCTCCAATTTCTTGAGGGCTTGGAAGTCCTTGATGACGGTTATGACATTCCGAGACCGTTGGATGATGATTTGGCAGGCGTTCTTCCAGAAGAACTGGTCATGCTGGCTAAGACGCTGTGCATGTCAAGTGACGAGCTGAAGCAGCAAATTTCAAAGAACAAACCCCCAAAGCCCTCGTTGGGTCACAAGGAAGTAACGCTACTGTCAAAGGCTGTTCAATCAAAGGGCGCCCAGTACACAACGACCCCTGCACAGGATAAAGAACTCCTGGCACAGTTGAACCAGTTGGAGGCTACAGCCCCCTTGGAAGACTCTGCACGACGACAAAAAATGGCAATCCAGGTTCGGATTGGGGAGAAGGAAATCCTGCAAGCCTTATCCGATATGCTCATCACATACTCAGAGGGAAGCACGACCTTAAAGCGAGCCGCTAACGGCGACAGTGATGCCTCGAGGAGAACAAAGGCCCAGAGGACTTGATCCCACCGATCTGCAAGGCGTTGTCTATTTTGCATGGATAAGAAAAGTTTGTCTTTTGTTACAAGTGATATTAATTGTTATTTTTTTTTTCGTTGCTGACCTCATAGCTTCGCTATCCGTACAAGTCTCTATCGACTGATCATCTGGGAGAATAAAAGAAAAGAAAGAAACAATATGTACACTAACATGGCATAATCCCAGGGTCAGGTCATGAAAAAGCATCCGTCTGCGACATTATCCTGAATTTTTTTGAAAGCGTCGCGGCGTTCAGGCAACTGATGTTAAAAGGGGTGTTGAAAACAAAGACAGCTTGAAGCGTCGGGAGTAAAAGTACAGTGGGGGTTGAAAAAGATAATGGGAAAGAAAGAGCAACGCCTGCCAAATGCAACATATGGGTGTGGGAAATTAAGAAGATTTGAGTGAGGGGGAGAAGAACAGAGTCCAGCTCAAGTCTCAGGTGTGGGGGCAATGGCACCAGGCCCAGGGTTGGATCCCATGGCTTGCCCCGGATTGTTGGCCGTTTGGTCAGCTTGCAATCGCCGCTGTGCTTGGGCCTGAGCCTGGGCTTGCGCCTGCGCATGCGCCTGAGCTGCTGCCGCGGCTTGGTCTCGAGCCTTCGCCATCATGATGGCTCGGTGCTGCATGATGTGGATGTCAAACTGGTCTCGTTCAAAGTCGAGCTCTTCGTCCGAGTCTTCCTGATCATACTTGAAGCGATCGGCCTTCCACGGATCCAGCTCCACTCTACAACGCGAAACAAGGTTTCGACGATCGATAAACAAACGACCACCACGCCCGATGCGTCGCCTGAACGAGGGCATCCTGCTGGTATCGTCGCTCATCACCATGGTTTGAGGTGCTAGCTTGTCTCGGAGAGACAGTGCACCTGGGTTATCTAAGGTTGTATCCATCATGTTCTCCGATGAGTCTGAGGACGGTGGTGTCGGCAACTGGGCAGTGATGGCCGGGCGGAAAGCAGCCTGGAAGGTCCTCTCAGGCGATGGCGAGAGGGGCGCTCTTGTGAAGTCTACATAGCCCTCGTTCCATTTGATGTGCTTGGCGATGTTCTGATTGATATCGCGCAGAATTTCGTTTTCTTTTTCTGCCTGGACATCCTCCAGTAACTGCAAGTCCTCCGCAGCCTGGGTGCCAGCCTTTGGTGGCATCCGGAGCTGAGGGGCTGCCGGTCGCTGCACAGCTGGTGCTTCGGTCGGCTTCTTCTTGGGCTATTACTGATCAGTATCCGAACGATGCAGAAGCGGACAAACACGAGTCTTACCTTCTGGTTGATGAGATCCTCATCATCGTCCTTGAGATTGAGTTTCCTCTTCATCTCCTTGACTTCGGATCGTTGCAAGAACACTTGCCGTTCAATGGCAAGCATCTCCTTCCTCGCCAGCTCACGCTGACGCACCAGAGCAACTAATTGCCGAGCATCTTCCAGCTCCTTCCTCAGACGCCTCAGCTTATCGGCACTCTGAGCATCTCTGCCCCGAGTCTTGCGAATCTGACGGACTTCGCGTCTACGGAAACAGACATAGGGATCTGTGTCATCGGTTTCTTGCCCAGTCTCGAACTGTATGGACTTGTCAGCGCGGCTGTCTTCGCCATTGTCATGCGGGCCACAGAAAAGGAATTTACCTTAAGGCTCGGCATTAGTGACCGGTTTCCGGCGTCAGTCCTCGTTGACTTCCAGTGCTCATATACGTCTTTGGCGAATCGCTTTACGCTTTCCTCTACGGCTGCATCCATTGCATCCTGAATTTCGGCAAAACTCAGGACCGGTGGATTATCTACAGCTGCAAACGGCTGCTTTGTCTGGGCCGTCTCCTCGAAGAAGTGCATAACTTCTTCGAATTGGTCCTCGGTGCATCGGTCAGCGGCATCCCGCTTTTCGTTCATGATCTTGAGGAATACATCGTCCTCTTCGGTCATGTTATACGGGCATCCGCAACAGTCCTCCACAGTGGAGGAGAAGCGGATGTACGTCGCAGGTTGCGAGAAGATAGGAGGGTAGAGCTCATCATATCGAAGACTACTGAGAACGGTCTCTGGGGTCGGGATATGGGCCTCATTTACTTTTCCTTTGGCACTAGCATTTATGGCAGCTTGAAGATGGAATTCCTGTAGAAAGCCGCGTTAGCAGACCCTGTTTTGCGGCTTCTTGGCTACGATGCGAAATTTTCACGATGGGTGGACGTCGGGATGATATCACGTGATATGTGCAGGGATGGGCTAAAATTAGACGGGGGGACCACGTACCGACTCCTCGGCCTTCTCAACACCGGTTTCAATCTGTTGTAGGGCATTTTGGACCTCTTCTTCGATGGCATCAATGTCATGCTCCCTGACTATGGGAATAGAGGCTTTGGAGGTGAGCTTTTTAGGGCGCGTCCTCCCCATTCCCCCGTACCTAGTCATGCGAACTTTGGGAGCACGAAAATGGCAAGGACCATGGGCCGAGGGGGATAAAATTAGTATGGTTCGATAGGCCTGGTCATGCGAGATCACGTAGTCGTAATTTTGTGATGAGATCTGATGGGGGTGGGAAGATATCGACGATTGAAATCTCGTAGTAACCGCGCTGGCGGATGAGTTGACGTTGCAATGTCACCCGCCGGTCGCCTGTTTTGGAGCGCGCACGGCCTCAGGGGTTCGCTTGCCTGTCCGTTTCCGGTTAGTGCGGGGCTGGCCGATATCAAATTGTCTCGAACGGGTGCTTGCTGGCATGCCATCATTGTTGCGATCACCGCGTCCTTATCTTCCCATTTATCCACAATCTACGATCTGCGACTCGATTTATACCCTGATTCTGTTTGTCCTTTGTATTTCTCTCTAATTGATCTGACTTGTCGCCCGTATTCCGCCCTCTCTCACCACACCCCCTATACTCTTCCCCCCCGACCGCTTACTCGAACGTCACCCCAGCAGCCGACCACCAACATCATGGAACATTCCTCAGCACCCAATAATGCCGCCCTGTACGATGCGCGGAGACGGAGAGGATCGGTCGGAACGTCGCAACTCTTTGACAACATCGTCTCCGCTTCCAACTGTGGGTTCAATGCTCTCCTGATCTTTGTCTTTCTGCCATGTCACTGACGCGTCCATCCCCGGACAGTCGACCGAGATGAGGTTGACCGACTCCGCAAGCGATTCATGAAACTGGATAAGGTTCGATACGGCCGTGAAGCATAAAAAAGGCGCGCATACTCATTTGGATCCTACAGGACAGCTCGGGTACAATTGATCGCGATGAATTTCTTTCCCTTCCCCAAGTGTCATCCAACCCGCTGGCAACGAGGTACGCATGGGGTTATCCAGATGGAGATATAACATGAACAGTCTAGCTCACTTCTTTCAAGAATGATCGCGATCTTCGACGAAGACGGTGGCGGTGACGTCGACTTCCAAGAATTCGTTTCGGGTCTGTCGGCCTTCTCGTCTAAGGGGAACAAGGAAGAAAAGCTTCGCTTCGCATTCAAGGTCTACGATATCGACCGCGACGGATACATCTCGAACGGAGAATTGTTCATCGTATTGAAGATGATGGTAGGAAACAACCTGAAAGATGTGCAACTGCAGCAGATCGTCGACAAGACCATCATGGAAGCGGATAAGGACCAAGATGGAAAGATCAGCTTCGAGGAGTTTACGGATATGGTGGAGAATACGGATGTCAGTTTGAGTATGACACTGAGTACGTATTCCCTGCTTTTCTTGTCCCTTGTCGATAGGCTTTTGTGAAGCGATGACGCTGACCGTTTTGTAGGCCAAATTTAAGCGTTGGACGATGGGTTTGTTTTAGTTTCTTGTTCTTTGTTATCAGCCTCGCCGACATGTGTTGGTCGATTGGATCTCGTCGACATGATATGATAATGATAGCGATGACGACTTGTAGTTTAAGACATGCTACGTGCATAGTACAGATACAAACAATGATGGATATAGTTCAAGACCACCAAATCCCTATAGACGTCGGCTAAGGTACTTTTTCCTAGCATAAAGATCAAGATTTATATCGCGCAAATGGATCACATCGACTCCGGTTTTTTTACTTTGCAAGTTCATTGGAGAAAGCCCGGCCATTCGCTGCAAGCAAAAGTAAATAGTGGAGTCTTCCGCATGGACACACACTCCAATCGTATTGGATTCTACTCGAGATCCACTACACCAAGGATAAAGTAAAAATAAAGCAAAGGAAATTAAATTAGAGATCGAAGAGACGATGGTAATCGTACTTTTGGCTCCACTGAAAATGGTCCATTTCCACGTAGTACTAACTAGTGATAATACACCCTTGTAGTTCTCCAAAACCATTGAAACACTGAAGAGTCCCAATCGAAAAAAAAAAAAAAAATAGACCTGCGAAAGAATCCCGCAAGCCAAACCCTAGTCCCACCACTCCAAGAAATGACTATGCCGTCATACTCTCTAGATTCGACTAATTACCACAGAAAAACTCCCGTCCATATAGTTTAGACATATCACATTATGCACATTGGGGGATGTCACTCGGCTTGTCGCGGAGAGAATTGCGCCACGCTACTCATACTAGTTAGTGGCTATGTGAAATGAACCCTGGAGCTTGGGTCGGCACTCCCTCCTCCTGTAGATTATTCCAGGGTTTTCGGTGTCTAGTTGGGGGAGTTGTTTGTATAGAGAGTGTATCCAGTACAGAATATGACGGCTTTTGTACGATGGTATCTTCACCTCTCAATATAGCACAGCCTCTGGAGCTAGTATATAGTATCAAACTTGGTTAGAAGCGCTAAGGTGCCGGGACTTCGGGAAGGGGGGGTCGCTTGACAAAGGTTCAAAGTATATCCCAATGAAATACAGCCCATGGCGTGAAAAAAGCAAGAAAGATACACAGAAAAGATCGACACATCCACGTGGACGTGCTCAAGCCACTCACTACGTCCTATCCCCATACCCGACGCGCTGGTAGTTTCAGCCGGGAGGATGGGCGTGGCTGCTTAAAGTTGAAGTGGCGTTATCTACAAGCAGATTAACATAAATTGAATAGGAAATCGTTGCGACGACTCCGGAGGAGAAGGAAAGTGATTGATTCGATCTCGCACTCCCCGAGAGGCTGGAGAGATCTAGTTAGTAGTTTCGGGAAGAAGTCCCATGGTGATGACGATCGCGGAATCCTGCGCTCAATAGTTTGTTCGATCTGAGTTCATTAGCGACTGTACCGCCTGCTCGGGACGAACACCTGAGATTACCTTTTTGTGGTGGCGTCTATGGTAAGTGATTGGCTAGTGTTATAGAATATGGAGTCTATTACTAGAGGCGCTAAATGGCCTGGTGTGGTGGCAATTCCAGTTCCTGGTGTCGAAGGGGGAGGGGGAGGAGGGAAAAGAAGGGGGTATAGACCAGCTGGTGTGTCTGTGCGTTGAGGAATTCTTGGATGTTCACTATTTCTAATGGATGCCAAGGGAATGTCCTTCTCCGTGAATAGTAGGTAGGCGGGAGGGTGTTCAAAGAGGTCATTTTGACAGGACCAAGGGGGATCTCCTAGATTTACGAACAATGTTGAAGAAGTCTATGAATGTTCAGATAAGTCGTAATCGAGACTCGAGTTGAGAGTTAGGACTCGATGCCGGTTACGGTAAACGCGGCCAGAAGCAGCGTCACAAACAAAGAATCTTTGCGGTGAGGTTTTGATCTCTCAAGAAAATGGCTCTCTTTTTGTCTTCAGGCATTAAAAGTAGTCCGCCTGGTGGACTGCAGGAAAATCCAACCCGTTCTATAGCACACCGTATTTAACCCTAATAATCGAAGTGCTCCGATGCCAACCTTGTACACCAATCATAATGCAAAACCCGTGGTATATATGTACATGCAATCAAACACCGTGCCGGAAAGACCCGGAACTCCTTGTTTCTTTTCTTTTCGTTCATTCACCCTTCTCCTTCAGAGCCCTGGGAGAATAAGCGCATCCCTCAGGACATGGAGAAGCGTGAGTGGTGGGGCATGATCGGGAATTCCAAATAGCCCCGAGTGAAAAAATAATAATAATAATAATAATAATAATGGCGTGGACCTCATGAATCGCAAACATCTCGATTCCGCCAATGGAGGAAAAGGGAAGGGAAGGCGACGCGACGTCGAGCGAGATCGACACAGGGCCGGCGCATGCAGGTATCACCGAAAGTCAATCCAGCAGTCGATAGTTCGGGATGGTCGCCGACCTTCCAGGCCCTAATTTAGGCCCCGCATTAGATCGCACTAGGCGCGGCGCGTCATTACAGCCTCCATTATAGCCCGGCGGGAAGGATCCTCACGATCGAGGTCCAGCAAGAGCGGGCGCAGTGCTCATGTGGGCGCGAAGCACCTCCGGTAGGCTTTCATAGAGATCAAGACATTGGCCCAAGACTGAACATTCACGATTAGCAAATCTCGATAGATCCTAAAAGCCAAGCAACCGACTGAGGACTTCTTACCACCAAGGATCTCCTCTTCCCAGATTCCCATCTGATAGTCCACTAAGCCAAACTGTTCCACGCGATCGCACAGCTGGATCAGCTCCTTGCCTAACGTATCCATCACATCATCATTCAGGAGAGTGGTATGTGGCGGCTGGCGATGGGTTCGCAGCATGTCTTGCAACATGTCCTTCTGTTTTTGACACACCGCCAGCCAGCACAGATTGAAATCATTCCAGAGTTGCAGTCGGTCGGTATAGACCACTTGATCGTCGCGGAGAATACCTACTTATCCAGCCCCGCCCCCGGATGCTCGGATTAGCCGTCACAGTTCTCCGAATGCGGTGAGAAGGAGGTAGAATGATCGGAATAAGATAAAGCCCAAATCTAGATAAAGGAAGGAGAAAGGAAAGGTAAAAGGGTGGAAAGCGAGTCCGGTGAGAGAGAAAGTCTGTATGTACCTACCGAGTTCCCGGGCATTGGTCACAAGCCACTCGGAGATTTCCAAGAGGGATCGACTGGCCTCCTCCAATCGGCCAGTGCGCGCATTGTCTAAAGTCCCTCGCAGCGCGCGTTGAAACTGACCGTATGCGTCCGTCAAGGTGGTTGGCTCTGATACTCCCTGGGACGGGGCTTGTTGCGGTGGCTGCTGCGACGAGGACAAGTCGAAGCGTCCGGCTGTTCCCCCGGGAGGCATGTCGGTCATGGTGGTGGGAAAGGGCTGGGAGCCGGTTGGGCGTCCAATGGGACCTGGCTGGTTATAAGTAGGGACAGAGGTTAGGTAAGGCACACCGACAGCCGGAACACCAGCGCCAGTCGGTTCGTTTGGAGGGAAATACTGTGGAACGGGAAATTGACCGGAGAGGTCATCGATGGCTGCAGACGGCCGGGCTGAGTACGGTGTCACGACCTCATACGGGGCTTGCGCAGGAGCTTGCGGGCTGATGCCGTAGACCATCTCGGGCTCATAGGGAGCGAAGGGCGGTTGGAGTTGGTGTTGCTGCGGTTGCGGTGGGCGCTGCTGTTGGTCGCGCAATGAAGGGTACGGTTGCAATTCGTCCCCCTGCAACGAACCGCCATGAAAGGTCGGGTCTGTGTATCCATAGTCCAAGTACGTCGGCATTCGTGGCCGCCCCGCTGCTTGTGACAGTGCATCTCCACGTGCGGATTGTAAGCCGGATTGTCTGTATCGGTCCGTTCCTGCCACTGCACGACGGGACATTCCCGGCCTTGTCGCAAAGCGAGGTTGATCATACTGCTTCATGCGCCGGGTATCACCATCCATACCACCCAACCGGTCCCACAGAGCGTCCCTGCACGGTGGATCGACGTCAAGGGACCAATGCGCCGGAGGGGAAAGAGGAGGGCTCGCGTACAATGCCAGCTTGGCGGGAGGTGAAAGGAACGGGTTTGCGCCTGGGTCTTGGTTGTATCAATGCTGTGTTCTCTTGTCTCTTGGTGTATTCGTTCTTTTGTGTCCTTTTGATTTTTTTTTCTTTTTTTCTTCCCTTCCCTCTTGCTTCCTTTCCTGCTTTTAGGGTATTTTTCTTTTCTTTTTTTTAATCCACCCAACAAGGATCGAGATCTAAGCCAACCAACCTCGCCAGCTAAGCGCGCAAAGGTCTCACGGTCTCACTTTGTACAAGAACTCGGGCTACTACCAGCGCACACTCAAGTCTAGACACCGTCACAAGGAAAAGTCAGCCATCGATGGACTTTCTGAGAGAGAGAACAAATGAATAATAGACTTGCGCAGGGGAACAAGGGAAAGATTTAAACTACTTGCGCACCTTGCAGGGTATCAAACTCAAACGAACGCCAACGGCAAATGCGCGGACAAACTAAACTCGGGGCGCACAACTCTTGAAGGAAAATCTATGGAGATAGAAAGAAGAGAAACCTTGGGCAGGATTCTGATCAAGGGAAAGGGGCGTCAGAATAATTGGGGGGCTTTGATTTAAAAAAAAAAAAAAAAAAAAAAAAAAAAAAAAAAAAAAAAAAAAAAAAAAAAAAAAAAAAAAAAAAAAAAATAAGGATAAAAATAAATACAAATCCAAAGTTTTCAAGGTAAGAATCAGAAAGGTTATTGGGGTTCGGGATTGCTTCTAGCAAAGACCGTCAGATCCAATAACTTATGCTCCGAATTGCAGCCCAAATTTCTATTGGGAAACAATCATCACCAACAAGGAAGAGGGGAGAGAGTGGGGGAACCTGAAGGGCATGGATGGGAGTCTCCGATTACTTATACGGCCACCCAAACCTGTCCGCTGAGAGAATCCAGTTTGTTCCCCAGGGAAATTCTCCAGAGATACTGCGGCTGGACGATCAACTCGCCGGGATGGAGGGCAAGCAGACAATGGCACGCGGAGGCGTCAGTATCATCTTCTCGTCCAACTCGTTTTACGCGGTGGATTCCTCGCGGGGAGACTCTCTAAACGGTAATTAAAATACATAAAAATAAAATAAAAATGAATATTCAAGAAAAAAAAAATTAATAAATAAAAAGAGGGACCTTTCTAATCCAGGAAACTAAAGAAAAGGAAAAGGAAAAGGAAAAAGAAAAGCAAATAACAGAAAGGAAAGAAAAAAGAAAATCCCAACTTGGGGGGGGAAAAAAAATTAAAGTGAGTGTGTGAGGAAAGAAAAAGAAAAGAAGCCTAAAATGGACTCCAAATGCGAGTGACTGACTGCACCTTTCTTTTTCTTTTCTTTTTTTCCTTTTTTTCCCTTTTTTTTTTCTTTCCCTTCCTTCGCCGTAGTCTCCAAGCGTCATCATGGGACTCACAGTATGTATGAGCTTCATTTTAGTTCCTCGGACGGTATAGGATCCCTCATGTCCTTTCTCATCACCTCGAGTACCCCTCTTACGACTGGGGCAACCGGATCTCTTTCCCATTTCCCCTGATCGTTCGTTTATTTTGACGGGCCATTCAGCTGGAAAGTGGTGGATATAGCACATCCATCGCCGCCTCCACTACATGCACTATGTTTCTCGCCAGCATCATCATTACGAAAAGGTACGAGGTACAGCCCGGGAATTTTCTTAAAAAAAAGAAATAAGGGAACCAAAAAAAAAAGTCTAATGCCTTTCCACATGGGCAGGAAGGCGGAGCTAATCGGGGATCTTGGTTGAGTCTGAGGGAAAGAGGATCCAGCAGCAAGGCTCCTGGGACCTCTCAGACTCTAATTCTCTGGGACCTTTGTCTTAGTGCCTTGCGCCTTTGGGCCCGATAAGGTTGGTGACCAGTTCCATGGGACCAAATTAGCCCCATCCAGCTAACCCAGTGTCTATCAATCATTCCAAATTCTCCTCTGTCCAATGACTCCAATATCCTGGAGCCCCGAGACGCCGGTCTCCCCAAGTGGGTTTCCGAAAGGTTATATGATGATGTTGTTGGATGATCGTGAGCGATTAACGAACCATACTATCGGAACAAGTTTGTGAGTTTGGTGGGAGAGCTGACAAAATCCAAGAGAGGCAAAAAAAATAAATAAATAAATACATATTAGAAAAAGAAACAGAGAAAAGAGATCGAAATCTCAGAGTGAGGCGAAAAGGATCGGTGGCAGTCAATGAGCCGTCAATTATTTTATTACTATTTGATATTTTGTTACCAAATCCGTGAAAAAAAAAAAAAAAAAAAAACAAAATTTGATTTTTTGGTTGCGGGAAGAACCGCGAATTCGGGAGGGCTAAAAGGTTGACAGGACCCATGGAAATGGTATCAACACCACTAGCGAGCGTGCATTGACAGTCTTGTTTTTTTCTGGGCAGAGGAAGAACTGTCCAGTGTCCACCCATGATTCTGAAGAGTTGGTAAAGGAAGAGATGGTCATCTCAGCAAACAGAGGGCGTCAAGACCTCACTCCCCATATACTACTAGTAAAAGAGGAAGAAGAAAAAGAACCCTGAAAATGGTCGAGGAGACGCATCCTTCCAGATCGTATCGTGCATAGGTATACTGCAAGTTGATGGAGAGATTGATCTCCATCCCAATTCAGACAGGTACATACGGTCCTGCTCATAGTCCCTGACTAAAAGCCTATAGTCTCACACCTTCCGCACTGCTGGGAAAGGTCGTGCGCACCAGGTGGACCAATGGATCGGGACGGAGGGACCAGGGGCCGATCTGCAAATAGACATTGCTCCGCGTAGGGGAGATTCTTGACCTTTTCTTACCCTATAGGATCCACTCGAGAGCAAACGAATGGCCAAGGTCACTTCTGCCATTCCCTTTCTCTAGTGTCTGTCGAATTTGATTTTCTCTATCTTTTATATTTTCCTGCTTGTCTTCTTTTTCTTTTTCTTTTTCTTTTCTTTTTTTTTAAACCTCTCTTATTTATTATTCTTTGAGATTGATTGATTGTATACGTACGTTTGTAGGTCTGTATATGCATCCATACTGTACTGGGAGGAACAATCGGTCATGTGCCCTGCCCTAATGCTAAGTAGCTTCATATGAAACTCGTAGACGTCATAAAGTATTCCGAGACCGGTGCTATATTATGGGTTAATTTATTTGAGATACTACGACTGGAGCACGGTATATCCCTCGTCAGCCTTGAATGGTTTCGAAACAATAAATAAATAAAATAAAATGAGGCGTAGTCCCCCACTCACGCTAACTTAGTTCATAATGGACACTTTTTTTTTAAAAAAAAAAAAAATAAATTCATCAATTGTATTGGGCCAAACCAGTTGATTCAAATCATTCTCGGTCCCCACGGTGGATTTGGCTCCATCCAGCTCGTGCCCATGTAGGTATGATGTATGTCCGTCATGTTGACTGCCCCAGTGGATCTATACGGAAGATTTCCGGTGAAGATGTATTTACGAAGTATGATCGGGATCGGCCGGACTTTTGGAAATGGATAGATAATTTTAGATGGCATATTAGTCTGAATTGGTCGTGTACGGCTCATCCTCCTTTGCCCCCCAATTTGGCTGTCCCAATTCACATCCGATGCACGCCGTACCTAGAGTCGAGGATGACTCTCACCCAGCCTAGCCACTAGATGTATGCGGATGCAGCATCATCCACTCCATAGGACGAGTATTTCCCACCTGGGAAATCGTTTGTCATTAGGTATTGAGATCTTTCCAAGGCAGGCAGCAACTGACTCGTTCGTCCTTGTTTTTCTTAGGACATTCAATTCAATAATTGGCCAAGACTTGGTCCCCGTGGGCCCAAATAAATAAATAAAAATAATTAATAATGAACTAAAATACATTGTCACAATGCGGTTATCGCGCGCAAGTATCCAGCAGCGGGGATCCCATGACCCCGTTGCTTCCGGTAAGCGACAAATGTATGGACAAGCAATGAGAAGGAAATTGGCATTCGACCTGGCCGATAGTGAAACTTGACCGTCTCGTCGCATGTGTCGATGTACATACATACTGAAATATGTATTATGTATTATGTATAACTAGAGTATCAGGTAGGACAGTGATCCTATACAAGGTCTTCTGCTACTGCACGTAACCTTGAAATTCAGCGGCTCCTTCCAATTCGACGGGCCCGGAGCACATGACTATCCTCATAAGCTACCGTGCATGAAGTCCATTGTACGTACCCTCCCGGCTGCTCCGTCATTCCTCTGGAAACCGTTCGCCCACCACTCGTGTTGGGTGAACTCCAGGGAAGATCCCCGTCCGAGTATTTCAGAATGCACCTATTGTTCGGGAGCAATGGACGTCAAGCCGGCAACCCTGTCGTTGCTGACGAGCAGGTACAATAGGGAATTGTTTATTACCCCAGACTTGGCCAACGAGTGTTCGAGCCGTTCTCAACACTGCTGCAACAGCCCTGTCTCTTCTATTAATCTATCTTATTTTTCTGGATTTCTACCCTACTTCAAATCCTTGCTTGCCCTGCAGACCTCGCCAATGCTAGTAGCACTAGTATTTGAGGCCTATATCATCTTCGGTGATGGACCACCAGCTCCAGAATTATCTGCCAGTGTATCTCACGATACCGCATTCCGGCGTCAGACCAGACAAGCTGTTCTGATTTGCCGCGTGTCAGTATTTACAAACTCGGACCGTATCCCAATCAAAAGGATTTTCTAGGCCCGTTTATCATGACGCTTTGACACAGTGACGGGCGATGCTGTAAGTAAATCATACACTCATGCTGCATCGCTCTCTTGAAATATTGGGGACTTTGTATGAGCGCAAGCTGCAGCACACCTGGTTTTCCCGCTTCTACAGCGTGGCAGCGTGACGGCTGAGTCGTCTGAGTAACATGGATGTCAGCTCCCATGCTTGGCTATGAATTCCTGTCCGTGCTCAGTGCATGCGTGGCAGGGGAGCTGTTCGGTCGCTTGCCTGTGCCGATAGATGTGCCTCCCAGAAGAGTCCCCCCCCCCCGGATCACAGGTTCAACCCTGCAGTCGAGACGCTCTGATCCGCAACAAATGGAGCACATCCGCGACAACTGATTCGGTAGTCCATGGCCGGGATTGCTTTATTCACCCGAGTTGGTGCAGGCTCTGTGTAACTACACTAATCAGATTCGATAAATGCCGGCATACCCCTATGTCTGCAATGTGCGCCTACGCCTGGGCCGTATTCGTCCGACATCATCAGACGAACACCTTTTGAAACTAAATCTCAACTGGCCGGGCTTACCGCCACATGATAGTGCACAGAAACTACCGCACTTGGGCTCGACTGTGTAACAAGCCTCCGTCAGTGCCCAACGGGCCATATCTGACCGATGGAGATGACGAGACTTGGCTGCCTTGGGGATGGTTCATGCAGCTTTCGCCTTTCATGTTCCTCCGGGCTTGCGCGCTATGTTCTGAATAAATTCATTGTATGACACAAGGCAGTTCTTCCACTGTGTTACAGAACCTGGTGGTCGTGTTCGACTTGGCACGACTGCTGAGCCGGCCAGAATCTGAAACACGCTGATCCAGTGGCGTTCTTCCTTGATCCTCCAATAGCTACGTGAATGCTCTGTGCAACAGTATCACTTGTCCAGTAGTTCAATTGAATCAGACGAATTAACGCCAATAGCTAAGGGTACATGCTTGTCGCCGAGACCATGCAGTGTCGTATCTTGAAACGACCGCCATGACATCTGAAGAGATGCGTGCAATACAAAATATACATCGTCGAGGGTCACAAGGAAAGTGGAATAATACAGCAAGGAGAAGAATGAGAAAGAAGAAAAGAAGCTCCCGAGACAACAGGGGATAGGCCTGCTTCACCTCTTGACCCAGGTGGGCATCTTGCGGGCCTTGACATGACCAGGCTTCTTCCTCTCCACACGACGCGCATCCACCGTGATAACACCGGCTGTAAGATGACAGTCAGCAATGTATTCAATGAGCGGGTAGCAACACGCATATTGTACGCACCTTTACGCAAAACAGGCTTCAGTCCAGGCTCATGGACCAACAATGCCCGTGCCACGGCCAACGTAATGGCCTCGGCTTGTCCAGTAACTCCTCCTCCGCGAACGGTAGCCCACACGTTGTACTTGTCCAGCCTTGATGTGCATCGCAGAGGCCATGTAGCACTCTCTCGATCATGTAGGCGAGGGAACGCTTCCACCAAGGTCTTTCCGTTGATCATTACGTCTCCCTCTCCTTCAACCAGATGGACCACTGCCGAGGATGTCTTTCGCTTCCCTCGACCACGGGCCCGGCCCATCTCATCCACCGCCGCTGGCGCCGGCTTGTTCCCATACGGATTTCCAGGACGAAGAAAAGTTTTCAGAGTATCGCGCACTTCAATCGGCATGATCTTCGGATCGATTCTATTTAGTCGTTGTAAGATTTTGATCAGGTTCTTGTATTTCTTCGTCGGTACAGGTTCGCCGACAAAGTCGCGGAATTGTGTCAGTTTGAACCAGGCCATACGAGGAGCCTCACTAGGAGCAACAGTCGGTAATGAAGCCCATTTTGCTAGGGTAGTCTCCAGGTTCAGCAGGTGGTCGATGAATTTGGGGCTGCCGGAGAAGTAGGCGGGTGATGCAGGAACAATCCGGGCGGGTTGGGTATAGAACTTTGCAAAATCAATCTCGGGGGCCGCTTGCACCTCAGTCGCATATCCACGAGCGTTTCTCCGTTGTTGTGAGAGGATTGGGGTAACGTTAGAACGAAGGGCGACCTTGGGAGCATGGAGGAAAGGCCGCAGTTGAACGGTCCGACGGACGGACTGCATCGCGTGCACGATGCAATTGGGGCTCTGCCAGGCCATTGAATAGCTGCCTCCGGGCTGGCGGTAGCTTTACCTGAGAGTGAGAGGGTAAAACGAGAGAAGAAACGGAGCCGAGGAGGACTTGGGATCACCGGCCAGATGCGACTTACCATCTCCGGCGATTCTTGTTTCCTGAGGTTTTTCGATGGGGACGCGTCACGTGGACGAGCAAACGTTCCTCCGGCGCCGACGCTTCCGTCTGATTCGCACAAAATTTCGTTCTTAAGTACCCCTCGAGCTGCTGTCTTCTTCCCCTCCTTCTTTTCTTTCTTCCTTTCCCCCCCAGTCCTTCCATAGACAAAAGCTTTCACAATGGCCTTCGGAAAGATTTACGGTCAGCCTGTATGTGATCTTATCTTTCCTCTTCGGTTTCCTCTCAGGCATCATCAGCACTGATGATACTTTGCTGACGATCTGGTCGTCGTGGGGTTACCTTGGGGAACGTCCGGCTAATGGGTGACTACAGAACAACGGTCGCACCATCGCTGCCCTCGTCGCGGCTAAGGCCAACGACGTTGAGGTCGAGCTGGTTGAGACTGAGGCCAACGCCAACGCCGAGTTCAACAAGTCCGCTGAGTACCTCAAGCTCAGCCCCCTCGGCAAGGTCCCTGCTTTCGAGGGTGCCAATGGCTACACTCTCTCCGAGTCCATTGCCATTGCTGTCTACGGTATGTATTTTGTTTTGTTTTTTTCTTGTGAAAGATCTCCCTCGATTATACTATCTCGTTTGCCCGCCGCTTGATATGATGAGCGAATTTTATTCCAATAAAATAGTTATCCCTGGCAGAACAACAGTGTTGATGAACCAAACTCTGAAATTTCTTTGATTACCCCGCCTGTGTGTGGGCAATCTCTTCGTGGCGCCTTTAAGCTCTTCACGCGTTTGAGTTGTTTTTTCCCATGAACATAGGCTAATTGTGACTCAGTGACCTCGCAGAATGAGAAGACCACCCTCTTGGGTAAGACCAAGCAGGACTATGCTTCCATCCTCCGCTGGTTGTCCTTTGTCAACTCCGAAGTTCTCCCCCGCTTCGGCGCTTGGTACCGTCCCCTCTTGGGCTTGGACGGCTACAACAAGAAGAATGTTGAGGAAGCTTCCAAGGTTGCTCTGAAGAACATCTCCGTTTTGGAGAAGCACCTCACTGCCAACACCTACCTCGTTGGCGAGCGTATCACCCTGGCTGATATCTTCGCTGCCTCTGTCCTCACCCGTGCCTTCGCCACTGTTTTGGACAAGCAGTTCCGTTCTGAGAACCCTGCTGTCGCTCGTTGGTACCAGACCATCGTCAACCAGCCCTACTTCAAGGCTGTTGTTGAGAACCCCGTTCTTGTTGATGAGGTCATCAAGTACACCCCTCCCAAGAAGGAGGAGAAGCCCAAGAAGGAGGCTGCTCCTGCTGCTGCTGCCGAGCCCAAGCCTGAGGGTGAGCAGAAGAAGCCCAAGCACCCCCTTGAGGCTCTCGGCAAGCCCGAATTCATCCTTGATGAGCTTAAGCGTACCTACTCTAACGAGGACACCCGTCCCGTTGCTCTCCCTTGGTTCTGGAAGAACTTGAAGTCCGACGAGTACTCCCTGTGGAAGGTTGACTACAAGTACAACGAGGAGCTCAAGCTCACCTTCATGGCCAACAACCTGATTGGTGGTTTCCACGCTCGTCTTGAGGCTTCCCGCAAGTACTTGTTCGGTGCCCAGTCTGTCTACGGTACCAACTACAACTGTATCATCCGCGGTGTCTTCCTGGTCCGTGGCCAGGAGTTCAAGCCCGCCTTCGATGTCGCCCCCGACTGGGAGAGCTACGACTTCGTGAAGCTTGATCCCTCCAAGGAGGAGGACCGCAAGTATGTTGATGACATGTGGGCTTGGGATGTTCCTGTCGTCGTCGACGGCAAGGAGTACCCCTGGGCTGATGGCCACGTCTTCAAATAAGCTAGTGCATTAGGTCCCGTGGCAAACTCATGATGTTACGTCCTAAATTTCTTGTTGTTGGGTGGCCTTCCTCATATTCGGCCAGAAAAAATTTCACTTCACTTTATACCCTAGGGTTGGAGAGTACTACGCTGTTGCACGCCTTGTGGTTCATGTTTTCTGCATTGTGCCGCCCGTACAGCTCTCTGCCCGATCCAAATACCGTCTAATGTCCACCCTGTCCATGGCGGTTAACGCTTTCTGAAAAAAAACTATTTGATCATGTCACGCTTACGAATTGAGATGTCGGATGATGCAGTAGCTACTATTTTAGCACTGAATAGCACTTTGTGCCCACTCAACTACTTCTGGTACTATTCGAGTATTACTTTTTGTAAACCTATAAGCTCCAGTAAAATGTATTAGAATGTAGTTTGTTGGCCCGTGCTTGACCATGTCAATGTCCCAGGAATAATTGCAGTACTAGGATTTTGCTGTTGCATTTTCTAGTTGATATGCTTTACCTAGCCGATAATAAGGCTACACCGATCGTGCAACGGAGAGTTGGATCGAATAGAAGGTAATTACCATACAAAGTCTCTTCAGTGGGTGTTTAAGCCTATTTAACTATATAGTACAAATAAACTTTATACTGCCGATAGGTGTACCACGGAACGATTTCCATTGCAACCATATTATTCCATTCGTGGGTATCAAACTGCGCAAGCAAGTATATCTATCTATCTATGTACTAAACATGCATGAATTAGAAGATGATGTTTCTAATGAACGCACGTAAATCACACATCCATCAAGATCTAGTCGGTTCTAACATTCAAAGAATCCTCTAATCGATCTAGGAGAAAATTCTCGGATTCGGCAGATGAAGTCGCGGGTGATGGTGACCGGTCAAGGGTCGGTTGCACGACGGCTGTTGCAGATTCAGCGGAGGAGATACCGGTAGTTGCTTCTGCTGGGGTAATGACAGTAGTAGCGGTAGTTTTATCTGCTTGACCTGCTGGGGAGGTGTTTTGTGCTTTCTTATGGGCTTTCGTTTCCGCTTTTGCCTCTAGTTTTTGCTCTTGTTTGCGGGCCTTGCGTTGCTCCTTGCGCCTTTTGCGCCTTTCTTTGCGGGCTTCCGCCATGGCTGTCGGCCCGGTTGGAATGTCTTGTTGGGAAGGTGGAGAGTGGGCGTCACCGGTGGTGTTATTGTTGTGATTCTGGTCGACCTTATTAGTGCTGAGGCCGAGGTCAAGCTCAAGAATGCCTTGGTTTTCGGGTAACTCTAGGTTCCACTGATGGAGGACTTTGCTGACATCGTCATGTGTTGCTAGTTCGTCCAGGAGCTGCATAACCTTTGGAAATATTGTGGACTCATCGAGACCGGGCTGGTTGGTAAACTCTGGAATCTCAAGTATGTTGTATGGTTCACTGAGAGCCTTGAGTTTACTGTCGTCAATCAAGATCGTGTTGGACTGATCCCATCGGGTTTTCAACTGCGTGCCATTCTGTGCGGCTTTGCGGCGTTTATTCTGAGAAGGCGATGGGTATGACGCTTGAATCTCCTTATTGCTCCAAACTGTCTCTAATGTTTTGTAAACTTGGATTTTGGCCCGGTATTGGGATGACGTGAGACCGAACTTGTCACGACCCCATTCCGCAACAAGTGCCTTTCGTTTATTGCCCGGGAAGAGCTTGTCACAAACCGCCTTCACTGTGTTCGGCTGGGAACTGGACCAGATCATAACCTTGTATTTTCTCACCAAGGTATCTAAGAACTCGTCCAGCCCGGCCCTTCTGGAAAACACAGGCGGGAACCGCCGGTGCTTACGGTAGATTAGCGTACCATTCAAATCCAAGATGACCAGCAGTGGTTGGGGAGAAACGACCAATTTGGGCGGTAAGGTCGACTGCTCAATGTATGATCTGACAGGGGATGGAGGTTTAGGTGGCGGCAAAGCTTCATGCTTCGTTGCCGATGCTCCGACAGGTGGTTGACCAAGCGTATCTGAGATGTTGCCTCCAGCAGAACCAGCTGCTGTAAAAGCCATTGGATCAAAGGGCAAGGACGGAAATCCACTTAAGAGGGGCCCTGCCATCACGGGATTTTGTAGACCAAAGTTCATCAGGAAGGGAGGTGGAGGCATGAGGGAGAAGAAATTCAGAGGATTACTCATGTCATTCAGCAAAGCAGGGTTAAACGGTCCAAACGCAGGTTGATTGGAAGGCTGTGATTGGGACTGCTGGTTCGAGTTATTTGGAGAAAAGAACGGAAATTGAAGTCCCTGTTCATTGAAAGCCATCCCGCTTGGACCTCCAGGGAATACGGGCATATTGAGGTTTGGACGACTGCTAGAAGCATCGTGGCTGGCTCCCATGTTGGTATTGTTCTGTGAAGAATACGACTGCGAGACTGATGGTGCTGGGCGAACAGGGAACGGCCCTTCCGGACGAAACTGATGCGCCTGTGTGTCTGCGTTCAAATTTCTGTCCGCCGATACCTGGTTGCGCAGCCTGCGACTCCTCCGCGGGTTGCCAGGCGTAACTCTCTCAGGGGCCTGCACCGCTGCTCTTCCCGGGTCATTGCGAGTCACCGTCTTCGCATTCCAGCGACCTCGATATGGTCTCCATGATGCCCGAAGGTTGTTATTTGCATCTCCCTGGGTTTCACCGTAGCCCGAACCATTCTCTGCAACAGTAGACCAATTGTCTCCTTCAGCTGTCTGTTGCTCCATTCCAAGATTGGGGGATCTTTTGGTGTTAGCCAAAGCTGGTGATTGTTTCTTCCGATGGGACAAATGTGAAAGCAATGTCGAAGTAGAAAATGGCGCCGATACAGACTTCGGGATAAACTATAGAGGTCAGTTGTTTATCAAACAAGACAAGAACTACGCCGATGCACCTTAGAGGAAGCCCCACTTTGAAACATGCGAACATGCACTGCGGAAAGTGAGGAGGGTAGAGCGGAAGTGAAAATATAGGAGAAGGTGGCCGTACATGAGCGGCATCCCATGGGCACACGAACGAGGTGATACAGCCAACAGAAAGGTGTAAGAGAGCAAATGAGAATGCGATGAAACTGATGGCGAAATGGAAAATCGCGGCCAAACGGTCCAGATCCACCAGCGAGAGCGAAGCTACTTTACTCACCGCCTTAACGACCGGCAGTATCGCTGCATTTTTTTTGCTTCAACTTCACCGCCATTGATTGGGCTTCTATTGATACACTTGCTTCTTGGATCCTTAGCTCTCTTTTTCTTTCTTTGGATCTGTTGTAATACTCGGAAAGAACTACTTTCAAAATGGCGATCTCCGATCTCCTCAACCGTCGCGTGCGCGCTTTGCCGGAGGAAGATGAAGAAATTTATTCGGAAGAGTCAGCATCTGAGGAAGGAAGCGGTGATGGACACTCAGGTGAATCGGATTCAGGTTCAGATGATCTTGACAACGAAGCATTGGAGCAGACTGATGATGATGACAACGTTCGTTGCAATGTTCCTACTCCCTGGCCTACATAACGCCATTCTGACTTTCGCAATAGTCTGAAGACGACGCGCCCGTCAACTCAGAAGACGACGAAGACAGCGAAGACGATGATAATGGAGAAGACGATGTTCAAGCATCCCTTAGTAGCATATCCTTTGGAGCCCTCGCCAAAGCACAAGCGTCCCTCGGTCCGAAAGCCAAGCGCCATGCAAAAACTGCCAAACCTACAGAAGAATCCCCGCCGACGACATCCCCGCTAGACGACATCAGAGCGCGAATTCGCGAGGCACGGGAGCAGAAGCGTCAAGAATCAGGAAAATCTAAGGACTCGGTGAAACCTGCAAGGAGTTCGAAACATGCCCCCATGGTCCAATCATCCAAACGTGCCGTTTCGCGCAAGCGCACTGTTGTCGAACCCCCATCAGTGCCCAAATCACGAGACCCACGGTTTGACCCGACGGTGCTCAGTCAAGGCGGTCGCCATGATGCTGAAACAGCCAGGAAAGCATACTCGTTCCTAGACGATTATCGTTCTTCAGAGCTGAAAGAGTTAAAGGCCAAGTTCGCCAAAACAAAGAACGCCGAGGAGAAGGAGGCTTTGAAGCGTGAGATTCGGTCCACGTCGGATCGTCTACGTGCAATTGAGAACAGGAGGCGAGAAGAGGAGGTGATGGCAGAGCATAAGAAACGAGAGAAACAGCTCATCCGCGAAGGAAAGAAGAGCAACCCATACTTTTTGAAGAAATCCGATCTCAAGAAGCAAGTAATGCTCAAGAAATACGAGAATATGAATTCGAAGGAACGCACGAAGGCCCTGGAAAGGAGACGGAAGAAGATTGCCTCTAAGGAAAGGAAAGAGATGCCCATGGAACGCAGATTGGGCAACGAGGGCAACGATGACGGTGGCAGGAAACGGCGGCGGATGGCGTGAGACAATCCTGACAGCGTTACTGCAGTTCTGTTCATGCACTCTCGTATAATAAAATTAGTTTTTCGCCGGCCACAGCCTTCAGCACGACTCAATTTTGTTCTGTCTACGCGTTGCAACTTTTGAGGTTGTATGTACTTCTCTGTATATGTATAAACGACTACACGCAAACCGGCCTGTACATCGCTTAGAGCAGCAAGTGTAGTTACAGTTTTGCCTTTAGACAAACATCACGGTATTAGTTATCATTAAGTGGAAGGACGCATGTCCTTGCCGGAAGTTCGCACGAACTCGTTCCAAATCCGACGCCCTAGTCGTAAATTCAAGATATCCAAGTGGAGAATGGGGATCATAAAGAATGTAAGAGCATAAATCATCCAAAGGGGATGTGAAGTCAAAATAGTAGAGCGATCAAACAATGGTATCCCAACGCGACATGAGAAATAGAGCAATGTTAAAAGAGTGCGTGGTGGCAGAAAGAAAAAATCCATGCCTTCAAAAACAGGCATCCACATGATTCTCACATGGTCTTGGCAAAATCAAAAGAAACCCTAATTAATCACAAGGAAACGCCTCGCAAGTCCATTGAAAGGCTGCCCACTCAAAGCACCTTTCAACTCAGACTTTGGATGGTATAAACGTGAAAAAAAAAAATAAAAATAAAAAATGCAGAAGAAAACTATAAAATAAATGGTGAGAATGACGAGAATGAAAATGTCAAATCACGGCGAAAGGGCAACGTCGAAAATGACCTAATCCCCCACCGGTTAGGATGACATCCTGTTCATGCTGTTCGTATAGATAGTCATGTATATTCATCATGCCCAGGTGGCTGACACCGCTCATTATAAAGATACACCCGAGGAGCGGTTGTTGTAATATCTACTAGTCCCCAGTCGTCAAACTAGAGTATCACATTGCTGCGGACACAACACACAGAGCAATGGTCTCCCGTCTTAGTGGACATGAACCATAGTTGGACCGTTTCGAAGAGTACTGAAGACGACCGGCCGTGATAAACAAGAAACTTATGAATGAAACAGATCCCATGCTCTTGCACATAGTGCCAGGAACTCTTCTTTCTTTCTGCGCTGGGTCTCAGGAGAGTCTCTGCCGGCTCCGAATGGGCCATAAGTAGCCCCCGCGGAGGGTGCTACCGCTGGGTTTGGCCGGTACTGTGGTTCAGGACCGTGGCCCAGGGGAGGGCTTCCGTTGTCCTGCTCGTACTCACTTCTAGTGCGGCGACGAGCGGTCCTCTCGGAGGGATACATGGGTTGGGAAGAGGGGACTTGTGCATTGTGTATCGGTGCCGCTTCGGGATGAACTGCTGCGGACTTCGGTTGGCCGTTGACGGCACGTGGGGATGGTGGAGTCGGGGGCTGGTGGCCCCCATAGTGAACGATGCGTGGCAGCAGGTCCTCCCGTCCACCCGACAGCTCTTGGACAGCCTCCTCCGCCGAACGGTATTCCCGTGGTCGCTTAGGAACCTGGGTGGCGGTTCCCGGGATTCTAGGAGATGGTAGTGGCGGTAGGTTGTTTGACTGGGAAGAGTTGGAGTTGGATGCATTCTGGTAAAACGGCGCGCGGTTTACGTCCCGCTCACGGGAGCCCAAAGCATCAGAGCCGAAAACATCGGAAAGTGGAGGAAGTCGATTGTTCGTTTGGGTAACAGGGATATGGTGAAGATGAGACGTCGATGCTAATGTAGGACTCTGATTGGCAACTTGGCGTGTTAACGGCTGCGGTTGGTGTCTGCCGGTAAAGGTCTGGTTCAATGGCGCGGATTGGATGACACGTTCATGGGCAAATTGTGCTGCAGAGGGCGGAACGATGGAGAGGCCTGGGGGAGGCCTCCGTTTCGAAGCACTAGCCTTGGGGAGGCCGAACGAGGATTCGGATGGCTTTATTCCGTCTGGGCCGTCATCCTTGGCGGACCTTTGCAACCGTGACTCAATTATCGACCTCTGCTGGTCTCTCACTGACAGGCTTCTCTGTAATTGTTCTCTCATAATTGGATCGTGTGTCTGGAAACCCGGCGATAGGCAAGCGATTCCAACCTGGTGCATATTGACACCCTCCCGGGCCGTCATAGGACCACCAGGAGCGCGGGCTGATAAACCACCGGAGGTCGGAAGACTCGTTGATAAATCTAGTTTCCGCGGTCGAGGCCGAGAGTGGGACTGCATGGCAGGCGAGGACGGGGGTTCTTTCTTGACGATAACCTTGGGGGCAGTACTTCCGTTTTGCGACCTGATCAACCGTTAGCTTCTCAACCTAGGCGAGGATTTTGGGCCTTCGGAAGATACTTACGCAGGCGATGTTTGTTTTCTTCCTGCGGGCGAACTCTTTGATGATGACCCATCCCGAGAAGGCCCCGAAGGCCTAGGCGGAGTGCAGGTAGACTGGCTACCAGCTGTGGGAGCCAACGTCGGGCAATTTTTGGGGCTCGGATCGCGATTCATGTGCGAAGATGTCAACGGGGCAGCTGTGGCGGGAGCGACTGCAGTAGACATGTTCGCAAGATAAATGCGAGGGTATATACTGGAAAGGAAGATTCGAGAGTATTTCGTCGATGCTGAAAATCCACAACTCTCCACTTCTAACGATGCATTCAAGTCACGCCTTATACCGTATATAAACCACAAACTCTCTTATAGCTGGGACGACTATGCCACCCACGGTCTATCCGATGCTCTAGAACGCCCAGCGAAGCGTAGCGGGCAAGGTGTCAAGCTTTGTTGTGCCAGGCGCCCGGCTATTGATAGGGTAGGATGAGGCCGAACCAGATAGCGCGCAAATTCTCCAAACTCGGCAGTGTCGGCGGCTATATTCTAGGAACGAGAGAGCCCTGAAATCGAAGGGGTGGCGACAGCTCTAGGAACAATTCCAACCCGAAACCAAGACGACAGCGACAATGAATCGCGCACGGCGACAGAGGGAGGAGGGTGGGAGGGGGCCAACAAAAAAAAAGTGGCACACAAGCAGCTGTTGGTCAAACAGTTCGGGGGTGGAACTGTGACGAGGTGTGGCCGGATGCTTGGGAACAGCGGTTAACTAACAGTAGTAGCAGCTGGGCGGCAGTGCGGCGACTCTGAGAGGTCGGTTGGAGCGGGAGAACGATCCAGAGCAAGCGAGCGAAGGAAATGGACCGGGATGTCGACAAGGCTGGCCCAGCGATACGCAAGTGACCGAAAAAGGGAGGTGTCGAAGGTAATTCCACTTCCTTTGGGTAGAAATACAGAAATTAAAAAAAGGGAGAAGGGGGAGGAGGGAGGAAGAGAAAGGAAGAGAGGGAAGGAGAAGAAAAAGAAAGAGGAAGAGGAAGAGGAAGAGGAAGAGGAAGAGGGGTGTAGTAGAAGAGCGGATATGATGATGATTATTTAGTAGATTTTCCAGGCTGTATGGGTGAAGTAGAGAAAGAAACGAGCAGTGGGACAAAGAACTGGGGGGAGAAATTCACGTCAATCAATCAGGGTTGAGAAGTGGTAGTAATTCCAAACGGTACCACACTTTAGAGAGATTATAATCTTAATGGTAATAAACCAAGAGAAAGAAGGGGAAAAAAATAGGGCCAAAAAAGAAAAAAAAAAAGAAAAGTCTACCAAAATGAGACCAAACAAGTGCAAGTGAGAGTGAGAGAGCTGTATGTATGGTATTGATTGGGTCGAAACCGGAGCAAAAGACAAGAGATTCAAGACAAGTCATGTATGGAGCTCGGATGTGGGGGGGAACATTGGCACTGCTCCAAGATGATTAGGAGGACTATACTACATACATTTGGAACAACAACTTCTTGTAACATGTGTTGGAAGGATGGGATGAAAAAAGATCGAGAAAAACAGAAAAAAAATAAATTAAATTAAATTAAATTAAATTAATACAAGAAATTCTAATTATAATGAAGGATAATATTACAAGAGATTCCACCTTATCGACCCTCCCATAGGGTAATAATCATCAAACTCCTGAGGGTTCAGGTGTGTAGTGGAGAGGGGCTGATCTTATTGGTAGAGGCTGAGACATGGTTTGTTTCTGTTGAGGGCTCATCCGCTGATGATCTGACACTTCTGTGACAATTTTTTAGTGTGGATGATGCTGTGTGCTGGTGGTCTTTCTACTAGTACTATTTCATGTCTGTACCACCTGTAGTACTACTCGGGGGTAAAGCAAGCAATCAGTGACCATACCAATATATTGTAATTCATTCTTCATTAATTTAATATTTTACAGATAATAAGGTAGTCAATGTTTCTACATCTAATGGAATCAATAAGGAAAAAGTGATATATGATATTTAAAAGGAACGAAGGATTTTCCAAAATGCAAATATGAAAAAAAAAGGGAAAAAGGAAAAAAAAAAACCTTTTCCCATGTATGTAAAACCAGCTGACAATGTTCCCCGCTAAGCTACTTTCAGCTAATGTAGGGGCTCTTCCCTTGCGACCCCATCCTGTAGGTTGTGATTCAGGACTGCTGGCGCTTAAAATTGCTGGAGAACGTGATGTTATGACCATACCTTCTGTACGCTGTACTAATTGTCTCGATACGGAGTACATGTGAGAAGAATCCAACTTGATCACCGAGATATGAATCATATTACTACTCCTCTATGAAACAAATTGAAATTTCCTCCTTCCCCTTCCTTCATACAAGAAACTCAAGCAAGTAAACAAACAAACAAATAAATAAATAAGAAGGTGTGACAATGGCTTATAGTCCGACCCAGCTCAAAAATTTCTCTCCCTCTGTGTCAGGTAATCATAACAGCAAACTTTAATACCAGAACAGAATGAAACCAAGTCAAACCAAGCAAACACCCCCTTTGAACTATTAGCCTCCCGTAGCACCCAAAGAATCTGCGACACAAGCGTCCCTCACCAACCCGATTGTTATCCACTGGCGCCAAACTGGTGGAAACAATAGTCCCTTCCTGTTCCATGAAAGCTGTTGTAACTTATCACCGAGGAAGTGTGGTGTCCCTTCCCCTCATGGCCCTTGCAACTCCTCATGGGCATGTATGGAGGTAGTGTTTCTATACTACTAGTACATACAGTACCTGGGAGCCGACTTGGCTGACTTGGAGGTTATTTTCTTTTTCTTTCTTTATATTGGCAACCTGGGAACTATATCATTTGCCGTCTATTTCCTTTGATTTCATACAGATGTGATGGGTCACATTTTTCCCACGTTCTTTTGACCTTTTGTTTTTGTCCAGTTCCTCCAACTCCACTTAATTCAATGACATGAGAGAAAGAGAGGAGGAAAAAAAAAGGAAAAAAGGTTCAACTTTGTATCGTAAGGACAAGGGCCTGATCAGCCAACAGATAATTACCTACCTAAGACAGGAAGACGGCACATCTTCCGGCAGTCTGGCGTTACAAAGTACCGCAGTGCCACCAAATATTGACTATATTAATAACAACAGTTCCCACGATCTGCTTTGTCTCCCGATTATCACGCGGAAAGTGGATCGCCCTGGCTTGCGGGCGTCACATTGTGACATGCCCAGACGGGTCAACAGTTACATTGATAGTGTGAGAATAGTAAATACAGCTCCATTCCTCCAGACTTATCGGACAATCTATTATGTCGCATCCAATGCCGGAGTGTCTTAGCAAATTACCTAGGCAGAAGGGGAAAAAAATTTTTTTTTTGTCTCCGTCAGCCTTCTCCCATACCAGTCATCAATGACCTGGCCTGCCTCGTCATCACATACATGTCTCCTCAGATCCTCAACAAATGGACCATGATCGTCCCTGAATTAACCTCCGATCACTCCGTATTTGTCCCCATCACCCAAAGATTACAATGGGATCGGCTTGCCTATCCTTGGGTTGACAGCGAGTCTAGTTAAGGGCCTGAGCGGCTGCAAAGTATCTAAATTAGACGTTCAGGGCTGTCATTATTAATTGACTATCCTTTTTTACTTTTTTCTTTCTTTCTCTTTTTTTTTGGTCTTTCTGTTTTCCCATTCAGCTTTGTTCCATGGTAACGGTCATCTACTCAAGACCATGTTTGAAATTAGCTCAACCCTCATTTCACCGTCAAAGTTCCCTAAACCTAAAAGTATGAAGAAGGGTTTGGTTGATCACAGTACTACTATATCCCCGCTATACTGAATTTCAAGGCCGGTACCGATAGGGATGATCTGACTGTATCGACTTCATCGCCCCCAGCCCCAGTAAGCTATGTGGCTATTCCACTGTGAAACTACCTTATCAGCCCAACTCTGGAGCCGAAAGCGATGGGGGAATCTACCTCTGACATTTATCCCTTAGCGATCCAAGTCACGAGGTAGCGATATTAGCCGATGCATGGTGAGAAACCGCCAAGCCAAGGAAAAATGAGAGTCTTTTGGAGGGTCTAGATAATAGCTGGTTAGCTATTACCTCGTGGTGCCTTTTCGATCAGAGCTTATTCCCGCAAGAGTAAATACAGACCGCTCCTACTAAGGAGCCAGAATTGCATCGATCCCTGCGTTGGTTGCAGCACCAATTCCTAACTCGTGGATTAAACCCTGTCGAGGAGGTGGATTCGAGAAGTTAGTTTGCAGTAGTTGAGGAGCTGTGCCCCGGGGGGGCACAGAGTTCGTATGTGGTATGGATTATGGAGTCCTCATGTCGCAGCAGGAGCTGTTCTCCGTACAATGAATTGTTTTACTAACACTCTTCGGTACAGGTACAGCTACATGCAGATGAATGTATGCACAAGCTTGTGGTCGAACTGTATTGACATGGACCCTGTGCCACGGAGCAGCACCGTGTATTGCTCAACATGGAAACCCGATCGCCTATCTTAATAGTACTTTATCTCGAGCACGATTACCGTATCATGGCGTTCCCGGGGAGAAGAAAAATTGGGACACCGGGGAATTCTCCTGCCAGCGGGTTTGTTTTTTTTTGAGTAGTCATCTCAAAGACCTCAAAAAAGAGTAATACTATTATACGCGATCAATTTAATTGTGCAATTATTTATTATAATATCAGAATTCTGACTGATGAAGATGGGTTCTTTTGGTATTGAGCCATGAAACTAGTTCGCCTGTACTTCGTAAGTAAAAGTCACCCTGGCGGACCCACGTGTCTTCCTTGCAAATTAGATTTAAGGAACGAGCTGCCAGCCATTTCACGAACCACTAGTTTATGGGTCTTCCAATTTTCTGCCTTCCCGAGTCTCCAGAAATTATTGTTTTACTATGGTACTTCCGGAGTAGCTTCCGTGGATGTGCCCGTCGGGTCCAGATCAACTCTGACTTGGCCCTCTCGCTATGGTTTCCAGGTTCATGACATGAACACGTTGACTCGATACACAAATCCTGCTACTTGCATACATGTTATACCCGATACCACCTACTATCTTTTCCTTGATTTGACGTCGCTTTGGAACTTTCAAGTGAAAAGATGGAAGATTGCAATGACGTGGAGAATTTAATTCTGTTTTAATTCTGTTACAGGAACCTCGCCAACCAGCCCGATATTTGTTCTCTCAACAAATCTATCGGATATTTCATTTAACATCACGCACTCGTTTTATTACTTGACTAGGTTCAGGAGAACGAATGGACCCCGAAGCTGAATCCCTGAGTTAAGGTGGTTCGTCCTCATCCCTCGGAGTATACTCCGTCCTACGTATACTATTACGCACTCCATGAGATTTGCGATAGATAGAAACGGCAATCTTGTTTCTGCACGGACTGTTCATCGTTTGTTAATATTATCTCCCATGTGGACTGGAAGGTGGTCTTTGCGTCAAGCGAGATGGCCCTCGGTCGATCGCAATAAACTCCTAGGTTCGTGGGAGCTGCCTAGAATTAGATGTCTATCCACCATCTCCCTCCTCCTTTTATGCTATATGGGATAGCTCCTTACGGGGTGCATCGTCCGTTTGGTATGTCTTATTTTAATCTCAACGTTTCGGATTCTTTCCTCGACCGAAGTTTATGGTAGAACCCACTGAGGATCGCTAGGTGGGCTTTCCAACGAGTGGTTCGATATTGTGTACTCCATCCAATCCACATACACCTTAGAAATGAGGTCCTCGAAAGTTTTCATTTCGATCGATTCTTTATGGACGATCCGAGCTATTTTTAGGGTATGGACAGTAAGTAGTACCTGTTCAGGAAATTGCAATACTCCCCGACCCGTGGTGACAAAGAACCGCCCAGATGAATCCTGAATGCTATATGACGGACCTTAACCGCGGTTCAGGAGCACATATACCAAGACGCTTAAGGGTGGCTGGGAAATTATGCGTAGATCGGGGCGTCTGTCGACATCGTAATTCTCTCCCAGGTTTAGAGTTCGACTTTAGTCCTACTACCTACTATAATAAACTCCCAGGTCTGGTCAGATAAGGGCCTCCTTCGTCCTGAGTCCTTTAAGTAAATATGAAAGATCGCCGCTATAGCTTCAAGATGCTACGAGCAGCGGCACCGAAAGGCCGGTCGTCGTTCTACCCCAAATAGGCATCTGTATCTGGTAGCTGAGACTGAACCAGACTGCCAAGAGGGTTTTCACATCGTACACTCGGTTCTGAGTAACCTATTGGTATGCAAAACAAATAACTAGACTGTAGACCATGGCGGCAGAGACGATATGCCTACATGAAGGGTTCCAATAGCAAACACAATGGCTGTGGGGGGAATCTGCAAGTGGGACAACGTCTGACTGCTTTCTACGGATCAGCTGACATTTTTCACAGTAAAATTGTTGAACAGAAATCCATTCATGTTCGTTGTTGAATCTCTAAGGATGATTTTGCCAAGAATAAAAAACCTCCGACCCCGAAGGCGGTCAATCCCTCTATCGATAACCGTTTTTCGCTTTTTTTCCCGCTTTGCGACGGACTCGGCATCAATTCTGATAGCTTCACAATTGAGGGACCGCAACCAAGAATATATCGCAAGGCACTTAGAGAGGAGCAAACAGGTCATTTCAAAATCCTGCCACTTCCCGAGAACGTGCATTACAAGCCCCTACCCGGTACCGTGCTCAACGCAATTACCTGAGCATCTCGTTCCAAGAAATCCCATTCTACCTTGTCGCCAGCAAATCCGAAGTTGACCTCACAACTTCTTCTCGAGTGTCACTGCACCCCTCCGCCCGTGCAACCCTACGTACGATATCCACCATGCCTGCCTCCGTGCACTCCCAAGACCAGGACCAGTCCATGCTGGACGCCACCGCCGCGGCGCCTCAAGAACAAGAACAGCAGGTCGAGCAAGAAGAGGTGTTGGAGGAAAAGCGAATCACTGTCGTTCGTCTCTCCCTCGACATTTGAATTTCGCCTAAATAAAGCGAAGATGTCCGTTGCTAATTCATAACATGACAGCTTCCCGGAGCCACCGAGACAGCAGCCTCTTTCCAGTTTGACGGCGAGGGTCATACATTGGGCAATGCGCTACGATATGCCATCATGAAGAAGTATGTGCCGCTGTTCATTTATTTCTGTCGTTGACGTTGTTCTTGGTTGTTGTGCTGGTTTGTATATATGGCATTTGCTGACAGCTTGGAACAGTCCTCAGGTTGAATTCTGTGGATATACTATTCCCCATCCTTCGGAGACGAAGATGAACCTGCGTATTCAGACTTATGGTATGTTCGACTGTCCTCTTTTCCGTGGATTGCGGCCTTGCTCGTCTCTTCTCGACAAAGCTAACCTTGGAATCCAGACACAACGAATGCAGTGGAAGCACTGGAGAAGGGCTTGGATTCCCTGATGGACTTGTGTGATGTTGTTACGGACAAGTTCACCGCCTCTCGTGATGCCTTCAATGCCTCCGAGGCTGATAAAATGAGCTCTTGAATCTCTTAACCATTTTCTGACTTGCATTTACTTTTGATTTGTTCGGTCTGGGGTGTTTGTCTGGCGTTGTGTACACTTAGATAAAAGTTTTGCCGTTGGGTTCAGCATTATTCATGCCCTTTCGGCAACTCAGCCATTGTTATTATAGACTATTGATATCATACGCTATGTATCAAGAACATATGGGTTTGGTGACATGCTCACCCGATGTAGGGCTTTTTTTGGATAACATAGTATATACAAATTGCGGATACCCGTAATGGGGTGGACCTTAGCTAGTAGAATCCAATATTGTCGACATGTATCTTCTCAAATTTGTTAGGCTATTGGAACTTGTAAGAATGGGGTACCGTCACACTTAATTGTACCACACTTACACTACATCTATCAAAGACCGGTGAACTTGACAAATCCGACGTTAGCTACTCAGACAATATTTACATAACACTCTATCGGTGCAATCCCCGAACCAAGGTAGAAATCTCAATGCAAAGGTACTCAAGAACAGTTCAATTCAATTGCGGCCTTCCAAGAAGCCCGAGATGAAGTTAGGAGGTAGGCGGGCACCGGGGTCTTCCTCTGGACGGAAGTACTTCATCACATGAGAAAGCTGCTTCCAGTAGTTAAGAGTTTCCTAGAGCGTAAGAAAGAAGCATCAGTATACTTGATGCCCATTGAGAAGGTCATGATTGCAACGGGCCAAGCGCAACCGTGCACTCGGAACCACCGCATCTCGGCAAAGACCGAACTGGAACTAACCTGGAACTCAGAGTGGCTCTGGAACAGCAGGACATCGACAGCACCGAGCTGCTTCACGTAGCGGTGCTTCTCGAACTCCTGGCGGACCTTGGTGCGGATGGCGGATACGGGCATGTTCAGGGAGTACATGGTCTGGATCTCGGGGGACTGTTCGGTTCAATGGGTTCCATGTTAGTTTCTTTTTTTCGCACTTGAGGATAATGACGCGGTACGATCCTAGGTCGAGCGACTGGGTTCGTCTGTGATATCGACCGTCGTGAACCCTCCACGACTACCCACGCCAGAACACCAGCAAGAACAAGAATTGGGGCTTACTGACCGCTCTAAGCCATTCTCTGTAGGACTTGAGGACACGGGCCCTGGCGTCGGTCCAGTTGACAGCTGTTGGAGGCGAGGTGGTTAGCTTTGCATTTTCGTCCATTGACATCGCGGCAATTTCTAAAGGTCGGACCGGCTCGGTCTGCTGGGAGCAAGGTGGACGTACAGGAGCGCGTGCGCTGCGCGAGATAGGTGGGATTGATGGTCATGTTGAAAATATGTGAGTCTGCAACCCCAAGCCGGGCACTCAACAATGGCACACTAGGAGGGGGAAGAGGGGAGAGACGCTGGGAAAGAGGGTCGACGTTCCTTTCGGGCTTGGGTTAGCGTGACGATGAGATGGGATGGTGGAGGTCGGATCATGCTCTTGGCGGGATCCTTTCACCGCCTGCCTGTTTCAAAAAATTTCTGCGCCGTTCTCTCTTTGCGAAACGGGGCTTTGGTCTTGGATTCTTTCATTTCGTTTTTTTACTTCGTTTTTTTGCTTTTTCCCATTGAGACTGTTGATTCTTATATCTCTGGTGTGGTAGTCTAATTCTATTGTTGTCGATCCAACGTTGTGCAATTTATCGTCCTATCTCACTTGTGGCGTGACTTGGTCGAGAGTCTTTCTTCATCGCCGAGTCTCTTTTTGAATCCCCACGTGCATGCGATAAACCTCATAGATACTACCGAAAATCAACAAGAAAATGGCAGCAAAACCGGGCTCGGCCAAGTCCTCGGGCAAGGACTCGAATAAGAGCAAGCCTCTTTCTTCGGCATCGAAAGTGAGCAAGAAAGCCGTCAAGCGCCCGCCGCCAAAGGAAGTTAAGTCGAAGGCGCGCACCGAATCCAGCCAGCTGAAGAAGACAAAGAAGAGAGAGTATACGGAGGAGGAATTGGACCTGCCGAAGTTGAATGCAATCACGCCTGTTGGAGTGGTGAAGCCTAAAGGGAAGAAGAAGGGAAAGGTTTTTGTTGACGACCAGGTATGTCTACGGGTGGTATGGTTCCTCGCCTATATACCTCGTTGCTAATGCGCTTTCCCAGGAGGGAATGGCTACCATTCTTGCTATGGTCAATGCCGAGAAGGAAGGGCAGATTGAGTCCAAGTTGCAGAAGGCCCGTCAGCTAGAGGAGATCCGAGAAGCGAAGAGAAAGGAAGCCGAGGCTAGACAGGCCCAGAAGAAGAATAAATTGGTGCGTCATATTACTCCGAAGATGTGTTTTCTTCTCCAGGGAGGTCATAAGATACTAACGAGGATCGGCGAACAGGAGGAGACCAAGGCAGCGATTCGTCAAAAGCGCAAGCGCAGGGGTGATAGCAATGAAGACACGAAAACTGATACTACAGCAGCTCATACCAATGGGTCGTCTTCGAAGTCTAAAGGGAAGAGGAAAAGTGTTTCATTTGCTTGAGATTTTCTGTACAAAAGTATTTCTGTCTATACCAAGTCTATGTATCTAGATGGGGTTTGGCGTTTCCACCGGTCTATGTTCTGACATGAATGGCAACTCATGACAATCTTCTTGCTTCATAACTCACACCCGAGCGACGGCTTCGGTCATTGTAAACTGCGATTGAACGATTGCTTCCTACGCTTAGTTCAAAAGGGTAGACGGGAATTCCAGTTTGCGACGCATGGGATGAAACTCCGGTTTGGGTGTTACATCGAGATTGCTCGTATGGTTGACAACGTGGCCTGGAGCCTTCTCGGGGTTCTCGACCAAGAATGGAGTTTCAAGGTCGACTTCCTTGGCCATGAGATTTAAGAAATTGGTCACCTGTTCAATGTGTTAGGCGTGGAAGAGCAGCAGTAATGGTAGGCAACAACTTACTGGCTTCACAAACCATCTGCTGCCTCCAAGTTCAAACCAGCCAAGATGCCCACCCCAGGACGTCGTCATCATAACACCATAAGGGGTTTGCCCAATTTCCTGGAAAGGAAGTGATTTGACGGTAGCAATCTGTTGCTCGTCAGCGCATGAGTAGTCAAATCCAGCGTGTCGAACTCACGGGGTCATCTTCAGCTTGGACAGCAAAAAAAGGTATCTTAATAGCAAGCAGCGAATCAACGGACGAAGCATCACGATAGTAGGCACCCTCTGTTGGGTAACCCCATGACGCACATTGCAAAGCCCTAATACCAATTGACAGGTCAGGAATCACCTCAAGATAATATCATATAGCGTGGCCGCTCACCGGTCAAACTCATGCAAGTATGTAGTACTCCGAACCGCATCAATATCAACTCGAGGATTCTTGGAGACCTCCTCTACGTGCCTAATGGCATTGGCTGTTAGTCGACCAGCAGTAAGTCCGGGTGTACGGAGGACAGCCTACTGTTCAAAAAGTCGTTTCATGTTTGATCCCATCACCTTACTGTAGACCTCGAGTCCTATCCAGCTGCTTTGCAAAGTCACGGAGCTTACTTCTAGGTTCCAAGGGCTTGCGCAAAGTACCGCGGCTTTCAACTGGCAAGCTTCACCTTCTTCGCCCAAATACTGTACAAGTCCAGTCCATCAGGATACAACCAGCAACCTACGCCAGAGATGACTTACATTGGTGAGGATATTTGCGCCGAGGGAGAACCCGATCCCAAACAATGGCCGGTTCGGGAATGTCTTCCGCAGCCATTTGACAGCTTGGCGGACATCCCACGTGGCACGGGCATTATACAGCACGCTGCTGGTTATCTTGGTTTGAGCACATCCCCTAGAATTGATAACACACGCTTCCCATCCTCCATCAGCAATGAGAGGTGCCACGACATGGCGCAGGTAAATCTCATGAGAGCCACCACTCAGGCCATGGAGAATAACAAGCATGGGTTTCGTATCATCTGAAGGAAGCGCTTCGAATTCATCTGCTGCGAAGAACGCTGTCCTTTCCGGCAAACCCGATGGCTGCGTGTATTTTCTCTCCTGATCCGTCAGTTGACTATCTTTGGGAGCTTCGAATGGATCAACGACGAAATCCACCGCGAAATGCCCGCTGAACATTGGGTTATCGGCTTCGAACATCCAGCGCTTGTAGTATACAGGAACGTCATCAAATTTCACCGTGGTCCAGGCCGTTTGGAGATGGCCGTTGAATAAAAACGGGTTGAGCGGACATGTCTCTGGTGTGGCGGTACGACAGAGATCCGTCAATGTAATCTGTTGTTTAGTTCCTTTCCCGACTTTCTTCAGAATTAAGTTATTGTCTTTTGCGTGGAAGAATGAAACACGGCCACTCGGACGCAACCATGATAGCATGCCCATTACGAGCAATCCCGACAGTAGAATCGGCACCGAAAAGGAGGTCAAGAGAGTAGTAGCAGAGGTCTCAGCAGAGGCCATACGGGCTAAGAGTAAGGAGATTTATCACAACCGACCACGCTTGTAAATAAATTAATATCAGTGGGAAACGGAGAGAAAGAAAAGAACAAAAAGATAAAGGAAATGAAAATGGAAAAAAATGAAAAATTAATGAGATGTCGGACCCTTCCAATAATAATTGTTCCAATTATATTTATTCCCAACAAGTTCTTTTGCGCCGTGATTCATGTGCCTCGGCATCATTGCCCGATATGGGAATGTATGACATAAGCACCTTATCTTGAGACCAGTGACCGTGCTATGCCTTCTTGGGTATCGCCTGGTGTTGATCAGTCAGCCTCCAGATGACTCAGCACGTGATGTACGTCATGGACATCACGAGGCGCCAAAGAGGATTGTCAGTTGACAAGAGTCATGGCGGCGTTTGTATCTCTTTCCTGGTCAGGCTAGCTGGGTCGCAAACACTCTTAAGTTCAAATCCCCTGTCTGCAATCAAGGACATTCCGGAAGCTAGGAATCGAGAGATGTGTGCAATTCTTTTTGCGGTTACCAGCTTGGATGCCGGATGCGGAAACCAACTATAGAATGGAACATGGCATCATAGACCTCTTCAACTTTAGCACCCACTTTGTAAAAATTTTCTGGCAGGAATTCTGATACAATACCAGTCAGCAGGCTCTCCTGTTGAGCTTCCACTTTACTTGCACTAAATCAGTCAATACGGAATCGGTATGTAATTCTTATATCAGTCATTACACTGTGACCCTGCCGCGTGCGCCGTTTGCGTGCGAACCGAGAGCATTCGTGTGGACTACTTCAAGGTCAAAGGTTCTTCCTTCTACACACACATACTCTCTCTCTCTTCCTCTTTCTCGTAGAGTCACCTCTTTGTCACGCGGTACGCTCCAAGTCCTCTTATTATACGCCATGAGACTCCAGCTACAGCAAGAGACGACTTGGCTTCCATCTCACCTATGACTCTCTGTCAATCCCTAGATACATACCCCCATACAAAACCCTCAAAAATCCGAGAACAACTCAAGAAGGCCCTAGTTCTCGGTACAGCCTATGGTCAAGATTCACGGTTTTCCATCGATATGGCATATGGTCTTCGTCGTGCTGGGAAAAGACTAAAAACTCTCACAAAGATGCATCTCTGGTCACGAAGTCCAGACAGGTCAAATCCTGACTCCAGGAAACGCTGTTACCTCCTCGAATTGCCCACTGAGCTACTGTTGGAGATCATTTCTCATCTACCAGTGCTGGCAGAAGCCTCTCTGGCATTGACGTCTAAACGTCTGTTTGCAATATCCGGTGCAATCCTGGACTCCAAGTCACTGCATTTCAATCGGGATTTCGCACCACTTTTCCATCATTACCGAAATGGGCACAACTTCGTTACTAGTCGGTGGCAATTCGTTAAAGTGTTAGAAAACAACACATGGCGAGCTTGTTCGAAATGCTTGAAGCTACATCCACGAACTTTGTTCTCCGCACGAGAACTCAAACGAAAACCCGAGGAACGAACTTGTGAACTAGGAAATCTCGCAGGCATAGTTGACCTGTGTCCATGCAAGAAGCTAACGTTTCGAGATAAAATGGACCTCGTCGAACTCCTACTGATGCGACAGAAATCGATAACAGCCTTGACTGCACAGTTTGGGACGGGTATCCAGGAACGTTTCTGCTGGCATACCTGCACCGAAAATTATGGCTCTACAGAATTGAAGATTGAATTGTTTCCGGAGCTAGACGAGAATGGCCAGTTGAAGATAAAAACGGAGTATCAGCTATCGACGGGGTCAGGGCAGCTAGGGAAGGAAGAGTTTATCACACCTCGCTTTGGATGCGCACACCGATCTGTTGATCTCTGGCTCTCCAGCGTTTGTCAAACCACTATTTGCCGACTTTATGACAGTTTCTGCGCCTCCTGCCAGCGAATATCCGTTTGCAACTCCTGTAATTCTTCGTTGAAATGCCCTCGCAAACAACCTTGTCATGTTGACGAGAACTCCGGAAAAGCCACATATTTCTTTTGGACTGAGAGATGTCTTGGGGGGACATCCCCTGTTCCGGACCAAGCATGGGCCCTGCAGAGAATTCATCCGGCAGAGAATACGATCGATGTGGACAACTGCAGCGAGTTGTGTCCTTGGACCATCCGCGAACATCCTCTCAACGATCCCCCGTCTCTCGAAATGAACATTCTAGAGCCTGGTATGCAGAGCCAGTCAATGGATCAATTATATACATCGATTAATATGATCTAAGTGTATGGAACGCAAGGAGAGGAAGGTTGGGTGGACCATGTCTAGCAAAGGGAATGGTTCAGGTTTTGTATAAAGGCGCTATTTTGGGATTTGGTGCTGTTATATGACCCGACATTTTCTTTCCTTTGTTTGCTTCTTTGTCTTTACCGTGTAATTATTTCTTGTTGGTTTAACTCTTTATAAATACTAGTATATACTAGAGATCTAGAGATATACTTTGCACTTCTGTGGTGAATATATGTAAGCCTCTTGGGAGTGCTGATCCGGAATGGAGGGTAATTCACTCCCTGTTCGGCTAGTGTATATATGAGACTGACGAGTGTTTATCCGACATAAGACAGTTGTCCATGGAATAGGGTAATAGAGAAGAACCATGGATGTATGGTATGCGAAGTACGTCCTCTGCCCGAGAGACTAGGGCTTCTTTGTCTCGAAACTGACCGCCTTGGGGGTTTCTCCGAAGCCGACCTCAAAAGGGACAAGCGGATTTACTAGTAATATCGCGATCAAAACGCCCCCCAAAGGATATCATCAACTTCTACTTCTAAATGAACGAAAGCATAGACTCCAGGAAAAGCAGAGTGCAGCGATCACCACGAAGCATTATCTGCGTCCTGGGGCGATGAGCTATCCACCACCACCACCTCATAACGGCCAATATCCTTCGCAGTACCTGCAGCAGCCTCCTATTCAACCCCAGCAGACCATCCAGCCGCAGCAGCTACTGTATAATAATGCCCACCCGAACGTTTCGCCATATCAATATGGCAAGCCAGTCGTTTATCCTCAGGTCATGATCCCGGCGTATCCCGCCTATACACATCCGTATAATCAACAGCCACAACCACAACCACAACCACCGCCTCAACCTCAACCTCAACCGCCGCCGCCGCAACCACAACCACAACCGCAACCGCAACCGCAACCGCAACCGCAACAGCCGCAACAGCAATATGTAAACCCATCCGACTTGTTCAACACACCACCCCTCCCTTCGATATCACCCTCACAGTTTACCCAGAGGCCATCTCAATATGGTGGACAACCTGCGGCCTCTACCGCCGCAGCCAGTAGCCTCTCCGCAGCGCTCACCACCCCCGCCGCAACGCAACCAACGTACTACACAGCTGCCGGCCCAAACCAAGGGAACCAGGTCTATAGCAAGCTTCCACAGGCCACACCAAGTGCTACACCAAGTGCAACACCGAAACCTACCCCGAAGCCTACGCCGAAACCAACACCAAAGGTTACACCAAAGATGATGCCCAAGACTACCGCCGCGATTGCACCAAATCCCCCAACTGTTCGACCCACACCTGTTACCGCAACTCCCCCGGCACTATCACCCAGACCTGTCCCCCAAGTATTGATCCCAGCCCCTCCCCCAGAAATACAACAGAAATTACAACGGCCGCCGGCCAAGAAGCAAGCGCAGCGACAAGCTGGACAAATGGGCCCCCAAAAACCAGCAAAGCCTGCCATCGACTATCAGGTCCTGCTCCTGGCGATGGCAGATGAATATCTCAATGCGGCCCACAATAACGGAACCATGGTCGCCTTGCTGAAACAAGAATTGGAAGTGGAGGAATACTATAAGTTGGTCGCAACAGGTCTTGGTTGCTTGGAGGCGGTGTTGAAGGTTGGTGTGAACTTGCTTCGCTAATATCGATCTTGCCAGATTCCGACTAACTCTCTTTAAATCTTGTTAGAACTGGAGATTGCAACCCCGAGTCGAAGCGCTTGTGCGATTAAGGTATGCGCGCATTCTGTTCGAGGAGACGGACAACGATCTCGAAGCGGAGACCGCATTGAGCAAAGGCGTATGTCTAACACCTGTGAAATCACTATCAAGCCACGCTGCTAACATTCTACCGATAGATTGACTTGTGCGAGCGGGTGAGTCGCTTTGCGTTCAGCTCTGTATTCCGTTGTTGTGTCCCTGATTACTTACAACATCGCAGAACCGTATGCTGGACTTAAAATACAGCATGCAACATCTTTTGGCACGGATGCTACACAAGACAAACCCTAAGGCCTCAATGAAAGCTGTGGATGGAATGATCCAGGATGTAGAAGCGTGAGTGACTTTCAAACTCGCGGTGCACAGATCATATGCTGACTAGCGTAGATATCGCCACTCTGCCTGGGAGTATGCATTTCGTTTCCTCCGGGTATCCCTCTCGCTGTCTTCCTCAGGCCACCAAGACTCCGTTGCAGCTCTGCAACATCTCCACAAGATCGCTAATATGGCCAACCGCAATGGTGATAAGGCTGTTTCGGCCATGTCGGCCGTCATCGAGGCCCTTGCACACCTCCAACAGGGATCCGGCTTCGACTCCATTGAACAGGCTCAACGCGCCCTGGCGGTTGCTCGGAGTCACCAGCTTAATGATGAGCTTCGTCATATACCGCAGCTGACGACACTGGTGCAGATGGTCGATATTTGTTGCAGCCTTCTTGAATATGACATCAATCAATCTTCCCAGAAGCTGAAGAACCTACAAGACTTGATGGACGAGCGATTGAACGACCCCAACTGGCGTGCCGATGGATCGTTCTCCATACCTCTAAGCGGTAAATCAGCAGGACCATCGTCAATAGACACGGGAGACATTCTTCAGGTCCAGAATGGCACGTTGCTCTTGAGCTTTAATTGGCTACCTCAGCATGATCTTTATGCGCTTTGCTACTTCTTAAGTTCAATTACACTCAGCTGCAAGAACTCATACGATGGCCGTAAAGCCGAGAAATTCCTCCAGGAGGGGATACACATGATACAAGGCAAGCACCACGTCCACTTTGGGTGGTTTAACGCTAAATTGATGCTAACTTCGTCGTCCAGGGAGCTTCAAATCGCCACAGGACATCACCGAGTCAATGGTCAATGCGAATAGGCGGGTAGAATGGCGCAGGACGCTGTACTGCAACCTCCTCCTTCAACAAGTTTTCCTTGCCTGTGGCCGCACGGACTGGGACCTTGCCAGCAAAACGCTGAAGGACCTCCGACAGGAAGTCCAAGAGCTTGGCGAGTGTCTACCTGATACTGTCCAATGTCTGATGGAGTACGCTGCGGGTACCATTGCACAAGCAACTGGCGATCTGAAAGCTGCTCTCGATGCGTTTCAATCCCCTTTTCTTTCGTTATCTCCGTCGACGAGCAAAACAGCCCGCAATGACCCCCGGCGTGATATTGCACTTCTTGCAGCTCTCAATACCGTTCTCATACTACGTGATCCAGCTCATGCGTCTCATTTTCAGCTCCCCAACATTCTGGCAACTGTTGAGTCGTTTTGCAAGGGTAGCCCCAACAAATATATCCAGGCAGCTTACTATCTTGTATGCGCTACCGTACAGACCGAATCAACCATACAGACCAAGCAGTTCCTTCAGCAAGCTTTGCAGTCAGCCACAGCAATCAGCAATAGTCAGATTACTTGCATGACCCTAACGTTCATGAGTTGGAAGTATTTCCGTGGGGTTGTCGGTGAACAGGCCGAAAAGAGCGCACGAGCAGGTCGTGCAATGGCAAAGAAAGCCAACGATCGACTCTGGGTCAGTGTCACGGACGAGATGCTCGCTGAAACTCTGGAGAGGCAGGGAAAGAATGATGAAGCGAAAGGTGTCCGCGAGGAGGGCCATCGAGTAATGATGGGATTACCGTCAGCATTGAAAAAGCCCGCCTAGCTCCTGAATCTCGTTCTTCTTCTTTTTCTTGTGTTCTTTGTTATACAGGTGTGACTTTCTGGGTCTTTTATATGATACCCTTTAGGGTCTGAGGTGTATAGGGTATAACGGCGCAATGAAGACATAGTAGGCACCATTTCATATCTTTCTCCGTCATGTTGTAGACATGGTGTTCAAGGAATAGATTTTACGATTTTGACCAAACTGAATTCCTTGAGCTTCTGGTGAAGCAAGTGATTCATACCCTTTGAAGGCTGTTGTCTGTCAACTGTTATACACCGGCTCACACATTGCAGCCTTGACCAGACCATGATTGATGGAGGTCAGGTGCTTGTTAATCGGTTAGGTAGCAGTAGGCTCCTCTTCTTCTTTCCTTTCCACAGGCCATGCACAGCTCTATGGGAGTACACTAGCTACGCAAGTCGCTAGGAGTATACATATTCTTCTTGGCTTGTTTTAGCCTATCTTTAATGGGGCTCACGTCTTGATTCTGCGGTAATATGACAAGGAAGGAAAACAATGAAGCAATTGCCCATGAATGTGAAAACGTTCTCACGTTGTCCTTGACCCCCATCCAGAGCATAGTTCCCACTTGACATGCGGAAGGCGCAAGGCACAACATCAGAATCGCATATCACCCTTCTGTTTCCAGAGAATCAACCTCTGCCTTCAAGTCTGGAGGCAAACTCTCATATCCTTGGATCAAAACCACTGCCTTTTGAATCAGAATAAAGCTCTGCGTCGTGGGGTCCCACCGAAACAAGGCCGGATACACAACCAGAAGGAACACACCAATAGGTGCATCATCCTGCATACTCGCAAACCTCGCAGCCTGAGGATTGAGCGTCTGGTGAGTATGGGCATCCATGATTATAAAATCACTTAAATGGCTCTTGTCGATAATTATAGGTAGGGTCCCATCGGCACCTACATCTCGATACCGTTCCCACTGGTATTGTTCCGGCGAACAGTTCAATTTGTGGTAAGACCTGCTTCTCGAGTCTTCTAAACTTTTGGTCCCAATCAAACGTTTCCTCAAACCTGAAGTAACTGAAAAAGCCACGCAAATACTCCGACAATCCAGTGCAGTGTTGAATAACCCTATCCTTGTGCAGTTGAGTTGCAGTGTAAGCCCTCACTGTATCCGACCGCCAGAGATTAACGCTTTCAATATCTACGAAGATAAGTAATCGTCTGTATTCAATGATGGAGGGTGCACCAACCTTTTTTCGGTTCCAGCATCGACATCCCTTTATGAAGGTGTTCCATGAGTTCTTGATCCGCTGGTGGTGCGGCGAATACTCTAGGTCCGAGTACATATTCTCCAATAACACAGAAGCTAATCCATGTCAATATCTCAGTTTGTGCGTGATCAAATTGTAACTGAAACTTTCTCTGAAGGGCGAACATGTTCTCACAAATACCTTGGCGGTAGGTGGCATCATAAAAAGTTTCGGTGAAAGACTTGATATCAGGAAATCCTTCCACCCACTCGCTGAGGCTATAGCGGAATACCAGGAAATCCTCGGAAACAGTCGCATCACTGAGCTGGTAGTCAGGTATAGATCTAAATATTCGAGTTTGAAGATCAACCTCCAACTTCTGGATGCGTTGTTGTGCGTTCTCCAATTGCTGTTCCATCTGCTCAATCTTGTTCGCTTGCTGCGAGATGCGTTGGCTAACCAGGTCCACATCCTCATGGAGGGAGACTGCAGTTCGTTTCAATCTATCCAAAGCACTTCGTGCCGGGTGTTTGCTTCGGTTCGAGTCTCTCGAAGAGGTGGTGGTTGCTGGTACTTTGCCGGCTACAGAATCATTTTGATCCTAAAGGACGGTTTAGTATTTCGGAGAACTGGTGAAAGTCGTTGTGACCGAGAGGCATACATACGCTGCAGCCTTTGGTGATCGAGACACCATTTGCATTCATGTTACCTCTGTCGCAAGGAAAAGGAGTCGAGGGAGAAGGAAGGGAGGTAACAGCCAAAACGAAGCGGAATGTCTGAGATTAGTATGGAAAGCCCTGAAATTCTCAGTACTTGATGAGGGATGACTATGTCGACCTGAAGCAATACAGTGAATAAGCTATTTTACTAGTAATTGACTTATGAGCTAAGAGCGTGATCAGAGCAGGACGTGAATGTTGTTGTTTTAGCCTTACTACAATCTATGTTGTGCTTGACCACAACCCCCACAGGTCCATTCCTATTCACTTCTACCTGACTGACACAACATAGCAGCTTGACTTTTCTTTCTCTGTCGATTCGGCTCCTCTCCACCTCAACTTGTTGATATCTTACAGCTCACCCTGACCTTATTCTGACTTCAGTAAGCAACTACTGGAAAGAGAGACAGTCTACTGCACTTCGGTATACTTGTTTCTGCGTACAGATCCATTGAAAGCAGTGCTCTATTGAATGCGGCATGAAAGGTACCTCTACTGGAAATAAAATCGTTGTGGCTGTGGATTTTGGTACGACCTTCTCAGGTGTTGCGTGGGCCGCAGAGAGCAATGCAAGTCATTTTTTCCTCTACAAGTTGGCCTCGTACTGACAACTGTTCAAGCCCGAGAGACATCATGTTATCAATGAGTGGCCGCAGGGTTCTTATACTTCTCTCGGTGGGATGACAAGCGAGAAAGTGCCGACTGAGGTCGCATATGAGTACGGGGAATCTGGGCCGACTTGTTTGTGGGGATTCCAGATTTACGACAGCATGCCCCGTATTCAATGGATCAAGCTTGGATTTGCTGCTGATCAGAAGCTTGGTTTAGCCTCGCCCCTCTCCTTAAGCTACCATGACGCACGTCGAGTCCCTGAGCCATACCACTCTTCGTGTGAAGATGTGGCGACAGACTACCTCCGGTGTTTGCATAAGCATATCATCGAGACTTTGAAGTCTAAGATTGGCTCTTCATTCGACGGTATGAGCCTGGAGTTTGTTCTAACTGTTCCAGCAATGTTTCGATGTGCAGAGAATGCAGGCTTTGGTGAAAAAGGTACAATACGTCTAATCTCCGAGCCTGAAGCGGCTGCAATCCATGCGTTGAATGCATCTAATCCTCATGGATTAGACATTGGTGATACTGTCATTCTTTGTGATGCGGGTGGTGGTACGGTTGATCTTATAACATTTTCCATCGTTGAACGGGAGCCTCATCTGCGTCTTAAAGAAGAAGCTTCCGGAGATGGTTCACTCTGTGGCAGTACTTTCTTGAACAGGCTATTTGAAAATTTCCTGAAGAACCGATTATCCTCAATCCCGGGATGGGGCCGTGATACACTAGATGAAGCAATGCAACGCTTCGAGATGGTCATAAAGAGAGCTTTCTGTGGAGATGTAACCCAGGATTCTATGATACCTGTCCCCGGAATTGCAGATGACAGCGCGATCCATGTTCATCGAGGTCGACTCAGGGTAAGCGGACAGGAGATGGCTGACCTGTTTAAGCCCATTCTCGAAGAGGTTCATAAGCTTGTGGATACCCAAGTGAAGAGCTCGAAGAAAAGTGTGAAAGCACTATTCTTGGTTGGGGGATTTGGACAGAGTCCGTACCTTCGCAGGTATCTTCGTGATGCTCTTCCTCAAGACATAGAAGTACTGGCTCCAGTTGATGGGTGGACTGCAGTTGTTAGGGGCGCTTTGATGAAATCTCTTGGGGAGATATCTCCTTTCGCGGCGAAAGCCTCAGTTGATTCACGAGTAGCCAGAAAACACTATGGTGTCATCTACGACACAGAGTATAAGAGTGGTATCCATGACCGAAAGAAAAGGTATGTGCTGCCACAAGGGTCTACTTTACCTTCAAATTAACAAGGCTAGATACTGGAGTGATTTTCATGGGCATTATCGCATCAAAGTTATGAAATGGTTTATTCGGAAGGTGCGATAATATGTAAAATGCTGAGATAGTAGCCACTAACGGACTTTCCAGGGAGATGAGATCAAAGAAGCTGAACCAATTGAGACCTCCTGGTTCAGGCACCGACTGTGTAGCGATGGGAACTTTGACTCAATCTGCATCAACCTTTATGAGCTGGATACCCCTGTCGAAGAGGAACCCCCTAGGTACTATAATCGCCGTAAGTTTAATCTCAGAGATACTGGTGTGGAAACCGCAGTTTACATCTGCTAACTATTGTTTGTCAGGTATAAAGAAACTTGGGGTTCTAAATCCAGATCTTGATGCAATTGAAAAGGCCCGCATCCCAGTGCGTCTTGGTCATGATAAAGAAAAGTACTATGAAGTCCATTATCAAATACAGGCAACATATTTCTCTGCTCACTGTGAATATACCCTCTGGTATGAGGATAAGGAGCATGGAACCGTGCGGTTCGACTACGCTTGATAAATTCTCTCTCTATTTCCTGGCTATGTTACTGCTTTGAAACAGCGCCAAAAGCTTCATATTATGATTTGCATGTCTAATGGAGACATCCCGAAAGAGAAGAGAGAGAGGGGGAAGAAGCAGAGATGGGATGGGGCTTCCTCTAATCCAGGCTTTCTATCATCGATAGGTCACCGCGATATGCAGGGTTCAATCGAGTTCGTTGGTTAGGATTCTATTCGTGAAAACGTGTCGATAACTTCCCAGGGCAATTTCGTTCTCACCTCTTTTTCATGTTTTGGTGGGGGGTTAGTTTCGTTCTCTGCTATTTTATTTCTCAGTACCATCTTCTTTCTCATAGCGCCAGTGCTTTTTAGGAAACTACACTTAGGACACCCTAGCATAGTCTCTGCTGTCCCTCTGCATTGACCTGATAAGTAGTTAGAATTTGACTAGCGCTGAGTGATTCTATCCTGTATACCCTAGTACCAGGCGTGCCTCGGGAGCATCTCATCTTGATGCCCTGGCCTGTTCTGCTGCTTAGTACCCGGCTGAGCGCTACGTATGCTACCTAGTATACACATGTTCTGCTAAGGTTCGTATCAATAGAATTAAGATTCCTTCATTCAGGTATGCGATGATGAATTTTCGGGAAGTATACAGCTTCTCCTAAACCCCTTCTCCCAAGACGAGAAGAAATCCTCTTCGCAGACACCCATGTTCTATTATACACGGATCACACCACACTGACAGACCCTACGGCCTTGATATGGACAATAAATCACAATGGTAGTCCTAACACAAACAATTCAGAAGACCTGCTCTGGACATAACTCCATAACCGACCATACGCCTGCAACCTATACACCAACCGGCAAAGATTCGGGAGGAAATTGCCGTCAGATATAATAGAGGATGCCAAGATTGTAGAAAACCAGACAACAACGGAAATATAATGATCGAGAAGATTCAAAAACTCTCCAGGTGCTCTCTCCACCGTATGCTTGTTTCTCTTAACTGCGTCTCAAGGACAAACGCGCGTTCAGCCCAATCCACCCCATGCGCCACGGATTCTCCGAGCAAGTTGGATGTCCTTCTGCATAATGGTTACTCGCTTCGCGTGTATAGCACACAGGTTGGTGTCCTCGAATAGATGCACAAGGAAGGCCTCCGCGGCCTCTTGCAGCGCCATGATAGCTTGCGATTGCCAGCGCAATTCAGATCCCACATCTGCGGGGAGTAGATCCAATGCGACTTCGCGCACAAGTCTTGCGAATGGGAGTTTGCGGAGAAGGAGGTCATAAGAGCGTTGATATTTGCGGATTTCCTTGAGGGCAACAGTACCCGGCCTGTAACGGCGGTGACGGCCTTTCGGGGTAGGATCGCCAGCTAGCAGTATATCAGCTCGTAGGTTTAGAGATGACAGCTGAATGAAGAGGGTTGATGGGTGCACATACGTTGGACATCTGATTTTCTCGATGCATCGGCCGGTCGCTTACCCCCTCTGGCGCCTCCAGTGGACTTGCGCCCTCGGGTCGAAGGCGAGGCTGTTGCGGCTGCACGGGATGGTCCTGCAGCTGGGCTTTCGTTTCCGGCACCGTCCGCCTTTTCTCGCGGCGCGGCGGTTACCTTGCGGCCCCTTCCTGTCTTCGGTGGCATGGTGATGACAAGACTTCAGCGACTAAAAATAGATTATTTGATAGATGTAAAAGTGAGTCAGTTGGGATGTGAGGGGGCAATTGTACAGGTGCGGATTTCCATGCGACCCAAGTAAGTCGTTGGAGTTCACACACACTCTCTCTCTCCCTTTTAGGTTGTTTGTTTTTGCGCCGATGTATGCAAAAACTCAGAACAAGAACTTTTGATTTCTTTTGGGTTACGGCACAACCCCTCTAGTCACCCAATTGTGGTAGACGACAGCCGTTGGAAAAGGCCCAGTCTTGCGAGGAGGGGTTCACTGCTCAAAAAAGGTCCACCGGTAGGGAATTGGGTGGTTCGAAGCACTCGATAGCCGACTTGGGCTCTGATATGCGCCGCTTTGCCCAGCCTTCCGATTAACGCGTTGAAGCGTGTCTTTTCCCCGCACAAGCGCGCGGCTGCCGCACCGGTGGTCACGTGATGATAGTGACAGATGCCACCGCCCTTAAAGTGGAAAAGGCCACCTGGAGCTCTTCGTCTCCGCCTTTCATAGTGCCGGGATATATGGTGTCTTGTTCCGCAGCCGACCGTTGATTATCTGGATAGCTATCGCTCTCCACACCGTCCTGCGTTTACCCTTCTCGCATCCCTGTCTACCGTTCAACGCCGCTCGCAGTTGCCTTCCAGCGATCGTCCTGCAATAGTCTGGCGGCCTGCGACTCTAAACAACTTCCAGCGTGATGGCCGCCATCTGGGGTAATGGGGGCCAAGCAGGGCAGTTTCCCCTCGAACAGTGGTTCTATGAAATGCCTCCGGTGACACGCTGGTGGACAGTAGCCACTGTAGCTACATCTGTACTAGTGCAATGTCATATCCTGACCCCCTTCCAGCTATTTTACAGCTTTCGCGCGGTCTATGTCAAGTCCCAGGTATGTATATCACTGGCGAGCTTGGTGGGTCGCATAAAGAGGCGAGCGCAAGACGCTGATGGTATCGCAGTACTGGCGACTTATTACAACATTTCTCTACTTCGGACCGCTTAGTCTAGACCTACTGTTCCATGTCTTCTTCCTGCAGCGGTACTCGCGCCTTCTCGAAGAATCATCCGGCCGATCCCCAGCTCGTTTCTCCTGGTTGCTGTTCTACGCCATGGCCTCTCTCCTCCTTCTTTCCCCGTTCCTCTCTCTGCCATTCTTGGGCACTGCCCTCTCTTCCAGTCTGGTGTATATTTGGGGTCGCCGGAACCCTGACACCCGTCTCAGCTTCCTCGGTATCCTGGTTTTCACGGCCCCGTATCTTCCCTGGGTATTGATGGCATTCAGCTTGGTGGTCCACGGCATCGTGCCCAAAGACGAGATTTGTGGAGTGGTCGTTGGTCATATCTGGTATTTCTTCAATGATGTCTATCCGTCTCTTCATGGCGGCCACCGTCCCCTGGACCCTCCAGGATGGTGGATCCGGCTATTCGAGTCTAGGGCCAGCGCGGGAACCGATACGGCCAACCTGAACCGCGATTTCGCCGCCGCCGCGGCACCTGAGGTCCGATGAGATGTGTAACACCCGCGGACCAAGCCTTGGATCACGAGATCTACATAACGTCCGGCAATGATGCGAGCGCAGTGATCGTCTTTGGATCCTTTTTGGGTTATACATTGAACTAGTACCGTTTGCAATCCCGTCGCATGCATTGGTACATAAGGTGATGCGATTGAAGTGGTGAAAACCGGGGGAGTTTTGTAACACTTCCACTTCATTTCTTATTCCTTCTTTCGTCGACTGCGCGGCTTGGGGATTAATGTGCAGCTGACTGGTTTCCTGGAGGCGGGCCATAGGACCTACAGCGAGACCATCTCGCCAACCATCTAGGACGTTGATATCGCTTGTGGGGAGGTAATTGAAGCGGGAGGGGATGCTCAAGGCTTCTGTCACCAATCGTATGTAATCTGTAATCCATAGAATAGAGCAGTCATCAGTGCGCAGTGACTTGGTAGTCGATACTGAGAACGTGAACCCGTTGGTAGTACGGTACCGAGCGCATTTCTCATAAGTTTGGAGGGATGTGTCAGTCAACTTGAGGATGTTTGTAACATCCCCAACATCAGGTACTACACCAAGCAGTAGAGTGCCATGGACATAACTCGGAGTTGGCCGGTGTGCCTTTTCCTTACGACTTCCTCCCCGCATCAGGTCCTCCGCACTGCTTCTGCCCGGAGTGACGTCAATTCCTGCCTCTTTCCGTATCCATTGCTGGGAAGTCCGAAAGAACTGATAAGCGAGGAAGCCACCGTCCCAACCTTCGTCTCACCCCGCCTTTTTGCTTCCCAAGTGGCTTTTCTTGGCTGATGTATAAGGAAACTTATTGATTGGCGACTATTGCTTTCCTGTTCTCCAGGATGCTACCAGACTGCTGAGTGGCTGCCAACTTTTGGCTAAACTGCGCTTTTTTTTTTTTTAACCCCTCTAGGGTTGAGGCGGTGGGGGTCGTTCTAGAGGGTTTCATGTAATGTTCTATGTCTGTAACTACGAAGAGAGTTGGGATAGGTGCCACGAGTGAACAATAATAGCGGAGCGTGAAAAGCGCTCTTGCTATAAGTTGATTAACTGTATCTGGCAAGGGAGACTGACACCCAAGAAAATCTGGAGGCGATCTTTGTGGTGTGAAATTGACGATTGTCGAGTGGAAAGTCTCAATGTAAGCATGCGCCCATGGTTAGGGCTATTCTCAGTCTTGTGTTGGCGGTAGTACCTGCTTTCAACGACTTGGCGTTATCAATCGTATGGGGTTACGTTACACGTGCCAGGATTGTTGGTTGGGGGACTAAACGGCGCACATGGATTCTGTTGCCCATCAACCAGACGCTATCGGACTTGGGCAACGCACAGATTCATGTTCCCAAGTCTTGGATTGGGACCAACTCGTCCCTCAGATGAATCGAAACACCCCAGAAGATCAAAACCCATGGAAACTGAATGGAATGGCTCTCTGTCCACGCGTCTGACAGTCGCCAAAAAGGTCCACTAGGACAACGAGAACTCGGTGTGATTTGAAGACCGCGGGGGCGCAAATATCTGGCACCGCCTTCTACATGCGCAAAATGGATCAAGTGGGTCAAGGCAAGCCCGCCATTGATTCCCTTTGGCGACTATTGAGGACCGGTGGTTGGCTGGGCGGAGAGACTGAAAGTGGAAAAATAAATAAATTAGACTGAAGAAAAGTAGGCCTACAGTAAGTTTGTATCTTTTATAGAAGAGAGTCAGCCAAGTGGAGCAACAAGCATTGTCAGCCTGAGATAGGGAGAGAAACGTCTGAACATACTGCTTACTGCCCGGTACTTCCCTACCAGGCAGTATCCGTCAGACTATAACCCCCTGTCTTATGGACTGAGGCACACGGTCAAACATTGGTCAAACATATTTGACGCATCTTCGGGGCTTCGATAAGCAGGCAGTGGCTGTAAGAGGTTTGGCGGACTTCAAGTGGGAACTGTGGAGCAATCGGCATCGGCGTTCGCTGCCACCGATCAATCTGATATCGTTCTGCTGAACCATTCCAGAAAAGAACGGTGAACCGATAAAACACCAGACCCAAGGTAGGCACGAAGATTTCGCCGTACTCGTACCAGTGTATCATTCGGGGTTCCCCCAACAGCACAGTGTGGTGTCTACAGACTCTACACTTGCTCTACTGTATCCCTGCCTAAGCGCTCATCATGCATGTCCTTTACGTGGCGGCCAACATTCTCAGCGAATCAGCGAGATTCTCCAACCACCCTGGTCGAAAGTGATGAGCCACGGTCGATTCGACCAACGAGACCAGATCGAAAAGATGGGATGGCTTTGGTCATTCCCACCTTGACGCAATCTTCTTGAGCTAGGATGTGTTGTTGCCTAGATATTGCGTATGCCGTTGTTATTGATGGCCCTATGGAGGAAGCAAATGCGCATTGCAGGTAAAGCGGCTATTATAGGAGTAGCAGTATGTATCCTATATTCCTCTGTACATGCAAACATTAGTTACATACACTACTTGTACTAATAGCCGGTAGTGTCACGTTAATCTGCAAATATGACGAGCCTGAAGGCTGAGGCAACTGGCGCGAGAAAACCAAGTGGAGCGTCTTAGGTAAGGTTGGTTGACATGTGAATATCCAATAGCATCCATTCCAAAACCATGGCTTCCTCCGTTCAGTCCTGCGCGTATATTTTCCTAATTTTAGTAAACCCTAATCATGGCTGCAGATGCAGTGTCATACAGCTTTGTGACTATTGATCGGGGCGCTGCAGGACAACTTGTCCTGGGTATGACAATGCCAAGTGTTCTATGGGGAACGTCGTTGAAGAGTCCTATCTGACGGTGTTGAGGGGCATTGTTCTTCAAACTTTGGGTAGTCTGTTTCTATGGAACTCCTATTGGAATATGGGTACGAACGGTCAACTCCGCTAGTAACGGTTACCTTGTCGACTCACCTCGCAATCAGCTACCAGAAGGGGGGGGGGTTGAACTACGGCGTACTACTCCGTCCATGAAGTCTTGTTGCAGCTACCCATCCAAAAATTAATTTGGCGCTATTTTACTTTGGCATTGGCCAAGAGGAACTCAAAGGGTAAACTAATCCCAACGGATCATATTAAGGGAAGACTGATCAACCTGACGCGGGAAAATTAAGTCTTCTCAACTGTTTTACGGAGTGAGTTCTCCGCGATCCGGTCGTCCTTTGCATTTCCTCGGATCAGAGAACAGGCAACAACAATAGAAAAGGAATACATACCTCATCATTACGGAAGTATCTGTGCATAGCCATTCTATCGATCAATACAGAGAGAGAGGGTGAGAGGACGTTGGCTGGATGGATCTCTTACCCACGTCCCAAAAATAATCGACCATAAGAACTTCATGGGCGAATTTTGGGACAAATGGTGAACTGCGTAAGCTTCCATTTCGGGTATAGAAAACGAAGTGGTGCTCAAACCAAGACCATCGCCTTTCTTGGTTAATGGGGCCATGTTTCTTATTCATTCTTGATTTGTCCTTTTGATTATTCTACTGGGACCCCACACACAGACCGCCAATCACGCTTATCTTTTCCTGGACTAAGCGGAACCGCCACACTGACCCTTCCGGCGTTGCCAATGAATGATTGGCGTCTCTTCAGAACACGACAGTTCAAAGGTTAATTAACCTGACTCTGGTCAGCAGTGGCTCTGGTTGAAACAGGTACCAAGAACACTCTGCCAGTTGGCTTTTTTAAATAGATGTGGCTCAGTCGCATTCTCGCCAAGGCTCGCCAGGAGATAACGACATACCGAAAGATGATATGGAATATGGTACCTCCACTACTCTTGTCTGAATGACCCAAAGAATCAGTGTGGACAAGAAGTGTAAGGGGTATACTGTCCAAAAAAAAAAAAAAAAGAAAAAAAAAAAAAAAAAAAAAAAAAAAAAAAAAAAAAAGAAAAAAAAGAAAAAATAAGAAAAGAAAAAGAAAATATAATAAAGTAAAGTAAAATAAAAACTCGGCTAATAGACCGATTTGCCTAGTTCCGCCTCTAGTAGTTTTAGACTTGGGACGGGGCCTGAGGCCACCCTCTTAAAGTGGCGGAGGCTTAGCCTTGGCTCCAACCTAAACTTTCCCCAAACAAGTCGTGGATGGAGTCTCCACTTGTCCTTTTTTTCCTGCTTCTCCACTCTCCAGAGCCCCTTATCCTAAACTTGTCCCCTGGCCTATGATGGGCGCTTTGGTGGCCCCTGGAGTAACCATGGGCCGTTGTTGATGCTTTGCCGCCTTCAACTGTTTCTCCGTGTCTCCTGCTCCTAGCAGATACTGCCCACAAGCACACTTTCCCCCCCATCACCTGCTACTGCCGCTCATTATTACTAGTTGATGCCTCTGCTTCGTTGCTGGGCGTCGTTCGTTCCTTTTCTCGTCTGACTATTCTTTTTTCTTTTACTTCAATCAGAAAAAAGACTAACCTTCTTCATTCCTTATTTTTATTTTTTTTTTATTATTCAATACATCACTTTTAATTACCATTCGCCTCTCTCTGTGCATCGCCCCCAGACCTCACCCCCACCTCCCTTTCTTACAACTCTTTGGAGGACTTTGTTCGTTCCTTAAATTACCATTGCTCCTTGACTGAGTGGCTCGTGGCTGGAACTTTTTCTGTTACGCCTTTTTCTTTCACCCTAGGGAGCCTACCTAAATAGAACCGGGAGAGACAGAAAAAAAAAAAGAGGATAAGGCTTCCTCAACAACTTTCGATTGCGCTTTCTCAACCTTAACCACTGCCATTGTCGTTCAAGAGCACAATCCTCTTGTGGAAGGTTCATGGTTGCGACGTAATTGCTGTTAGGGTTCTTTTTTCCGCGCGCTGTACCATCTTGTTTGCAGGGTTCGGGCAACAACAAGCTTTGTCTTTGTCTCAATCCCTTTTACCAGCTCTCGACCTCCTTCCTAGCCGTTCGGCACGAAGTTACGACTGTGGATTGCATCAATTGGTTACTTGTCATAGGAGCCCTGGATCGTTTGGCCATTGTCGTCTACTTGTACCGTTTTAGTTGAGAAGCCGTGATATCGAACGGCTCGCACTTGCACCATGCGGAAAGGCGTCTTGATCTTCCTCGTTGTCAACCTCCTAATTCTATCCTTCCTGGTTCGCAGTGTCTTCACCCTTCTATCATTGCTAGTGGAAGATGCTTCTGCCGATGCAATTCATCGCGCGGAGCTTCCCTCGCCAAATTCCAGTTTGATTGAGCAACGGCCGCAAATCATCCCTAAGATCATCCATCAAACCTACAAGAACGAGACAATTCCTGCAGTGTGGAAGGAGGCGCAACAAAGCTGCATTGACTTGCATCCTGACTACGAGTATATTGTATGTACAATCTCCCTTTCGATACCGAGCAATGGCGCATGCTAACACGCTCCTCTCCTTAGCTTTGGACGAACGAGAAGGCGCGCGAATTCATCGCACATGAATACCCGTGGTTCCTTGCTACCTTTGATGGTTACAAGTACCCTATCCAGCGAGCAGACTCCATCCGATACTTTGTCCTGGCCCATTATGGCGGCACATACATTGACCTTGATGACGTATGTTCACGACAGAGTTCTTAAAGGACATCAAAAAATGGTCGTGCTAACTGAAGCATGTTAGGGCTGCAACCGTCGCTTAGACCCCCTTCTTTCTTACCCTGCTTGGGTACGTCGCACTGCTCCGACCGGCATCTCCAATGATGCGATGGGATCTGTTCCGCAGCACCCGTTCTTCCTTCGAGTGATCGAACTGCTACAGTCGTACGACCGTAGCTGGTTGCTTCCATACATCACAGTGATGTACTCCACCGGACCTCTGTTCCTATCGGTAATTTGGAAGGAATATATGCAGGAGGCTATGGGCGAATCGTCGCGGGTTCGGATCCTGATGCAGGATGAGTACAACAGGTTTTCGTGGAGCTTTTTCACCCACCACGTCGGCAATAGCTGGCACGGTAAAGACGCACGGCTAATCTTCTGGATGGGACAGCATTGGATGTTCCTCACCGTGTGCGGCTTTATCCTTGTCGGGTCCGTTGGCTTCTGCCTCTGGTGGGTTTATGGTCGACTGATTCTGCTGGGCTCGAAGTACCGTTATCGGTACACTAAGGTTCCAGCATTCATCTCTGTTTCTGGCCTATCTCCTACCCGCAGACCCCGGCGTCCGACCCCTACATTGCTGCGCCGTGTCTCTTTCAAAGAGGACGAAGAAACAGGACCTATCACCGAAACCTCATACGAGCTCTATAGTCGTCGTGATTGAGCATGTCCGTTTTATATCTGCGTTATATTCGCCTTGTTCACATTGAAGTACCTTGAAACGACCTATACTATACACTCAAAGTACCTGTCCAGCGTTACTATGTGGGGTACCACCCCCACTCTACTGTTTTACTCATTCTCTGCGTTTTGTCCGGAGTGCATGCATGGAGTTTTGGTATGGGGTTTGGCCGGGGCGCTTTGAGCCACTGGTTCCTTTTACATTATTTTTTTTCTCTTTTTTCCCTTTTCGGTGGCTTGTACATGAATTGGCCAGATGAGTGAGACTTGCACCCGAGAGGCAATCTACGACGCCGCCTACCTGTGTATTATCTGTCTTGATGTTTCGATTTACAATCTGGAAACCAGGTTTCTTCTCCCTTCTTTTCTACCTTGTCTGTTTACCATATATTCTTTTTATCTCTTTCTTACCCTTCTACCCTTTCGTCTTCTCCTACACATAGACTTTTTTTTCTTTTTTGTTCTCCGCGTTCAATTGGGGTAGACGGATATATTCTAGCTATCAAGTTCCTGACGACTGGAGCTAGCTGGGTCTTACTGAGATAAAATAATACTTGATGGGGGCGTGCGAAATGGAAGAATAAGAGAAGATACTTTATTTTGCATGGCTTCGTTAGCCCACAATGATATACAATGAAGAACAGTTCCTTAGTCATGATGCTTGGGAGGATAATAGCCGGAGTGCATGAGATGGGCCTCCACCTCCTTTTCCACCGCCCCTAAGACTAAGGACTGCCCGTAGTAAGCATATAATACGACGAACGACTCCGGGAGGTTCCCGAGCGAGCCCCATTGTTTCTGGCGCTCTCTTTGGTCAATGGGCCTGAGCCAAGACAAAGAAGCTTTCAGACGTGTGTTTCAGCGTGGACGTTGATCTGCCAATCGCCGGCGACTTTGGACCTTTCGGTATGCCTCTGCATTCACGGCCCATGCGATCATCGGCATTTTCCACTTTGGTATCAACATTCCTGCCATCTCACTGGAGGGCGTAAGAATCCTTCGGTATGCTGCCCCTCCACCGTCAGGTATGTCCAAGTATAAAAGACTCCTAGATTCCCGTCGAGCATCATTCTCTCCCATTATCATCATCATCATCATCCTCATCATCTATATAACTACCTCTTTCGTTTCCTGAGGTTGGAGAACAATTTCCTTTTTGTGCGTGACATCAGTGCAGGCTCACGGTATCTAACATCCAATCATTCAATATCTTGAACATCATCTGTCTCTCTTGTATCCAGAGCATCACGCCCCTGCAAAGCCGTCATCATGAAGCCAGTTTCTTTTGCCAATGCACTGTATCTCCTCTTGCCCGTGCTGGCCAGTGCAATGCCAGCCCCGATCACAGGACGAGATATCCATTCGAGGGGCACGAGCATCACAGCCCAGCAAATCATAGCCATCGCACCAGGTGCCGCGCAATCCTGCGCAAGTCGCGCTGATAAGAATGCTCCTACCGAGTGCGCTGATGCTGAACAAGCGGCCACCAATATCGCCAAGTCGTTTGAGAAGTACCAGGTCACCAGCCCGGCTGAGCAGGCGGCGGTGATTAGTCTGTTGGCTTTGGAGAGCGTCGAGTTCCTATATAATAGAAATAAAGTTCCTGGTGTAGCAGGACAAGGAAGTAAGTACAACCCCCAGTCAGCCCCTGTGGGGAGAAGTCACTGACATGGCATCCCACGGTTAGCCCGGAATATGCAGTCACCGGCCTTCAACTCCAAATATGCAGCGTCACTTAACGTAGCCGTATCCAGCGATGCGGCTCAGACCCTGGACAAGTTGGTTGAGAATCTGGAGTGGGATTTCGGCTCTGGAGCCTGGTTCCTCACCACGCAATGCTCGGCAGATGTGCGTAGTGCGTTGCAGGCCGGCTCAGAGGCGGGCTGGCAGCGCTATATCACCGAGTGTGTGCAGACTCAAGTGACCGATCAGCGGAAGGAATACTGGCAGAAAGCAGTGAAAGCGCTGGGTGTGCAGTCCTCTTGAGTCCAATTGATGGGTGTTTTTGAAAACTACACTGCTGGACAGTGTCCTCAGAGCCATCCCGCACTTCCAGTTTCTCATGCTTTCCTTTCGCCCTGGGTTGTTACTTTTGGTAGGAGTCATTATTCATGGTCGTCAATTGATTCTATTTTCTTCTTAACGTTTGCACCATCATAACTTCGTCTCTTGAGCATTGAAAAGATAATGGCAGCTTGTAACAGAATTTGCCCTTGGCTTTGGTCATCAGAACTCAGAGCTTCTAGTGTAATTTACAGCACACCCTTGGTACTGACAATATCTCCTGCACCGACTTCACCGGCCACCCTCCTGGTGCAAGCTGTGCGAATAGCCACGGCCAAGGCTTTGAACGCACTCTCCGCGCGATGGTGGTCATTGTCGCCGTAGGTGCAGCACACATGAAGAGTCACACCCGCCTCCTGGGCAAAGCTCTGCAGACCGTGCGTGATCATCTCCGTGCTAAGGTCGCCGATCTTTTCGCGACGGAAACCAAGATTGATCACAGCCCAGGGACGGCTGGAGATATCAATGACAGCCCACGAGAGGGCCTCGTCGAGAGGTGCATCGCCGCGACCGAAGCGGGCAATGGACTGACGGGCACCCAGGGCCTTGGTGAAGGCCGCTCCGAGAGCAAGGAAAGTGTCTTCCGTGGTGTGGTGGTCATCAACTATCGATTCATGAGTCACCAGACTACTACCATAGCCATGTAATAATTCCGATACATACTGTACAGGTCTCCCTTGGCTCGGATCGCCAAACTCATGCCGGAATGCTTCGCCAGAGCGTGCAGCATGTGGTCGAGGAAGCCAATTCCCGTGCTCACGGTGATCTGCTGTGTCGCGGTGAATTGCGTCGCATGGTGGGCATCTTTGAGAGGGACAATTCCGTGCTTCGCGGCTTCGGCCTCCTTGGGGTCTTCGGGGGCGGGGAAATGTTCGCTTGGTTCAAAGGGAGGGAGGGCGCCTCCGTCCAAGGAGAGTGAGATCTGAATCTTAGTCTCGTTGGTGATCCTGGTGAGGGACGCTGTACGCTGAGGGAGGGGCATTGTGAAGGAGTGCTGATCGAGGACGGTGTTTGGGGTGTTAGTTCGATAGTTCGAGTAAGGATCTGAACAATGTGATCTTTTTGTTTCTAATCTTGTGTCTAGACCGAAAGCAAACAATGAATAATCACGGACCTGTGATTCGGCTCTTCTTTTCCTTGCAGTTTAATTACTTTCACCGATCCCGGGGGGGTTTTTTCTTGGGGCGGAGTAAGTCCGATTGTACAGTATCCGTAATACGGGGCCGTATTCTGCGGTACCCGGAAGAACAGTTGGTCCGGGTGGGTTCTCTGCGTCATTCCGCGGAGCATTTGCTCTGCATCATCCGTATCGTCCGATCTCTCAGGAAAACGAAAACTCAACACGATTACCAACTACGACACCAACCTCTGTTGCAGGGAAAACTATTGCCCATAGGTTCTGTGTCAAGTATGCCTCCGCCGTCGAATCACCGAAAAGATGTTGAACCCCCCGAGGAAATCACCTCGGAAGCTGTTCGAGGATTCTTGACAGGAGCGTTTCGAGTACGTGCTACATCTTGATTTACAACTTGATCTCTTTCCTGCAGAGTTTATTCGCTCTCAGAGCTTGGATTTCTACTACCGTGGTGATCCTGTGTCAGGGATCTCTTGGACCCAGGCTGTAATGCAATCCACTAACAGACTATCGCCCAGTTTGGCTCCGTATCTATCTTAGCGCATATGATCATGATCCTCCCCCACCCTTTCAAGTTCTCTCCCTCCGCAACACCACCTGCACCGTCACAGCCTCAGGCGCAATCCTCTCCCCGACCAGGTCCGTCCATCCTTTCGAAAGACTACCTCCGATCCAGGCTATTCTATCGCCCTCTGGAAGGTTTCTCAGACTGGCTTTCTCCGGCTTCCCGGATCTATCGGGGCTTGACCCCCCAGTACAAGGTTTTTCTCCAGATTGCCGCTATGACTCTAGGAGGCTGTATCTGGGCTGAGAGGAGGGTGAACGACTATATCGATCTCATCCGGAAAACCAAGCGGGCGGAACGATTGGAGGCCCAGAGAGCGGCAAGATATACGGAATAATGACGATACACTTCCTTTTAGCAGACGGAATGAAAAAGGGACCTAGTCCTCTGGGAGTCAGCCTCATTGTCAAGCCTATCCTGAGGACTTCTGGGGTTCTAGCGGATATTGTATGAAGTTGGACTTCTTGTTTCTCCACAAGCTCCGATCGGTCAGAAAGCTACAGGGCACCAGTGTTGCGACTCGACTGTCGATCACCATGAAGGATCGTGATCTGGGACGTTGGTGACACAGTCACACAAATGACGCTCGGCTGCGTGCGTGGATGACATGTTACATGAAGACCCGAGAGACTGTGGCGGAGTCGAGAGAAGAGGATCTTCCGAAGTGTAGACTGCCGAATCGAACTCTTGTCCCGATAGTGAGTTTGATTAGCATCCATCCGGATCGCCAAGAGACTATGTAATTGTATGCATTATTGGGCGGAAGTATAGCTTTGACTTTTTCCGTACCCACAGTGAACCAGAGCCAACTTCGATTGACGAAATTAAAGTGGGGGTGCCAGGGAAAGCTCAAGGCAAAGGAAGTGTCAAGGCATAGATAGACAGAGAGGCCGAAATTTAAACGACTGCCGCACTAGGGAAACCACCTTCTCTCCGCTCCGTGGTATGTATGTACCGTACTCCGTACATGGGTATTCGTAGAGCCGCTGCAGCCTCACTTGGCGGACGAGTCGAGAACAATGCAGGCAACTGGGGCGAGTGGAGCCTTAGTCGCGAAGGCTTCAGCACCGGCTCGCTGTGACGCGCTGGGGATCGGCTTCTCGAAGACGTCTCAAGGCGGAGGAGGATCGCTGAAGGGCTCCATATCTGGGGCGCGGTGAAACAGGAGAACGATCCAGAATTGAAATGAATGGGAGAGAATCAAGTAAATAAAAATAGATAGGAAGGGCGAGGTGAGCTCCGGAACATCAGGGCAATGAGTTGAGGTACTAGATCCAGGATGTGGCATTTGTTTAGGGTCTGCAATGGATTTGACAATGAGCTGAAATCGAAAAGACCTCTTGCATGGATCTCTATGTAGAGAGAGAATGACAGCTGCACCGTTTCTCGGTTGCCTGCCTTTTTTTTTCCTCCCCGTTTCATTGAATATATCATATTGTTATTTCTATCATGAGCTGACTGTCTGAGGATGCGCGATGTGATTGGGCGATTCCCCTTTTGTCCCTCACATTCAACCTCAGGCTGAAAAGTACTTTTTTATTTTCTTTTTTCTTTTTATGGATCCAATTTCCATCCCTTTTCTTTTCTTTTTTCTTTTCCTTTTTTTTTTTTTTTTTTTTTTTTTTTTTTTTTTTTTTTTTTTTTT